GGTGTCTAAGGGTGAAATGACTGGCGAGATTGTGTGCGGTGAAAGTATTGAAGGAGGTCTGCAAAACAGGCGACTGCAAGGCAACCCAGTATCGCTGCGTTTCGCCAGAAAAAAAGACGATGTGGTTTATCGAGAAACTGGACAACAAGCATGGTGAAAGAAAAAGACTGGTACTGCATGAAAACCCTCCATGGTAAGGTCGATGGTGCCAAAGATTGTCAGGTAGAGGATGCGCCCTCCTCTTGATTGCAGTTGCCTTCGGGAAAGTCGACAAAGCCTGAACTGTCTGCTGTGGTTATCCAATTCAGAGGCTCCATCACAGTTCCAGCGAGAGAGAGAGAGAGCTTTCGTCCTCTTTGTGGCAGTCAGACGTCCAGCAGAGACCTCACCACCCACTAATTGTGGCAACTGCATGTAATGATCGGTTCCCTGGCTAGCAGATTGCCGACTTTGCCAAATGCAGGCGGGTCAGGTCAGGAGCAACTCGATGCTGGGCCCTTAGCCAATGCTTGAGACGAGGAGACCGCGGATTGTGATGAGGAGGAGTGGTTTTGTGTGTTCGTTTGGTGGTGATTGTCGCTGGTGACAGTCTCATGTTGTTGCTACCTTGCCCTTTCCCCTCCCTGACTTGGCACACCGAAGCATTGGCACAGTCGGCGGCTGCAATGCTGGGTTGCGGTAATTGCACCTAGTAGGGTCGAAGCAGGTGTCCCTCAAAGATACGCTTGTTTCCGTAATTGGATCCCATAGTATAGTAGCCAAGGCTGTGGACAGCTGAGATGGCCGACCGAGGAAGGTCTGACCTGGCTACAACGAAAGGAAGGCATGGCCACCAACCCGATCGAGAAGTGCCACCAAAACCTTTAGAATCCGACCCTGTCTCCGTGATCCATGCTTTGGCAATGCCCTCAAGAGTGACAATGCATCCCCCCATGTCTCAGCGGTGACCGGGACGCAGTGCATGAACCAAAGAAGGGACGGGATGGCTGCGGCACTAGCCGAAGACCTGACTTCACAGCTGCCTGCTATGCAGCCAGCATGAATATCAGAGCCTCCATCTTTCCATCGTAAAAAGAAGAAAGGCGGTGAGGAAGAACAAGAACAAGAAGAAACAATTCACACAATGAAAGATGGCAAGAAAAATAATGAAAGCAACTCACATTCCTGAGAAGAGGTTCGACATGGTAAGAGGAGGTACCCGCGGTGAGGGGGAATCGGCGGGGGTTATAAGGTTGAGGCGACTGGCGCGCCTCCTGGCAGGACTTAAAGAGGCAGGACTATTGGGTTTCAGCTCTGCTGAGTCCGTCTGTTGGTTTGATAATCGAAAAATGGCCGGATATCAATCAAGGAGAGAGGGTTAAGCTGAAAAGGGGCGATTGAAGGTGAGCTTCTTCAGACTACGTTCGCTCCTGCATCCTCGAGGAGTGGCGGCATGAGAGGCGCTAGACTTGAAGTGTCATATTAAGCGAGAGCACGGGCCGTCACCTCCACAGCCTTGGGTGCCAATCGTCCATTGCACCATCCCTATTGGACTCGCTTTGGACCGAAAGAAGGGTCCGACTTCCTTCAGCCTCGTGTGGCATACGGGGGGTTGGGATGCTGGCGGTGTGTTTTGCATGGCCGTTGAACTCAAGATATCTCAGAGGATGAGTGGCCGAATCATCTCTCTTACTCCATCAGTCTAGCCAAAGTGTCATAGCTTCGGCCTCTTGCCGGTTGCCCTCTCAGTATTACCTGGTTGATATCGTTTTGGGCCGCCACGTATTACCGAGAGGTGTGGCGGTGCACACCAGCCTTATTCAATTCAAGTCGACATAGGTGGGTCGGAATTTAGAGACAGGGATTGTTCAAGCCTCGCTCTCGACCTGCCTCAGAACAAAGAAGCTAAGCTGCCAGCCACGTCTGACTGGTAGGTCTTCACCAGCAGTTCAATACCCAAGACACTCACTCCATCCGCCCTCGAGCATCTCAATTGTCATAATGTCTGATTCGGAAGAATTGGTCGAGCTTCCCGAGGAGGAGGATGACCTCTTCGGCGACGAGCCAGCGGACGAGGTCCTGGAGGACCGCAGTCGCGCTGGCAGTGAACGCGACGACGCGGCATCCGATCAGGACGCGAGCGAGGGTTACGGCAGAGATGACGAAGCGCCGACATCAACAGACTACGAGACCAAGGTCATCGAGGCCGTTGAGATGCAACGCCACCGCATTCCCAAGGCGAAGGATCAGAGAGTGAGTCGACACGGCGGTCCAAGTCGGCCGCGACGTGCGCTAACGATGACCAGTTGCGATCTCTTCGCGTCCCCAAGTTCATGAGAATTGTCCCTACGCTTTTCGATCCCGACACGTTCGAGCCTACTGAGCAAGACATTGAGGACGCCAAAGCCGAGGTACCCAGGGCCGACATCCGCGTCCGAAGACAGGGAAATAAGCTGCAAAGCAACGCTATGATTCACAAATGGAGCGACGGCTCTGTGACAATGACCGTCGGCGACGAGCACTTTGAAGTGACGACCAAGGCATTGGCCCCTGGATCAGACCAGCCGTACTCCGAATTGCAAGACGGACACTACTACGCCGCTGCCGCCGAGTACTCGAGCAACTTCCTCATGTTCGTGGGGCATGTCACCGATCAGTATATTGTCCGACCCGGAAAGGAAGTTGCCGACGACGCTCTGATTGCTCTTGCGGAGCGCATGGCAACGATATCACAAAAGCCCCAGGAGAAAGACATGATCATCAACACGATCCAGGATCCCGAGCTGCGCAAAAGACAGGCAGAACAAGCAGAAAAGGAGCGCATGAAGATGCAAAGACGCCGCGAGACGCAGAGTGCCCGGATGGATGCTAGCCGCGGATTTGGCCGCAGCGGAGGCCTATCCATTGGCGACCTTGAAGGCGGACGGCGTGCTGGCGGATCGCGGAAGAGAGGCATGCCTGGCGCACCGAAGCAAAAGAGAAGGCGCCCCGAGTATGACTCTGACGACGACCTGCCTTCTGGTGCGCGCAGGCAGGACGATTACGATCTGGAGGACGATTTCATTGTCGCGAGTGACGAGGAGGTCAGCGAGGGAGATCAGGACGACGAAGAGGAGCTTCTTGACGATGACGAGGCGCCGCGGTCCAAGAAGCGACAGAGGAGGTCGGATGATGAGGACGCTGATGGCGATGATGATGACATGATGGAGCCAAGCGGCCGCGGAAGACGTCGCCATGTTGTCGATGACGACGACTCGGAGTGAGAATATGGCCGCGTTCTAGCTAGGCTAGCCCATTGATACAGAGCTGGCCGTCATCAACCACTGTAATATACCAGGCCTACTTTTCTTTTGCGCAAGCCGCGGGAGCGCGCCAGGTGTATTTTGACAAGAACAACCGGAATATGAGCAGTGCAAGCAGTGCGGGTTTCATAATAACCTGCGCCTCGGTTGCGGGGGGGGGGGGGGGGGGGGGACGGTAAGTAAGCTCAGCAGACCAGCAACCATATCGTGACATCGTATCCTATGGAACTTGGCCGTACTGGGACTGGTGCCAGCAAACGGCGGGGGCACATGCTGCAGCTACAGTGCGTTCTTCGTCTCTCGGGGCCGTTGAAGGCCAGTTTGACTTTATTAATTAGGAGCGACTCATCGATATTGATGTCCCGTCTTGAGCTAGCTTCTCAACTCATCATGAGATGAGGTAGTGACCCTTCCGATACCCGAGTTGAAATAGTACATCCCAATTCTTAATGAGTTGGAGAGTACCGGGCGCAATGTTAAGGGCTTGGAAGACTCCGGGGCTCTTGAGCGGCAGTGTGCACGATCTTGACGAGCACGGTTCCAGCAGCCCCCATCTCGAATGATGGCCTGGTGCCCGTTCTGCACGTTGACGGGCGTGTGCTTCTGGAGGTTGGAGTAGGCGCCCGATGTAGGGCCTAAATGGCACTTTCACATGTCGAAGCTAGGCAGTGCTACGGTACTAGGTCATTAGTATTTGGACAGCAATAGGGGGGTCACATGATGCCTGCCTCACATAACCCAGGGCTAAGCAAATCGTTTATTATGATATTTCGGTGTAAATTCCTTATAAATGTGGACCGCACGAAGAGATTCTAGCTGGTTGATTGGTCCCCATTATTAGCTGTCCAAATACTAATGAACCAGTACTGTATGAATGGGATGGCACAACCAAGGAGCTGAGTGAGCTGCCCCCCAACTTGCCAGCTCGAGGAGGGCCAGCACGGGTGTGTGGAGTGGGGTCTCGTGGTGCATCCGAACCATGGCAATGCCGCAAATACACCTGGTAAATGCAGCGAGAGCAATTCGGGTGAGGGGAAAGTGGTCCCGCCCTGCAGCCTGCCCCAGAATCCCCAGATCAGCCGGCGGCAATCCCGAATACCGACCGCTGCTCTCTCTTCCCCTTGCCTTGGGTTTGGCCAAATCACGAACAGCTGCCCGGTACGGTGGCCGAATCGATAGATACCCCTTCCTACTTTGGATCCGACATAGAAGAACACACAGACTTCGATCGTACCGCACTATTGAAGACGCGCGCGCGCACGCACACGATTCTTTCACATCCCTCTCCCTATCTCCCTATCTCTCCGAAGCGTCCACCATTCCTCCGTCAGCTCGTTTACTCTCCAGCGATTCTTCTTGTTCTCGCCTGATCTCGAATGACCCGTTGATGCACCGTCTCTTCGCTGTATCTGTCCGCCCATTTACCCTCAGCCCACCTTGAAAACTGGAATGGAAACACCCCTCTAGTCAGAGACAATACGCTCGCCTCGCTCCGCCGGCCCATTGTGCCATAATGCCATGACCACCACACATCACCTGTCATTATCCTCTTCAGTATCGTTATTTCCCACCAGCTTGGGCTCCTCCATGGTCTTGATCAACATTATCGCCGTCGCGCAACCATGGGAGTAGTCGTTGCGCTCTGGCAAGTGGCCGTAGACGTGACGCACTTTTGGCAGCATGTACGTATATCCATGCGAATCTGTGCATTGCTCGCCGATGGGGATTGGTCTGCCGGCAGGCCATGACTCTGCTTGCACTCTACCTGCATGGGCTGCGGCTGACCTGGATGCACATTTGCAGAAACTCCGCGCCTGGTACACACGCAAGACTCCCGTCGAACTATGGCTCGAACTCCTCCGTCATGCCGAAGCCTTCGAGGACTGGGAAGAGGCGGCACTGCATCTGGATAACTTGCTTGGACTGGACTTGTGGTGAGCAACTGATGTTGATGTTCATGTCTCAGAACCACATGCTAATTTTCTCCGTACCGCGACAGGAGGAATAACCCAACGTCCAAGTTCTACGACTACCGCCTGATCAACGAGCGCCTCAACTCCTTGATCACTGCGAGGGAGGACGGCAACCTTAATCAGCTGGTCAATCTGCTCCGCTCCGGCCTAATCCGCAACTTGGGCAACATCACTGCTCCTACCCTTTACAACCGGTCCTTCGCCGGCACCAAATACTTGATCGAAGAATACATTACACAGATCGCCGAAGCGGTGGAGGATATCACGCATCTACCAACAACGCCAGTCTCCGATTCTTATGGAGCTCCCGTTGGGTTGACCAACCAAATGAAGTTGGATTTCATCCACGACACTCGGCAAGCCTTTGGACGAAGCACGCTTGTTCTTCAGGGCGGTGCTATTTTCGGAGTCTGCCATCTCGGTGTCGTGAAAGCGTTGTTTCTCCGAGGTCTGCTCCCACGAATTATTACCGGAACCGCGACGGGCGCCCTCATAGCCGCTTTAGTAGCCATCCACACCGAGGAAGAGCTTCCCAACGTGCTCAAAGGGGATGGCATTGATCTGTCCGCGTTTTCCGGCAAGTTCAAGGCCGAAAAGGGTCTACAAAAGGACCAATCCTACGCGACGAGGTGGAACACGCTCCTGAGAAGACTGAGAAGATTCACTCGTGAAGGCTACTTTCTCGACGTCAAGGTGTTGGAGGACTGCGTGAGAGCCAATGTTGGCGACTTGACATTCGAGGAGGCATACAACAGAAGCAAGAGGGTTCTTAACATCACTGTTGCTACGGCCGATCAAGGTGGCGTTCCGACACTGCTCAACTATCTGACGGCACCGAACGTGGTGAGTGTCGTGCTTCTTGTTCGGAGTAGGGGAAAAAAAGGACTGACACTAGTGAAAGCTTATATGGACAGCTGCAGTGGCTTCGAATGCCTCCACACCCAGTCTTTACGGCCACCGCGAGACGACAGTGCTCTGTAAAGATGCGCACGGAAACATCGTACCTTGGGCGCCGGCGAACACGATCGACTTCCACCATTGGACACACGTTTCGTATTCGGAACGTGAGTCGCCACTCCTCAGGATCGCCGAGCTTTTCAATGTGAACCACTTCATTGTCAGCCAGGCTCGCCCCTACCTCATTCCCTTTTTACAGAGCGATATGCACGGTCCGTCACTCATGGAGACGCGTAACAGCACGACGTCAATCACGGCCTTTTTGGCTCGCATGGTGGGCTTGGAGATCAGGCACCGCCTACGCCAGCTTGACACGTTGCGTCTTCTCCCGGCAGGTATACGCCGCTTCCTTGTTGACGAACAAGTGCCGGGGGCGTCAATGACGCTAGTTCCCGAGGTATCAGCTAGCGACTTTGTACGCTTGCTCGAGACGCCGACAAGGGAGACGCTAGATTACTGGATTTCGAGGGGCGAGCGGAGCGTTTGGCCTGCCGTTGCCGCGCTTCGGATTCGCTGCGCCGTCGAGAACGAGCTGGACAGGTCATATCAGACCGTCCGCAGATTGAAGGCGGGTGGTCTCCGGAGGAAAGGTTCAACAGCAGCAGCAGCGCCATTGGACAACAGCAACAAAGATCGAAGAGCAAGCAGCTTGGGGGCTGCATACTGATGGTACCGACCGGAAGCAGGCTGCACGCTGCAGCTGATCAATCCCATGCCATCTGAGGGTCAACCCTGAGGTTTCGGGTGTCAGCCCGATGCATGCGGATCCCACGTCGACGCTCGATGCGACTGTGTCATCCACACAAGGCACACTGTAGCTTGGGGGAGTGGCTCATCTACAGATTCGTACCAGCCTCGTGGTTGGTCAGAGCGAGACGGACACGGCGGTCAATGAATGGCGTGGCGTTTTGGGGTCCGAATATGATTACGCGGTAACGGGGAAGCGTGGGGAAGACATACCGGTTGTCAATGAACGGCCAAGGTGTTCTCGAATACAGCCACTTTCAGGTTGTCGGTCAGGCTGCAGGTTACAGGCAGGGGGGGCAGGCCTAAGCAGAATGCAGGAGGGAGGGTTCAGCCCAGTTAGGATGCAGAGAGATGCATGTGTCCGTTAGCATGTATGACGGAGGGAACGCATCCCAGTGACGAGCCGGATGACCTATAGACCAAATGCTACACGGAAGATTTTCTTCTCCTGGTGTCATGGCCAAATCTGGGTACCGACGGTGAACATGGATTGGAATGCGTGAATGTCCAAGGGGAGCCGTCGAGGGCGGGATGCCTCACCGCGCCCGCCTGCCCCCCCCTGCCCCCGTGCGCGCACCCCTCAATGGATATGCATGCGCGCTCCTACTTGTTAATCCCTCAAAGTTGTGTTTATTACCATTCGGAGCCCGTCAGTTGGCCTTGCCAATAGTCTTGGGGTGCTGGAAGGCGGTTCGGCGCAGCACCGGCGAAGTGTTGGACCCCGGCACACCCACACACCCACACAAACCAGTCACACCTGCGATAGGTATCCGTACAGGCACGAAACCATACGGATAGTGTAGACAAGTTGAGTGGGGATGGTGGGCTGATGGAGAAGGAAGAGGATGCGGTGGCGTGCATGGGCAGATAAGAGGGGCCAGTGCAGGAGGAGATCCGTACGCTAGAGACCTTCTCGAAGCCTTCTCGAAGCGTTCGGGGGGGTTGGAGGGTTGGAGGGTGGCAGGTACCACAAGGTCACTCGTTGGGCAGGCTATTGCCAGGATAGAACAGGCGGGGGCTACGGCGAGGGGGTGCTGCTCGCTCGCCCGCTCCTACAGAGAGTCCTTTTGTCGACTGTGCAATCTTGGGCTTGCTTGGCGAAACCGGCACCGCGGCCTCAGTGAGAATTGGGTGACACGGAAAGGGAGCATCAAGATGTAGAGGAAGTATTTCGCTCAGCGGTCACGAGGGATCGGTGGATGCACTGGTCTTGGTTCCCGCGCCGCACGTTGTTCCTCGATTTAGTTGCATGTTGTAGACGCCGGGGAACAGTTCCGGCTTGAGGTGCGTAGCAAAGGTTGCTCAGGAGCATTCCGAGGCCAAGGGTCGGGTACGAAGTCCGCTCGCTCTCTCCCCTTGCTCTTTAGAGTCGCCCGGTATGTGTGGCCGGGGACCTGAGGTGAAGCGCTCGACACGGTTGCAACGGGTAGAACTAGGTCCTACAGTAGTCCTGGACTGGCGAAAGTGGACAAGTGGCCGGCGCTTAGGACCCGACGCCCGAGAATTGTGGTTCGGGGACTAGAGCTGCCATTTGGCGCAGGCCGCAGGCCGCATCTGTGTCTGTGCCGCCAGGTGACCTGGCATGCGTCGAAGATCTTTTCCTGTAGCAGCCTGCCCTCGGGCTTGTGCTGGTGCCAGAGGCTCCCGTATCGTCACGGTCGGCGATGTTGCCCATGTTTCTGTAATATTCTTTCCGCTAAGAAGGCCGAGTAGGTAGTTCGTCAGCTTGCGGGCTCCACATATTTGAAGTCGTCGGCGTTGCCGGCAGCGCGTATGCGCCGTTTCGACCCGGAGCTGCGGGCAAGTGGCACAGGAAGTATCCCTGCGCTAACTAGTCCTGACCCCAATTCATATGGCCTAAGCAATGAACACCCAGTGCTTAAGTTAGGGCTGGTATTGTCTTCTGTGTCGTGACGTCGTGCGGTCTGCGTGTGCTGGCATTGCTGGGCGTGTACGCAGCACATCTATGTCTCTCGAAGATCGGAGCATATGCCCGACCGAGGGAGATGAAAGCGATGGTTCACTTGACGGCGCGTTTCAGATCGACTGACAGCAGTAGCGTTGGCCAGGTTTCTTGGCGTTCGGACATGAACCAGTGATGCCATGGAAATGGGATTAAGCCGCAGACGATCAAAACTGGTTGGTAATCTGTTGTTGTCAAAGACAAGTGGTTGAATCAAGGAACTTGCATCTCGGTGTGAAGGTAGCCAGAGATTAAGGTTTGGTGAGGTATGGAGATTGGATCTGACGACAATCCAGAAGGCCCGTGTTGCAACAACGTCTTCCTGAACCTGGGCGATGCGACCATCGGCCTCGAGGCTCGCCCCCGGACGGGACACGTCAACGTCGTTCTTCGGTGAGCAAGCTTGGCAAGGTGACGCTCGTATTGGCGACCGTCGTCAAGCCCGTGCGCGTTGCGAAGCGGGATCGGAGACCAAAGTATCTATTCACAGCTGGGGCTGGCTGTGCAATGCGGACGCCATCCAAAGTTGGGAGGGGCGCATGACGAGCTAGTCCGTGTGCTCGCGGCATCGAAAGATCTACCTATGTCAGCAAGCAGTAAAGACTGACACTTAGTAGCGAGATGGGAACATGGGATGGCAGAGGACGAGCTGCACGGCATGCATTGGGATGATGCCATCAACCGTTGTCAAGTAGGGCGCAAAGGGAAGAATTAGCGCCAAACGTGCCATTCTCCACCCTTTAGATATATACGAGAGGGAAAACGAGGCGAGCAAAGAGCAGTCAGTTGTGAAGTAGGTAATGAAGGGTGCAAGGGGAAGAGGATCCTCACACGGCCAAGACCTGAGGCCAAATTGGAGTTCGGCATACCTGTCTCAAGCTATTGGGAACGAAAGCAGCGGAATCGATGCGGAATGGCAGGTCGCTGAGATGAGGAAAGAGAGACGACGACATGAACCAATGTGCAAGGTCTTCAGGTCCCTCCCTCCATACAACAGCGAGGGAAAGTACTGTGCTTGGACCCCACATCTACGCTACACACACCTACCTACACCTCCCCAGGAACCCAGATGCAGCTGTCCTCACCCACGCCCTCCCTCACGCCTGCATCCACACCTACACACCCACCTGTCTGGGTAATGAACATCTCTCTCTCTCTCTCTCTCTCTCTCTCTATGTCTCCTTCAGCATTGCCCTGCGCTTCTCTCTCCTCGCATGCTGCTATCTGTCGCACCACCACCATCATCGACATGCCGGGCTCAGCCATGATGTGTGTGCCTGCGTCGGGTAAGATGGTCATAAAATGGGGACCAGAAAGAGAGGGAAGAGGAGGGGTGAGGAAGTGGTGGATGAGTGAATCAAAGAAAGACGAGGATAGCACACACCTTGAGACAAGAAGAGCGTGGCTCTCGTGCTGTTGGTACCGATGCGGCACACCAAACCAGCACTCCCGACACCACCAAACATCCCGTACCTGACGCAGTGCGTAAGCCGTGTGTGTATAAATCCCTCCGGCCCCCGAAACCTCACATGCCTACCTTTCCCCCCCTTCTTCTTCGACACAGCGTCAGAAATCACCATTCAATAGATAGATAGCATATACTCTACGATTCCCCTCTTTCCTGTCCTCCTCCCTTCAAGCCACTTGTATCCCGCTATTCTGGAACGAATGGCCTCGTGAATTCTCTCTGGAACGAGAGGAACGAGTACACCACGTCCCGCCGGTCAACACCATCGTCCACCTAGCTTCCTAGCATTAATTCCCTTCACCAACACCAAGCAGGTCTTGCCGAGGCCCTTTTCGATTCTCTTGCTTGTTCAGCTTCCGGTGAGAAACACTTGTTCCTGGACGAATCGTTGGACACCCTGAGCGAGGGCTGGCATCGCTTCCATTAGCCAGCATCACTCGACAGCCACCCTCTCCCATATAATACACGCCCTAATACCCATTCGGCCGCGCAGCACGCCATACGCAATCATGTCCAATTCCAGAGGCATCGAAAAGCATCTCGACTTCCCCGTTGGCTCCGCAGAGTACCAGCCCGGCAACTTTTCGCAGCAACGCAGTCCCCAGTACAAAATCTCCAACGAATCCGCATCAGCTCTCGCCGAGGGCTACGGCGCTCCCGCAGATTCGGGCCACGACAGCGACTTCGTCGTCATAACTCGCGGCGAGGTCACTGCTTCGGGGCCGCCCTCGGAGGCCACCGGCTCTGACGACACCGTCATCGACAGCGCCGTTATGAGTGGGGCCGCTGGAGCTCCAGCAGTCCTGGACTCTGCTCTGACCCAGAACAATATCCATCTCCACGATCGTGTATGCCCGCTCGGCACCATGCCCACATACCAATGGATATGGGGTCAGCCCTGCCCCGGTCGCTTCGACATCAAGGACACTTCGTCCAGGGAGAGCATGATGGTCCACGTCGCCCACTCGCGCGCCAGTCAGGCAACTGATAGCCTGGAGAACGAATACGGCGTCGTCAACCACCCTCCCGAATCATTCATTGCCTTTGCTGGCCACTGGGCCTATGTCCCCGCCGGCCCTATGCCGCTGGATGATGATGAATCCGATCCACTAAAGTGAAGATTCTGCCACGGCCTCGTCCTTTCTGCCGTCTCGTCTCGTCTCTGGTGGTGGCTGGCACTATAGCCGACTCCTCCTTCCCTTCTGACGTGGAACTGTCGCCTGGCTTCCCACAATGACAAGGGTGCCGGGAAGACAAGGAATAGGTCGACCGGGAGTCGCTTTTGGCTCACCCAGTCATTTGTTAAATCGTCAGCCGGACTGTTCGCTCGTATAAAGGATCATGCTGCCATGAAGCGCCGAAAAATCTCGCCGTATTTCGGCATAGTCCATGTTGCTCGTTGTCGGTCGGCTTGTTTCTGGATCAGCTTGGGTGCTGTTAAAAGGATCGAACACTGTCATTTCCCCGAACAAAATAGAAAGCCTTCTAGTCCAATCCCCTCTTGTACGCTTTGGTAGTGCACCGGTGTGCCGTTGGAATGCCAATCATTAATCTTCGCTTCCGTCGTTGCGTTTTGCCCCGTGACCGAGCTCAGTCTACCTACCCTGACCCTCCCCGCCCTCCTCCCCCCATCGGCAGGGGCCGATTAAGATCTTCACCCCGCTAACACTCCAATAAATCGCCTCGATGCGGGGGAGTGCGCCCCCCAAGAGCGGGACGGACGTGGAGATGGCGTTGCATCGCATGGGATGAACTCTCGTTCCCCGGCACCGGTCTAGGAATTTCTCCATGATGCTTTGAATTTAGCCTGAACTCCGGCCGCTTCCAACTCATTACCCAGCGTATCACCGCACCACCCAGTTCCGTGTTGCCGGATGACCTCGTCTCTGCCCACAGGGCGGTCCGTTGCGTTGCCATAACGCCATGGTATAACGTATCGTATTGATGGAGAAATTGGCGCGATGCAAGGCACCCAGTCCGTACCTGCATGTTGTTATAAGGCCCGCGGGCCCCTTCTCTCACGGAGGACCAGCGTCGTGCTCTGCAGCCAGCATTCGCCTCCTCCGTAGCTTGTCGCGATGATCATCTCCCTCAAGACGGCCCTCGCGGCCTTGCTTCTCTCACCTCTGGCAGCACAGGCCCGCCCGAGATGCCCTACGCGGGACGAGAGGGAATGGGTCACCATCTGGGGAACCATGCCCCAGCTCTGCGAGCCAGCCAACCTGCCCCCGGCGCCCTTTGTGAGTCTCCCGCCTGGTGTACATCGACGCCTTTTGTGCTCTTCTCTTCTCTTGCGCAGCGGCTGACCTCGCACAGAACGAGACGGGCCGCGTCTTCCGCGACGCGACGCTTCGCCAGACCGTCAAGGTCTCCCTCGCAGCCGCCACCCTCCGCCTGCAGATCAGCAACGCCTTCGGCGGATCCGACCTGCCCGTCACCGCCGTCACCATCGCCCGCACGGCCAACAACACGGCCGGTACGAGCGGCGTCGACGCCGAATCCCTTCAGGTCGTCACCTTCTCCGGCAGCGGCGGCTTTGTCGTCCCCAACGGCGCCATCGTCTTCTCGGACCCGATCGAGCTCTCCGTCGCGGCGCAGTCCATCGTCTCCGTGACCATCTACCTCGCCGACGGGCAGACGACCAACAGCATAACCGCGCACCCGGGCAGCCGGACGACCTCGTTCCTCGTCAGCGGGAACCACGTTGCCGACCAGGCCATGGGCGCCAACGCCACTCGAACGGACCACTGGTACCTGATCAGCTCCATCGAGGCCTGGTTGCCCAAGGGCGCGTCGGCCGTGGCCATCGTGGGCGACTCCATCTCTGACGGCCGCGGCTCGACGACGAACGCTAACGACCGCTGGCCCGACCGGCTGCTGGCGCGGCTCAAGGCCGAGCCGTCGACGCAGGCCATCGCCATCGTCAACGAGGCCGCAGGCGGGAACCGCGTGCTGGCCGACGGCCTGGGCCCGAACGGCCTAGGTCGCATCGACAGGGACGTCATCGCGCAGTCCGGGGTGCGGTACGCCATCGTCTTCATCGGCGTCAACGACATCGGCACGGCGCCCACCACCGCGGCCGCCCAGGAGGCCGTCGGCGACAGGCTCGTGGCGGCGTACGACCAGATCATCACGCGGCTGCACCGCTTCGGCATCGCCGTCTTCGGGGCGACCATCACGCCGATGACCGGGGAGGGCCAGACGTACGGGGATCCGGAGCGGGAGAAGACGAGACAGCGGGTAAACGAGTGGATCCGAACCAGCGGGCGGTTCGACGGGCTCATCGACTTTGACGAGGTCGTGAGAGACCCCGCGGCGCCGGAGAAGCTGCGAGCCGAGTACGACACGGGCGATCACCTGCACCTCAACCCGGCCGGGTACGAGGCCATGGCCGCCGGCGTCGACCTGGCGCTGTTCGAGAAGTTCAAGGACGGCGCTTGGGGTATGGTATAGAAGGCGGCGGGCGGGCGCGCGGGCGCCCTCCAGCTCATTGTGCGGAAAAGAAGAGGAAGCCGTGGTGGGTCAGAGGGTGTTTTTGTAAGCGAGTCGACGTTGATGAGAAGGATTCGCCAGACCGCGCGCGTCTGGTGTATGTGTAGCATGGCGATTGGATGGCAGAATGCACCTCCCGTCCAAGAGACCGTCCAGTGGCGGAAGCGGTATTAGTAGCATGCGACCTGCGACCTATGCGGTCCAAATAAGAGCAAAACTTAATAGAATGTTGGTATGTTTCTCAAACGCAAATCAGCCCTTGCCTACCCATGTTGTGGAGCATTCGTGGGAGTCGGGGCTTCCGCCTGGCCCGAGACAGTTGCGAGAGCCGGGGGTGGGCAATTCCTGCGTATGAATTTATTTTTATTTTTATTATAATGTACCTGTGAAATCTTTACATGTTTTGCATTCATGTGAATAAAGGAAGAGCGTGACAAGGGGAAGAAGCGCCGTGCTATGCAGATCATTTAATGGGGAAGACTCAGATCATTTGATGGGGAAGACTTATATAGCCTGGAGACATTGTCTCGTTGCACTTGCACCGGGTATGTGACACCGCGAGGCCCTTTTCAACTACTAACCCGACAGATTGTCAGCCCTCCATTCGCCGTGTAACTGACCACCCGGACGCGGCGTACTGTTCTCGATTTCAGAGGAAGTCTTCATCGTCCTGTCTTTGACACCTTCTACTTCGTGCCCATGCCGTTCCTTTGAAATGGTTACCAAGAAGTGGAGCTGTCGAATTGGATCCTGTAGGAACCCCCCCCAATAGGTCTCCACATATTATATACCCTAAACCGGCATGCCCATCTCAACCAACTATCAATGGATGCGAACATCCACAATTCCCCGATAGTCTAGTGGTGAGGATATCTGCTTGTCAACACACCCAGGGTCACTGATCCCGGGTTGATTCGCAGGGGACCGGGGTTCAATTCCCCGTCGAGGAGATCTTTTTGCTCATTACCTCGAGTTTACAAGACAAAAGGGCGGTGCTTGAAACTCTTTTGACGGTTGCGGTGCGGGTGGTGGCCGAGTTGCTATAACCAACCCGGAGCTAAGCCTGGCCCAGCAGTGTATGTAGTAGGTTCGGCATTGGGGCCATGTCGGTGCCCACTATAATTGCATGACAAGGGGCCTTCGCCCTTCGCCTCAGCACTTGTACATGAGAGGGCGTGCGTGCACTCCGGCAATCTTTCTACTTGTGTATCAACCTCAAGAACGAACCACCCATTTAAGGAGGTCGCAATAGGCTCAATTGAATCGAAACCGATTCCCTGAGCTCTTTCAACGAGCTGTCAATCGAACCGCTGCAGCCTGTTCAGTCCAGGTTGCGCCCGTCTCCTTTATCGTGCAATACACCTCTAAAACACCCGTCGAAAGCCCGAGCAACGGCGGTATTGCATTTACTCACTGAGCATGATCGTCCCACGCTCGTCTTGCCGTCTGGCGAGACACGCACTGTCTCGGGCCCAGCTGTGCCAGGGCTCAAAACGAGCCGCGCCTGCGGGTGCGGTGCTTGGCCGGCCCCAGACAGACCGTCGTTACATGAGCGCCGGCGCCTATCGGACCCCTGCCGGACTGAAGAATCTTCTGCGCGTCTCGGAGGAGGTTGCCGACGCCGTCGCAACCAACAAGCCCGTCGTTGCTCTGGAGTCGACAATCTACACCCACGGCGCGCTGGCCAACGACCTCGGTTTGGAGGACGTCGTTCGTCGGGGCGGTGGTGTACCCGCCGTCTGCGGTATCCTCAACGGCGAGCCCGTCGTTGGTTTGACCGAGGCGGAGGTCGCACAGATGGTCGACTCTGGCACCGCCAGCAAGGTTTCGAGAAGAGATGTTGCTCACTTGGTTGGACTGGTAAGTTGACATCGTCGTAGTCTAGGCCCCACGACCAGCTCATTCCAACTGGCTTCCCACGTCTTCCCTGAAAACCCCCAGCCACCACCAACCGAGGCGCAACCAGGCTGACGGATATACCAGGGCATCACGGGCAAGAAGGTCCACGGCGGCACAACCATCGCCGGCACCATGCTGCTCTCAAGGCTCGCCGGCATCCGAGTCTTCGGCACCGGCGGCCTCGGCGGCGTCCACCGCGGCGGCGAGAACTCCATGGACGTCTCGGCGGACCTCACGGAGCTCGGCCGCACCCGCGTGGCGGTCGTGAGCTCCGGCTGCAAGGGCTTCCTCGACATCCCGCGCACGCTCGAGTTCCTCGAGACGCACGGCGCCTTCGTCGCGACCTTTGCCGACGGCCGCACGGGCAGCGTCGACTTCCCCGCCTTCTGGGCGCGCGAGAGCGGTACCAAGAGCCCCCTGGTCGTCCAAACCGAGCGCGAGGCCGCCGCCATGATCCTGGCGCAGGAGAGGCTGGGCATCGAGTCCGGCATGCTCTTTGCCAACCCCATCCCCGAGGAGCACGGCATCCCCCGCGCGGAGATGGACGCCGTCATCGAGACGGCCGTCACGGAAGCCGTCGAGAAGGGGTTCACCGGGGCCACCAACACGCCGTACGTCCTCGGCAGGATCAGGCAGTTGACGCAGGAGCGGAGCACGCTGGCCAACGTTGCCTTGGTGAGAGCCAACGTGGCGAGGGCCACCAAGATCGCCGTGGAGCTCTCGAAACTGCTGAACGGGGATGCCGGAGCGGAATCCGTGTAAGTGGGCTTTTGTCTTTTTGTATCTTTATCTATTTATCCATCTTACGCATAGATCAGCCAGAAGGTAGACTCTGACTACGTAGATAGCTCTCCAAACACGTTTGTTTCTGGTTATGACGTCCCTGCCGCTGCGAAGCCCGCGACCAAGGCGGAAGCGCCCAAGCCGAGCAAGGCGGATGTTCTTGTGGCAGGATCCGTGGCCATTGACCTGAGCTGTGACTACCACCCCCTTGGAGACAAGAAAGAGGTCTCCCCCCATATGCATACGTCAAATCCTGCCTGCATCAGCCAGTCCATCGGCGGCGTCGGCCACAACGTGGCCCTCGCAGCGCACAGGGTGAGCAAGGACATCAGCGTGCGCCTTTGTAGCTTGATCGGAGACGACGTGTAAGTCGACGCCCATATCCTCGCTCACCTCGCCCGTTTTTCTGAGTGAAATATACAAAAAAAGTGCCGGAGCGACCGTGCTCTCCTCCCTCGAGGCGTCGGGTCTCGAGACGACGTACATTCGCCAGCTCACGTCGGACTACCACGTCTCGAACCGCACCGCGCAGTACGTCGCCGTCAACGACGCCGAGAAGAACCTCGTCATGGCCATGGCCGACATGGGCATCTTCGCCAACCACTCGTTCCCCGACTACTGGAAATCGGCCGTCGCCGGCGCCAAGCCGCGCTGGCTCGTCGTCGACGGCAACTGGAGCCCCAAGGACATCCGGGCGTGGATCCAGGCCGGCCGTGAGCACGCCTGCAAGGTCGCCTTCGAGCCCGTCTCGACGGCCAAGTCCACCGGCCTCTTCCCGCGGGGGCAGCACCCGCACCTCGGCGTGTTCCCGGAGCCGGGCATCGACATGGCGTCGCCGAACCATTACGAGCTGACGGCCATGTACGACGCCGCCAAGGAGAACGGCTTCTTCGAGACCCCGGAGTGGTTCGAGGTCATCGACGCGTTCGGGATGCACGGCGCCAGGGAGCGCTTCGTGTACCTGACGTCCAGGGAGATGACAGACGCGGGGGTCCCTGTGCAGACGATCCACCTCCTGCCCTACATCCCCACCATCGTCACGAAGCTGGGCTCCAAGGGCGTTCTGTTGACCACGATCCTGAGCAAGGACGACCCTCGTTTGAAGGATAGAAACGAGGAGAGGTGGCTTCTCACCAGGGCCCGCGCCGACCACCCTACGATCGGCGGCGTATACATGCGTCTGTTCCCGCCGGCGGAAACGGTCGCCGCGGAAGACGTCGTCTCTGTCAACGGCGTTGGAGACACGTTCCTGGGCGTCATGGTCGCGGGCCTGTCGAAGGGGGGCAAGGTTGAGGACCTGATCGGCGTTGCGCAGAAGGCGGCCGTCTTGACCCTGAAGAGCCACCAGAGCGTGAGCCCTGACCTGGGAAGGCTCGACGGGCTGTTGAAGGCCGCCGTGAGGGGCTGATCAGTCTGCGGCGATGTTGCAGGAATAAAAACTCCGTATTATTCGTTGGTATGGCAGTGAGGACTGTCCCGGCCGGCTACTCTTTTTCGGGCTTACTTGACAATGAGGTCTCGAGGCACGAAGAAATAACACTGTAACGATAAATGGCACGGCACATCTTGAATGGTTCCTCACGCCTCAAGGCCATGGTACAGCAACACAACTCTCATACATACATATACCGTGATGAAAGGTTGCGTGTGCTACGTCTCGGTGTTGTTGAGTAACACAATATGAAGGCCAAATCTCAAGACTGATCGTTTGGACACCCGCTGGGTGGTCGCACCAGTCAGTCCTTGGCCAGGACAACACTGGGAGAATTACAGAGAAGCTTCAAAGTGTAAAAAAAACCAAAAATAAAAAAAAACCCCCAGTTAAAAATATAGTATGCAGCAAACAAACCAAACTTCATTAAGCTTCCATGGTCAACTTCATCAAGCTTCGTACTCAACATCGCACCGATGCGACATGAGGATTCAGAGGAGTGGTAGCCACTGTGCAGCCACGGAGGGGTCTCAATGCCCCGCAGAACAGCCTCGGAAAAGGGTAAGATCCATTGGCCAGGTCCTCTGTTGTGGCTGAAAAGCTCGCCAATGGCCATCTGGGAGCGCCTGCAAGGCTGAGAGCCCCAGTAAAAAAATTCTGGACGTCCTGCAAGCAGCTTCCTACTCCCGCCCTGATCTGCTGGTGCGTGCTCACGACGGAAAATCCTCGCCAGACAAAAAAAGAAAAAAAAGTCACAACCTACGACAATGGCAAAAGAACAACCGTTCGAGAGGTTTTCCGACGAGGAAGAGGAAGAGGAACTGTCCTCTTCGGAAGAGTCGGAACTCGAGGAGACCCCGCGCCAGCGCAAACCGAAGCCCGTGTTCGACGAGAAGGATTCCGACGAGGAGGAGCTCGAGAGGCTGGTCTTGGGAGGAAAGGCGGACTTTCGCGAACAACTTTTCCAGAACGATGTGCTCGGCGACATTGAGCGCCTGGAGAGGGAGCAGAACCTCCAGCTCACCAAGCCTGACGATTCCACACTAGAAGACGTTGCCGACCACGACCTCTTCTTCCTCGACACCGGCGTCCCCACGGCCAAGAGCTCACAGACCGGCAAGGCCGCCAAGGAGGAACCGGCGGCCGTCGAGGGCGCTCCCGCGTGGGAGGATAGCGACGACGAGCGGTTGACCGTCTCCCTGGCGACAGCGACGAGGTTACGGAAGCTGCGCCTCACCGAGGCCGAAGACGTGGTCAGCGGTACCGAGTACAGCAGAAGGCTGCGAACCCAGTTCCTCCGGCTGAACCCCCTGCCGAAGTGGGCGCAAGAGCCCGAAGGCCGGCCCGCGAAGCGGAGGAGACGCTCGTCCGCCGCCGCCTCCGACTCCTCCGTCAGCTCCGACCAGGAGGACAGCGACACGGAGCTGTCCGCCGCCCCCCTGGAGAAGTTCCTGCGCGACGTCCACCGCCTCGCCGGCAAGGACGCCGCGGGCAAGGCCCGCCTCAGGCCCGAGGTCATCGACATCCAGCGCACGCGCGAGATCCCCGACACCCACAAGGCGGCCGTCAACAACCTGTCCTTCCACCCGAAATACCCCGTCCTCCTCTCCTCCAGCGTCTCCTCGGTGCTCTACCTGCACCACCTCAACCCGACGGCGCACCCGACGCCGAACCCGATGCTCACCTCGGTGCAGGCCAAGGGCGTCGACGTCCGCCGCGCCGAGTTCCTGTACCCGGCGGGCGACCAGATCTTCTTCGCCGGGCGGCGCAAGTTCTTCCACAGCTGGGACCTCGAATCCGGCCACGTGCAGAAGACGAGCCAGATCCAGGGCCACAATCTCGAGCACAAGAGCATGGAGCGCTTCAAGCTCAGCCCCTGCGGGCGGTACATGGGCCTCGTGGCATCGACGAGGAAGGGCGGCGGCATCGTCAACATCGTCAGCACCGAGTCGAGGCAGTGGGTCGCGGCCGCGCGGCTCGACAGCCGGCACGGCATCGCCGACTTTGCGTGGTGGGGCACGGGTGACGGGCTCTCGATCCTGGGGCGGGACGGCTCCGTCGGCGAGTACAGCATGGCGGAGCGCAAGTTCCTCGCCGTGTGGCGCGACGAGGGCTGCGTGGGCGGCATCGTCATCGCGCTGGGCGGCCACCACCAGGGCCCGGAGCTCCTGGGCGGCGACCGCTGGGTGGCTGTCGGGTCCAGCAGCGGCATCGCCAACATCTACGACCGCGGGGCCCTCGTCAAGACGTCCAAGACGGGCGAGGTCGGCGTCGAGGAGCGGCCGGAGCCGACGCGCCGCTTCGAGCAGCTGGTCACGCCCATCACGGTGCTGACCTTCTCGCCCGACGGCCAGCTGCTGGCGTTCGGCAGCAGGGAGGCCAAGGACGCGCTGCGCCTCGTCCACCTGCCCAGCTGCACCGTCTACAGGAACTGGCCCACGGCGCAGACGCCGCTGGGCAGGATCACGAGCGTTGCGTTTGGGCGGAGCAGCGAGCTCCTCGCGGTCGGTAATGACACGGGCAAGATCAGGATGTGGGAGATACGGAGTTAGACAAGAGTCACCGAGAAAGGGGGAGAAAAAAGGAGAATGGGGAATCTTTTTGTTGTATTGCGTGGTTTGCGCGGCGTGAGGCCATCTTAATTCCATTACCCTGCCAATCCAGCCAAAAACGTTCCATCGTATCCGCGCAAAAAAGCCGTGTCGTCCCGGTTCCGTGTCACCGGGTTTCTCTCCCTCCCTCTCTCAAATGTACCTGCCAATATTGCGAAGAAGCTTGCGGCAGGGGTCTGTCTTGGGTATCTCATTGATGGGCACCCACAGGCCCGTCTTCCGGGTATACTTCGCGAGCTCGCGCACGTTCTCGAAGAAGATGATAGCTTTGCCATTGCCCTTGGCTTCGAGGAACTGTCTTATGTTCACGTGGACCTTCTCGAGGGCCTTTATAACGCAGAAGGGGAAACGAGGTCAGCTCGAAGAGTCCTTTGCGATGGGGTCTTCTGGCGGAGAGAGGGGAGGGGAGGGGGGGGATGCTGGCTGACCTTGCGGCACTGGGTCTTGCTGGGCAGGTCGCCGGGCAGGCCGAGATCCAAGCAGAGGCGCTGCCAGTCGGCGAGCTCTCTCTTGCCAAAGTACTTGCTCCATTTCGCGAAGAAGTCCTCCTCGGCCTTGGCCTGCTTCTCTTTCTTGGTCTTTGGGGCGGCGGCGGCGTCCTTGGCGTTAGGGGCGATGTTCGTCTCAGCGTCAGGCAAGGCGGCGGCCTCGCCCTTGGTCTCGGCCGTTTGGGTGTTCTTCTTCTTCGACTTCTTCTTCTTCTTCTTTTTCTCCTCCTCCTCCTCCATCTTCACATTGAGAGGAGCGCCGCCCTTATTCTCCTCGGCCTCCGGGACGGCAAGATCCTCCATCTTCTCGCCCTCGAGCTCGAGGTCCTCCAACTTGACGTAGACGTAGTCGAGGAGGTCGTCGATCTCGTCGCGGTCCTCGTTCTTGGTGTGCTGGGCGTCGACGTCCGGCTCCTCCATTTTGACGACGACGACGCGATTCTTCTCGGGCTCCTGGCCACGTTGTTTGCCCTCCTCCTCCGCCTTCGAGTCTGCCTGCGCTCCCTCGGGCTTGCGGCCGCGGCCTTTTTGCTTGGAAGCCATTTCTGCCTGTCTGCAACTGGGGGGTGAGCTGCTATGTAATAGGATCATGCTTTCGGGGGAAATGCGAGTTTAGGACCAAGCTCACCTGTAAAAGCTGATGCGATGTCTTGATTTATCGGGCTCCCTTTGTATAGTCGTGGGGTGAGAGTGGCCCGGAGACGGGGTTGGCTGTGGTACCCGTTGTTGAAGGATGAGACCGGCAGGAAAGAAAGGGGTTTTTTTTTTCTCACGTTGCGGATGAAACCAATATAAGTGTTTGTTTGTCGTTGGTCGTTTGTTCTTGTTTATTCATGTGTATTCCCCGTTTGGACGACAAGGTGCACATGGGCCTGCTATGACCACCTTGGCCAGGTTTGGAATCAGACGTTCACTGCCTTGACTTATAGTGAGGTCTTGGGCGTGAACATTTCAATTGTATGGGGATTGAGGGTATTCAGACAAGCCCCTCGGGAAAGTCTTGTGGCTTGCGAGATGTCAATGGATCGAACCAACGTATCCACACAGGATTTCCCCGCAGCACGTGTGACAACGATAAGGCATCACAAGGTTTAATTAGCTCAGTACTTGTTGTACCAGATCACTAAGGCGGTCGTGGTCTGAATAGCAGTTGCTTGTTAAAAGCCTTTCCTGGCTGCAATCTGTTAATATGCAAAGCTTGTGAACACAAACTCAATGTGCTGTTGGAAGTAAGTTGGGCAGTGTCAGTCCAGTTCACAGGCCTTGGCTTGGATGCTTTTGATATTTGGGGTATACGCCAGTTCGGGTGGGGGGAAAAGGCCATATTCACTGCTGTGAAGCTTATCTGCAATGTCCGAGAAAGAAAACAAAAAAACCAACGACATAATATGCCGGGGCATCAGTTGAGACAGCCACTGTAAATTTGAGATGATTGTGACTGTTGCTCCTACCATCACTCACACGGAACTTTGAACATCGAGGCCATGCCTATTCTAAGCATCGCATTGGACGCCAGACAGACAGCATTCGGTTACAGTCACAATTTCTCTAGGATAGGCAAACAGAGAGGACGCCCTGAGAAGATTTTTACAACCGCTGGAACCTGTATTTGTTCATCAGCCGCCTGGTCTTGGTCAATCATTCGTGCGCATAGCCCATCATCAATATGATATGTCAAACTGATGCTATATCCTGGAGCTGTGGGGAGAATGTGCTGCCTACGGGAGCGGGAGCCCAGTCATGACAACTCACTACACACACACACACACACACACACACACATATATATATATATATATATGGCGTTCGTTCGCAGGGCGGTGACATCCAAACGGATGCTGTGTAACGTTGCTTTGCCGAGAACTTCAACAGGAGGACCGTCCGTTGCCGCTTATTTAGCAGCAGCTGCCTCTCCCCTTTGGCTCGCCGTCTTGTTCATGCACGGTTGTACTGCCCATTGTTGGTCTAAATCTTTGGGGGCGAGGGGGAGGACTGCAAGAAACAAGTCAAGAAGCACCTGCAAATCGACTTCCGTGACCTTGTCACACCGTCGCCCAATAACTTATCTATCAAGCCTAGCGCGATGTTGGCAAGATGAAAGTATCTGCCAGCTGGCAATGGCCCAAGAGCTTGCACGCTGTTGGGAAGACGGCGAGGACCGGAAACAGAGTACTGCCGAGGTCTCTAGAAAGGCCATCTACCGTGTCAGGACACTGACGTTGTTCGAAACCCATCCGATGTCTCGAATGCGAAAGCATCAACTAGACGGCGATACCCGCGAATGTCACTTCCAGCTCAACTACGTATCGTGTACCGGCCCACGATCAAGGGCGTCATACCCCTGGATCTCATCTCGATTGTTAACTCTGCAGACCCAAATGAAGGGCTCATCGTCGATGGATGAGCACTTGGGGGAAGGGTGCACCGACAGGGTCCAAGTTATCGGGAAGTCAGGCATCGGCCCACATAGCAGACGGCTTGCGGCTGTCATCGATGACGACCGCGGGCTCACCTGAAGACGACGGAGGGTCGACCAGCAATGGAGCCGTTTGCGGGCCGTGGCCGCGCTACTCTGCGAGCGGGTGGTTTGCGTCTGTGGTCGACCACGAGGACAGTTTTACGCGGCACCCCCCGAACGAGAAACTTCAACAGGAAGCCGCTAGTAGAGCTCGTCCCCCCCTCTGATTCCGATGCCGTAGGTACGAGCAGATCGAGTAGAACGGCGGGGCTTCGTCATTTCTCGAAGAACTCTCCAACTGCTTTCCAGAGTTGTTGAAACCCGGAGATTTGACAGAGGAAAAAAGAAAAGAAAAAAAAAACATGAAGAAAAGAAGAAGAAAGCGCCTGAGAGCTTCCACGGGAAGGGTCTGGAGCGAGGCACAAAGGCTGAAAGGCCTCGGCGGTGGTTCCGGTCCATACTCCATCTCTATCTCCATCACGGGTAAGATGGCGCGACGACGCGCGAGACACTGACACGGGAGAGAGAACAGGCGGGCAGGGCAGCCAAGCCACACCGTCACTGACGGCGGAGCGGGTGTTCTGTGTGTGTCCATGACAGAACAGAGAAAGCTTTTTGGGTTCGGGACGCTACGGGGGGATTGAGAGTCAAACCGGCAAAGGCGGGCGGAAAAGGCGCGTGGCTGGCCGTTCAGGACGCCAAAATTCGCGCTTATTTCGTACTATATACATGGGAGAGGTCACGGGTTTTTACTCCTTTTTTTTTCTTTCCTTCTCCGTTGGTTGGCTTTGAGTGGTCGCAGGAGACCGGGTATCCATGGTATTCACGGTGCCCACCCCGGGGTGGAGTTGTCCCATCAAAGTGGGCAAAGATGCAAGACCACGACATCGGACATGGTATCTCGGTGGACTCGGAGACGTCTGTGTTTTTTTTATTCCTTCTTTTTTCTTTCTCTCCTTCGTCTGGGTGACATGGACCGTGGTAGTCCCTTAAAGATTCTGGACGACTAGGGGTTCTCTGTTTCGGGAACCTTTTGGTGTGGGGGAGCATTCTACCGGCACCGTCGATTGGCGACAGAGAGGGAAGCGGAGCGCAGATGGTTCATGCAATCGCTGCCATTGGCCGTACCGAGATTATTATTTTCCTAGGCACGGCGGAGGTAAGGGTTGTGGATATTCCAAGCGATGTCGCTACTGTTTTATCGAAGAGGTAGAAGAGGAAGGAAAGGGAGAAAAAAAGAAGAAGAAAATATCTCGTCCCGTTTCGCAGCATGTCAAGTTTGGTCTCGGGCCCAGCAGCGGTCGAGGACGGGGGCCGGGTTCCGACTCTCGCATTTTCGTCATACGTCAGGCCGGCTTTGGATCGATCATCTAGGTAGTATCGACCTTTCGGAATTAGCGACCAGGGGGGGGTGGGGGGTTTGTTTATTGATGGCTTACCTAGTACACTACAGAGTGCATAGGGAGCAGTCTAAACACAACAAGCGCCATATTGGCAGACGTTGTCTGGTCTGGGCTGCTCCTTTTTCCCTCACCTCACTAACCCTCACCCTTGGCTCCCCCCCTTGGCATCTGGGCATGGCTTCTGGTTTAGATGGAGATCATGCCAGGATCTGATGACGGTTCCGGGCCCCTCCTCTATCGCTTAGCGAAAGTTCCCGACGCCCAGGTTCAGCCCAGCCCGGTAATTAATGCATTCACCCCGTCCAGCCAGCCGGCCGGCCGGCCTTCCTTCTGTTCCTTCTACGTGCGCAAGTCACAGCCAGTAGGTATGGCTATGGTATATCCGTAGTATGATAGGTATACATACACATGTTAGGCGTCCGGGCGACTGGCGGTTTGTCCCGACCTGCTCAATCGCTGACGGCGACAAATGATCTCGCATCGGCTTCCCGGGGGGTGTTTGGAGAAAGCGCTCAATTGCCCCCACCTGCCTTCGCCTGAACCCCGTTTCGATGCGTTGGATGAGGCAGGAGCGCATGCATGTGCCAGCCTCACCACCTCGGAAACAGGACTCGACGCTGCGGATTCATGGCACGCACGCACGACATGCGACATGCAGTAAGGTAAGTGGGAGGAGTCATCGCGGCTGCCAAGTGGCATATTCTGGTGTCCAACACGTCTTCCGGCCCTATTGCCTCACTTTTTTCTTCTTCCCTTTTTCATTCCTTTTTTTTTTCTCATGTTTTTCTTCTCTCCTCCCTCCCGTTTTTTTCTTCGGGCAGCTGGCGTCTAGTGATTGATGTAAGGGACGGAACGAGCGGGATTGGTGGGTTAGAGAGAGTCGTTGTCTGGTTGTGTTGTCTTGCCGTCATTCGCTACTACGACGCTGCGATGCAGCCGCGCGTTTGTCATCACCGTGGCAATCATTCCTGCCGTTCGAGTCAATTGTTGCTGGCTACCAGGTTGCTCTTACCAGCTGTGCGGGTACACGACACGGATATGTGGATGTGGTTGGTTACATGTGAAGACAACCACCAGACAGACCACCGACATTCCTTGTTGTTTCTCTCCCGCTCCTGCCGTCTAGTCTTGTCTCTACCAGTCAATCACCAACTTAGGTAGGTAGGTAGGTAGGTGGTTGGTTGTTCATCCGCCATCAGATATGTAGATGATACCTGGGTAGACCACCAGCCTTATCTTGCTCTCCATCTTACCGAGGGAACCCAAAAGGTTGCGACACGGGCCCAACGACGACCCCTTCTTCTTGACAACCCGGAGGGCACACTCCCACTCACACATACACACATACCAAAATCACCCACTACTAGGTATAGTAGCTGGCTGATAACTCCAAACAAGTAATATGAGGTTGTCCTGCAGACCAAAGTTTCCCGCCCAGAGGCTCCTCCAGTTGGCCAGGCCTCCCCTGTAAGAAAGCTGTGTATGCTATGCACGGGCAGGATCATGCCATGGGTCGCCCAACCTCTCCCTTCGGCGCGTCAGCACCACACCACAACCGCAGCCACAACATCTCATACAAAGTCCTCACGCGACCCGCCGCCGCGGTTGGCAGCGTGCGCGGGCTCTTCTTCGCTTCTGCAGCACATACATACATACCTACGCTTGCTTGCTTGCTGGCTTCCTTGCTTTCTTCCACCCTGCCCGTTTTCGTCAATATTCTTCGACACCCCTCCCCCCCTTCCCCTCCCCTCCTTCCCCTCTTTCTTTTGGTCGAGGTAGCCAAAAGTAGAAGTACCTCTTTTGCCTCTTTGGGCAACTCTTGACTGGCCCTCTTGGAACGACGCACGGCTTGATGGAGACGTCCTGCATTAGGGCAGCCAGTACTACTTGCTTTGTATCGTCCCTGTCCAAAACCGCTTTTTTTTAAAAACCCCCCCCGTCGCCCCCTCCCCCCTCCCCCGGACTATTGTCTGACGGGTATGGTTTGAAGTCTGGTGGAACTGGGATTCAAACTCTACAAACTTAACCGAGACGCCGTTGGCGTTGCTCTCACCATCCCATCACCACCTTTAGACGGACATGGCCGAGCCTGATCTCGTCCGTCCCTCAACGTCGCATTTCGGCGCCCCGGCCCTCCAGAGGAGGTTTCTTCTCTCCAGCCCGGGGCGGCCTCGAACCGCAGCTGGCCTCCTGGAGCCGAAAACCGCCCCGATACCCTCGCAAGCCCCCTTGGCTGTCAAAGTCTGCATCAAGTTCCAGCCCTCTCTGGACTTCACCTACGAAAGACACTACCAGTCCTCCTACGCCTTCGTGCCCACGGACCAGATATGCCGCGCCCTTGTGCGCCGCTTGACGCACTGCTCAGATGAGCTGCTCACCCGCAGAGACTCGGCCGCCCTCAGGAGGAACATTCCCCAGATCGGCGAGGGGAAACCACTGCGTTTCGAGCTCATCTACCAGATCTACCGAGGAGGCCCGGAACCCTGGGTCACGAAATCCTTCCGCTCCTACCAAAAGCATCCCCTCGACAAGCCCTCCGCCATGGAGATCGCCCGCTCTACCGACCGCATCATCGGTTCTTTCATGAAGCTTCATGACAAGTCTTTTAGATGGATGCACGGAAGGACCAGCGAGCGGCCCTCGAGCGACCTGGAGTTACTAAAGCCCCTCAGTAACCCCGTCTCGCTCCTTCACATCCCCCAGTCACGCTTCGTCGAGGCCACGCAAGACTGGGAGTTCGTCCCCGGCTACGATATCACCCTGTCCTTCCGCAGTCGATGCAAGTCACGCAGACAACGGGAATGGCAGCGCACCCTCACGCTCAAGAGCAACCAGAGCTCTCCGCTGACGCTGTCTCACGGCGAGGACATGGCCTGGGTCTTGTCGACGGCAATGCAGCGTGCATTGGATGTTAGGAAGATGGCTTTTGACAGGCAGCATCGTTCTTGCAACGCCTTCGACTTCCTGGATGAGTGCCACCATTCCGAGCAGGACGCCGTCCACGTCGGGTTCCATATCCAAAACCGACTCGGACTGGACCATAGGCACCTGCGCCGCGAGCTGGACAGTAACCTCCTCCTCTTCCAGGACCCGGACGGCCTCGACTGCGAGGAGTTCCTGGACCAACTCCAGCAAGCCTTTGAATCGGTTCGGGATGACACTGACTTGGAAATGAATGAGATGGACGATCTCAGAATCACAGTCTATGAGCTGTCTGGGCGCGGTTGGAAGACCGAGAAACCATTCGCCGTGTGTCTCAATTCAACTGCCTGCTATTGCCGGCGGACCGTCAAAGCCATTCTTGACAGAGTGCAGACGGGCGTTGCCGACATTCTTGGCGGCAACGATATGAGTATAACGCTCATGGTCCACAAACGTGGCCATCTCGTTTTGGACAAAACGCTCGTGGCCCGTTCGCCATCCTACGCGACGGGACAGCGTCAAGACGAGGATCCCGAGACTTTGAAGGAACGTTTCGTGTCGAGGCTCAAGGAACGGATCCGGTCTGATGTTGTCATGGTCATCAAGGACACGTGCTCCCTGACCGATTGCGAGCCGCAGAACATCCGCACCATCGAGCGACCGGTCCCCGCAGCGAGTGACCCTGCTGAGATGGAAGCTTGTGCTCCTAGCAGCCCGCTCCCAATCTCGACACCCAATGGGGTCGCGCCGTCGTCGTTCGGCGGGAGCTTCACTGAGTCGTCCGAACCTTCGGGTTCGCCAGGTGAAACGCTTCAGGGTGGTAGTGGAGGGGTTGAGTCGGCTCCCGAAAGCGTCAATGACACCGTGGGGCCCTCGCAACATCCTGAAACCCCAGCCAAAGCAGTCGCCTTCAAAGACCAGGCCAGTTCTCCTGGCCGAAGCCCCTTGTCCTTCTCCGTGACCGAGGACGGCGAGACTACATATCCCTCGTCGTCCTCGTCCACCCCGAGCCTTGTCGACGGAGACATTGGATCGCCTCACGAGAGCCTACTGTTCACGCCCACGTTTATGCGAACGCTTTCCGGAACGCCTCAGCACTTTGAAGTCAACCCGAACATCGCGAGTTCCGATACCTCCGACAGCGACCTCACCGACGATTCCTTGGCAGGGCCGCCGACACCAACGATGCAGCGATTCAACGGACCGCGGCAGTTTAGCCTCATGGGCAAAGGGCGCCGCTCCGTTTCGCGTCAGTCTGTGGTGTCGATTGACTCTGGATCCGAGAAGCGGTCGCTAAGCGACTCCGAGTCTTCGTCTTCGCCCGCAATTGAGGATGCCATCATTCAGGGCCGGGAAGTGGCGTCAGAGTTTGAGGCTGGCCCTAAATTCGCACCCGCGCCTTCGACGGCACCACCTGATGCAAAGGTAGAACTAGCCGCCAAAGAGCCCTCGCTCGAAGGCTGGCTGGAGTACTGCTGCGTCTCGGTTGATTCTGAAGAACAAGCGACCGTGTCGGAACCGGAGCCAGCGGCTGCAGCTGAGGTATACGGAAAATCCGAGTCGGCGCAGAAGGAGCCAGCGGTTGTCATCACTCCAGTCGAGACCCGCCCGAGGCCTTCCACTCCTCCGCGATCCTTCGAAGGTTTCTTGGAATACGCCATTGAAACCATCGTCGAAGAAGACGAGGAGGACTCTGACGCCGAGTTCCATGACGTGGGATCCCCCTCCGTCTTGGCTTCGATGCCGAGCCCCTCGAGCTTCGCGACCGCCTTGGAGACGGGCCTCAACTCCCCCGCCTACTATGAAGATGCTTTTGCTCTCGACGCCGCGACACCCTCGCTCAGCCTTGTTGACTCTGCCTCTCCTTCTTCGGGCAACATGAACAAGGCCCCGTCGCCGCAATCGATCGGGTCCGCTACCATTGCCGAGAGTACTGCATTCACTCTTGGTTCGACTGTCAAAGTCGGTGCTTGTACGTCTCTCATTGACACGATTGAACCTGTCACTTCCACTCCACACGTTCCCGAGGCCATCCAGCCTCCTTCTCTCCCCGAAGCAATAGAGGTTGTTTCTACTCCTCGAGCTGCTAAATTTTCTCCCACCCCTGCACCTTTTGCCCCCGAGCCATCCGATCCGTGCACCCCCGAAGCCGTTGTGCCGTCCTCGCTCTCAATGGAACCCCCCGAATCGAGCCATCACCCCTCCAAGCCAACTCCTCCGGTTCCGTCCTCCCTAACCCTGGCAGAGACCCATTCCGTCTCGTCGGAAGTCCCGAACACGCCAACATCGACGCCCTCATTCAGCGACAAAGACGATGAGGAAGATGTCCTGAAACAGTCGAGTCCTCCACCATTGATGTCCGAGGCGGGGGATTCTGACTACTCAGAATCCTCCGAGCCCACCATGCCGTACCCGGAACTCCTTGACCAAGAGGTCGACACGGCCGAAGTCCACGACGATACGTCAATGACCCTTTCACACTGGCCGCAGAGGGCATCCTTCTTTCTCCCAGATGAGGCGAGTGATGTCTACTTTGCCCACATGCGCAAGCTCTCCATCCCGCGCCCACTGCTCTCGCGCCCGAGTTCAAGCGCGGCATCACTCGACTCGCCCTTTTCGCACAAGCGGCAGTTCTCATCGCCGACGGCGGGGCTCTTTGGGCTTCAGGAGCCCCGGCGTCTCGATATTGGCCTCCGTGGGGCGCTGCTCGGCATCGCTGCGCTGCAGAAGCAGAGCAGGCTCGAGCGGAGACCGTCGCAGGTGTTGCTGAAGCTCGACAATGATAAGGGCATGGTCGTCGTGCCCGGCCGCAGTCGGCAAAATAGCGAGACGAGGGGCATTGGCGGTGCCGGCGTCTTGGGATTGGGTAACGCTTTTGCGTTGTAGGTGGACTCGTTGCTCAGGACACGCGGCCCAGGAGGCAATCGGGATTTAACGACATGATGAAATGGAGACGAACGGGCTGGATGGGGACGGATTTGGGACGGGCGACTGGGGACCGGATGAAACAACTCGGCAACCTGCATGAATCGGCGTTTTTGGATCATCGTTGGATGATGTTTGTTTTTCTGGGAAATATGCGGTTCCATATCGCTAGCAATGTATGGCGGGCAACATCTCGATTGATCATAAAAAGCGCATTCATAGCCGGGGATCATTTGGAAAAAAGGCGCCGGCCACCAGAAGAAAGTGTAGATTGACACGCACTATTTCATATTTCATAATGACGCATCACCATATTCTGTTGCAATCACTATACGGACTTTGCTATGTGATAAGCCTTTATCCCTCCCTCCATCATCACGCTTTTGTGACATGTAGCTTTTTATCTACCCTCCCCCTCCCGACTTGAACTTGTTGTCACTTCGGGGTGCCCTCATTTCCGCAAACCGCACTCTTCGTCGCACCGGTTGTGTCTGGTTGGTACATCGGCTGATCTCGAAGGGGCCCAGCCAGAGCAACTTGACGATGCGGGCAGTCTGGACTTCACACGAGGGACCGGAGACGGGTGGTTGTCTACTCCGTCTCGAGAACGTCCGTCCGCAAAGTCCAAAGTTTGTTCCGTTTCGACAGCCCGTGGACTGCCGTGAGCCCCAGACGTTATGGCCGGCGAGGTTGTTCGCGGGGCCTGCGCTCATCTCCACCCTCCCCAACCTAATTCTTTAACTTACCCCATTATGAAGAAGCAAATGCCCCCCCAGCTCGCTCCCCCCGGACTTTGGGGCCAGGCGATGATGTCCGGTCCAGTCAGCTGGGGAAAACCCGGATTAGAAGACCCCGAGAGGGCTGAAGTGCGCTTCCCCTCCCCCCTCCTTCGGCGGATGGGCTGCGCTGTTTGGCCTCTGGTAACATGGATAGCTCTTGCCGACCTCCGGGACGGTGCGCGGAGCGTTCGCGCTGGCTTCTTTCGGCCTCGCGCGATCTGGGGTCTTATGGGCTATGCTCTTCCGTCTGCGTGTGGCGACAGACGGGCAGCCTTTCCCCCGTCAGACCAGCTCGGCGTCCCCTGCGTCGACGACGGGCTTGGCACTGGACCACCGCAGGATCAGGATATCCCCCGCCCGCCCCGGCAGGGAGCCGTCGGAGTCGGTGCCCTTGCCCTCGACGTCGACGTCGCGCAGCAGACGGATGAAGACGGCGGTATCGAGGTCCGGGCCGTCGATCATGCTGATGTTGCCGGCCGTGTCGTTGAGGTTCTGGAGCTGCGGCGGGAAGGAGGAGAGGAAAGAGGAGAGGTAGTGGTTGTGCAGGAGAGCCTGGTGGCGGGTCGCGTAGGCGAGCTCCGTCTCGGAGAGGCGGGCGCGGAGGGCGGCGGAGGAGAGGTAGTGGAGGGCGTGCTTGTCGATCTGTCGCGGCGGCAGGGATGTGTTAGCTGATTCCGTCGTCAACCTAGAAACCGAACGAGCATGCCCCCCCGGGGGGGATGAGAGAGTGAGAGAGGCGGCACCTTTGCTATGCGGGCGCGGAGGTAGCTCCTGACGATGAACTTGAAGCGCTCGAGCTCGGTCTGAATCACGATGAGGGCGAAGTTGGTCTTGGGGTCCATGTCGCCCGTCATGTCCTCGACCTTTTCGATCTGGCGTTTGATGCGGTCGTTGACGCGCTCAAAGAGGCCGTCGGCGGGCCATCTGACGCGTCTCGTGTCAGCTAGTCAATTGATTCCTCTTTCACCCGCACCCAGGGGGGGGGGGGGGGGGAAGACAAGTGCACACACTCTAGAAGCTCTGGCGCGGAGCGCTCCGCCACCCAGGCACGCGTCAAGGCCTGCAGGTCGCGTGTCTCGGAGGGGACAGAGTGCGAGACCGGGTCGACCTCGCGGAGGATGTCGTCGATGTCCATGGCGTGAGTACGGTGTGTGCGTTGTTCCGATCGTAGACGGTGGGAAAGGGAGGTGCTATAACATGGTGCGCGCGAGTGGAGGCAGGCAGCGAGGTGTGTTGTTGCGTTGGGCTCCGAGGTTGGCGGGTGGGCTCTTTTTTCCTTTTTTTTTCTTTCTCTTTTTTTCTTCCGGATCGCGGGATGGTGTTTTGCGGGTGTGGGAGAGATCGCGGGGTGGTTAATTGAACTCGGTAGCGGGGTTCCTTGGCAGTCCGGGGTGGGGCCTGCAGGGATGGAGTCTGAGCCCGCAGAAACTCCAATAACGAAGGTGTCGAGCTGTAAGGGGTAACAAGCTGGCTGGCATCATCTCACTCGGGATATTAGTTCGCTGACAAGTTTCCGCCCAAAACAACGTGATGAAGCTGTTTGCCTCTATAATAATGTACAGAAGCTGGAAGTATTGAGCCCTTGAACGTCATGCTTCCGAGCAGGATACCGAGCATTTGTGTCGACAATGCTTACTTTACTGGATGTGTTACCCCGACGAATCGGCCCCAATAAGCCCGCTGCCGAGGCATCTAGCTGAAGGAATAAGCAGAACCTTCTTTGAGCAAAGGGTACTTAAGGTAATACCAGCTCCCTCCACAATCCCTTCGTTCCTTATTCTCTCACCTTATCAATCTCCCAAGTAACGCTATAGTTGACAAGCACTCTGGCCTAAATCAATACCCAGCGCAAGTTGTTTTTTATTCTTCTAGTATCTTACAGTGACTTTTTTGTATCGTCAGAATCTTTGCATACGTTGGTTGCCTACTCACAATGGCTGATTTCGGTGACGGCGATGAACGCGTTCCTTACTCATCATACACCGTCAGCATCTACCAAAATGGCATCATATCGGGTTAGTTGCCCATCGTGACGACGGACCCGAATGGCTTGGAGGCCCAGGCCAAGAAGGCAATGGACCCCAAGCCCTTTGGCTATGTCTTCGGTGGAGCCGGGGAGCTGTCTACGATGGACGCCAACCGCCTGGCCTTCCGCCAGTGGAAGATCGTGCCTCGCTTCCTGAGACCCAACAATCCTCGGGACCTGAGAACTGAGCTGTTTGGATTGACTTATGGTGAGCTTGAATGCTCGCAAATTGGCCAGAGACACATGTTCTAAGACACCCACTCTACCTCAGAGACGCCTGTCCTGATGGCCCCCATCGGGGTACAGGGCATCTTCCACGCGGACAAGGAAACGGGCCTGGCGGCGGCCTGCGCGGAGCTCAAGGTCCCGTACACGCTCAGCACGGCCGCGACATCGACCATCGAAGAGGTTGCTGAGGTCTGCGGCGACCACCACCGCTGGTTCCAGCTGTACTGGCCGATGGACGACGAGATCACGGCCTCGATCCTCCGCCGCGCCAAGGCTAACGGCTACAAGGTCCTCGTCGTGACTCTCGACACCGTCACCCTGGCCTGGCGGCCCACCGACCTCGACAATGCATACCTGCCCCAGATCGCCGGCACGGGCAACGCGGTCGCCTTCAGCGACCCTGTCTTCCGCAGGAAGTTCGCCGAGCAGAACGACGGCGACGTTGTCGAGGAAAACGTCATCGGCGCCTCCCGACACTGGCTTAGCGAGGCCTTTCCAGGCGAGCACCATGGGTGGAAGGACCTGGCCCTGCTGAAGAAGCATTGGGACGGTCCCATCGTTCTCAAGGGTGTGCTGAGCGCCGAAGACGCCAAGCTTGCTGTTGAGCACGGCATGTCGGGCGTTATCGTCAGCAACCACGGCGGCCGGCAGCTCGACGGCGGCGTGGCCTCGCTGGAGATGCTCCCGGAGATCGTCGAAGCCGTTGGAGACAAACTCACCGTCATGTTCGACTCCGGGATCCGGACGGGGGCTGACATCGTCAAGGCGCTAGCCCTGGGGGCCAAGGCCGTTTTTGTTGGACGCCCCGCCATCTACGGTCTGGGTATTGCGGGCAAGGAGGGCGCAAAGGCTGTGATTGCCGGGCTGCTCGCCGATCTTGATCTGACCATGGGGTTAGCTGGGTTCAAGAAGATCTCCGACCTGACGCCATCCATTCTGCGACTGGTTCGGTACGGCGGAGATGTCAAGGCTAATCTGTGATGCCCAAATTGCCGCTGTATTGGGGGTTTAGCAGCTTGGCAAGCCGTTTTCCGTAGCCGCATTCTCTAGTCTGGATCTTCTTGATCACTGAAACCTGAGTAGGAATTCGGGCCCCCAGATGCCTTCAAAATCTAGTGTATTTTGTTGGAAATAATGTGATAGCTAGCCAATACCCCCTGCCTTGATTTCTTCCCGGGTTTCAGTGATTAAGGAGACCAGCCCCAAAAAGCTTGTAGAGGTTTAACTACATCAAACGTGAACATTTGGCATGAATTTGGTGGGAAGGGCGACATTCCCTCTCCCGCAGGCTAACGAGCCCGGAATGCTCATCTTCCGACAAGCCTGGGCTCAGGAAGGAAGCAAGCCTTCGGGTTAACGGTCGGGTCCTGTAGTATGCCTTGAGCCGAGACACCCCAGATCGCAGTGCGAGTCTCAAGTCAAAAATATTTCACTGCATTCTGCTACCTATCCCTGAACGGACAGAGAAATTCTCCGGCCCCCTGTGCGATGACATCCCTCTACGCGCCAGCAGTACTTGCAACCATGAACTTCGATCAACAGGAGCAAGCTAGCCTAGGCGTTGGGTCTTGCTGTTCGCTTCCACAGTCACGATGCGGTTCCAACCGGTTCATTCGCCATCTTATTACGGTGTGATGGATGAGACCATCATCACTGCTTCTCGGGAATGTGAACCACTCTTCCATATGGCTATTCTGTCAGCATGCGTTCGCCCTGGTTGCCCCCTCGATAGCTCCATGGAACGGGCCTCGCCCGTGGAAGCGGGGGTGGCAGAGACAGCAGTGAGAAGGAGACCAGCAGAATCAAGCTGTCTTTGAATAATCTCATTGCAAAGTCTCTTCGAAGGCGTCATGTTTGTTGAGGATGCTCACGATGCCGGGTATATAACAACGTAGTGCTGGGGGACTTGGGGGAGGGAAAAGTTGTAGACACAGCATTCACTCACTCACCCCCAGTCCCTCGTTACCAAACAATTCAATTCTTTTCGCAGTTCCTTTTCACTTTTGACATAGTTTACTTGACTTCTCATATTCTAATACCTGGCAGTCGAAATGCGCACCTCGTCACTCATCCTGGCGGCGGCCTCCGCCGTCTCTGTGTTTGGCGCCCCCCTGGAGAAGAAGGCCAACTACGACCCCCTTCCCGGAGGCGACTCCACGATCCTGAACTACGCACTTACTCTGGAGTACCTCGAGAGGGCCTTCTACGGCTTGGGGCTCCAGCTGTTCTCCGAGTCTGACTTCTGCGAGTACGCGGGCGAAGTTGGCCAGAGCTTCTACCAGAACCTGCAGACCATCTACGAGGACGAGAAGGTCGGTTTTGAAACCACTTAGACGCAGATCGACGCTTCTTCTCTAGAGACTTCCAGACAGACTGTCTCTCAGCACGTCTTTCGAGGAATCTTGCCCCCGCTAACACACAACCACAGACGCACGTCGACTTCCTCAAGACGGCCCTCGGGGCCTCCGCCATCCCCGAGCCGTCCTTCAGCTTCCCCGTTACCGACGCCGAGTCCTTCATCGGCCTCGCCAGCGTCCTAGAGGGTGTCGGCGTGTCCGCCTATCTCGGTGCCGCCGCCGTCATCGCCGACAAGGCCTACCTCACCGCTGCGGGCTCCATCCTGACCGTCGAGGCCCGCCACTCGTCCTACATCCGCGCTGCCCTCCGCCAGAAGCCCTTCCCCGCCCCCTTCGACACCCCGCTCAACTTTAACCAGGTCTTCTCTCTGGCCGCGCAGTTCATCGCCGGCTTCGCCCCTGGCACCCCCGCGTTGCCGTTCAAGGCCTTCCCCGCGCTGACCGTCGAGGCGATCAGCGGTTCGACGGCCGTTCTCTTCGAGGGCGCCTACAAGGCTGCCGTCGAGGCCAAGACCGTTCCCCAGGGCGACGACGTCTATGCCGTTTTCTTCTCTGGCCTGGACACCTACTACAGCAAGGTCACCGTCAGCGGTGCCGACGTGAGTATTCCCCATACGACCATCCCCAGCGCGAACCTGTCGGTGTGATTCGTTGCAAGATGCTGACCTTCGATAGTACGTCGCCTCTATCCCCGCTGGCCCCAAGGGCCAGGTCTACATCGTTCTCAGCACCGCCAACGGCAAGGACGCCAAGGTCTCTGACGAGAACACTGTCGCTGGCGTTGGAATCCTCGAGATCTAAAGGGGTTCGTTGGCTGGTGGACAGACCCATCCACCTGGCTTTAAGGTCATGGCAGAGAGTCGCAGGTAGCGGTTCGGGGGGCACTTTACGAATATCCGATGAATTATTCTTATGATCTCTTTCGTCTTGTATTTATTGATGATACAACCCCGTCTGTCGATGGTTTTTATACCGAATTTAATTCGTTCTCGGTGTTGTCTCTCCCATGCATCTATGTACAAGGAAAGGGAAGGCCTTCCCAAGTTGAGATCGGGGAATAAAAGACACGCCCCCCCTTCTCACCAGCCAAGCCGGATATCTCCTAATAAGATCCACTCGATATTTACTCTTCGTAGAATGAGTTTATGCTCTCATCAAAGAGTCTATCAAGATGTTCTGGCGTCTGATGAATAGAACGGCTGCACATGCAGGTAATGCTAACCATCGTATTGGGGCCAAGTTGAGAGATGTATATCCTACAGGTAGAGTTGAAATAAAGGACTAATCGTTGCCCTTCAGATGGTGTGAATTCAAATGAGGCTGGCTAAAATGAAAAGACATCTTCGTGTTTCCGAGTCCACATCCAACTGCCGACAGCTCAGCAGAGCTTATGCGGCACAGGTATCTCAACGTCACATACACCCTCCGGAATGCAAATGATGAACCAGAAGTTCTATGATTCAAACGGGTCGAGAAGAGATGGAGACCTCTCCGGCGGGGAAGGGCTATTGGCTATGACATTTATCTGGCGTCTTGGGCCATTGGATCAAACAGGCCATTCTTGTAAAGAATGTAATTGCTGCGTACCAGCTTCGGAACGAGGAAACTATGCGAGCGAGTGCTACACCAGACAGACGTCCCCCGGTCCCCCGCAAACACCCAATTAATGGTTTGTGTGTGCGTCAACCGGCGTCGATCATAACTCATGAGTGCCATCAAAAATATGCACCTGTATCATCATCATATGTCCCGATGGTGCCCATCCAGCAGAAGAAGAAAACGAAGAAGAATACCCCTAGAAATGCCACCTGAACGCCAGATCACCTAAAACAAGCCCAAGGGGCCTGCAAAACAGCTTACAGATAGCCGTCTGTATTACATGGCAAGAAATCTCTCTGTTCAGCCGATGAATTCCGTACACAACAGGGGCTCCCATGCCTGTCCCGATGCCCACACATTCTCCATCATATTCCTCGCCTTATGCACCTAGACCCAAACGTCAGCTTGAAAAGACAACAGTATATGGAGGAGCACACGTGCCTGTGTCATTCCGTTAGTCTCTACGCTCTTGAATCTCTCCAATATCTTGCTCCGCTGGTCTTCATGCAGCGCGTTGCACCCGGCCGTGAACATCGGGAACAAGAACCCCGTCTCGGCGGATCCTCCGGGTTGTATGGATTCCAGGCACACGATGATGCTTCGCACTGCCTCCTGAACGTCCGCGTGTCCAGATGGCTTGCTAAGGACGCGCCTGTGCAGGTGGATGAGCCCGGCCCAGTGGAAGGCTTCGTTCATGAGAACCATCGCCTGTCTGTCCCCTGCCCCAACGCTCTGTATGTGTTTGCACGGAAGCGATGGCTCATTCATGCTGTACAATAGCTCCTGTTCGAGCAGCTTTGCCCGTTGAACGAACGCGGTACCGGGCGTCCAGATGGGCGGCGAAGGAGTACTTGAGGTGAGGCGTTGCTCGTCACAGCGGCGGGCCAGATCGGCGATTTGCGCCAAGATCTGTACGCAGCTGGTAGTGAATCCCATGATGCAGTCAATCTCATACCGGTCGTCGCTGGCGCCGTGCATCATGTACTCGAGCAGCCAGAACCTTGACGAATCCTCGTCGGGCGTCCCGCCGCTTAGACATCCCAGGATGTCCAAATATGCGAACCAGCTCCAAAGGAAGGCACATACACGGTCCTCTTCCACTCTATGCGCTGTCCTGCGTAGGTCGGCCAACCGCCTCCACATAAGGTCCCGGGCTAGGCTAAGATGCCGCTGCCAGGGTATGTCGTAGCCGAACGCCGTGGGAGAGATGATCTCAAGTGACGCGAGCATGATGGCGGTCGCCAGGCTCGTGTTTGAGATGATTTGCTCCCTGTCGCTAAGGGCCTGTCGCAGGGCCGGAAAGATGTCCTGAACCCAAAGAGCGATTCTCATCTGTGGCTCTTTTTGGCCCAGAAGCCTTGCTCGATGAGCAGCTGAGGCAGCCTGTTAGACAAGACGGACAGGATCAATGCAGACCAACTTGCCTGAATATGCCAGAAGCAAGCTGAGGAGATGGTCATTCCTGACTGCCATTTGTGGTAGAACGGTGCGGAAAGGGTTGGATTTGGGATCGTCATAGGGCACGAGAACTACTCTTGAGTCAGCTGATTTTTCCATATTGAAGCCATAAATTTCCACCTGCCTTTGGCTGTGTGATTAAGAAAGTGGTGCTGTTTCTCAACGTTATTCCTTGATGGCTATATTCTTGCCATCACTTTACTTACGAAGTACTGCAAGTATGTCAGCTGTTGCGTCGAGATGGACTGGGAGGCCTTGACTTACCAGAAGATTCATGGAATTATCACGAAGCCTTTTGGCCGTCAGTCTCTATCGATATAAGCCAGAAATGAGACTCACTTGGGCGGCAGAGGTTGAAGATTGTGTGGTATCCATATCGGAACAGGTTGGCTATAGTATCCGTCCCCCACAGAAGTGGCCTGTGCCAGTTCAAAACGCCATGGCGCCTTGTTGTGCACGCCACTGGGGAAGGCGGAATCGTGTGGAACGTATGTAGTCGTCTGAGAGATGGCTCTGAAGTCATCGTTGTGGTTTATATCAGTGTCTCTGATGCCATGATCATACCCATAGAACACTGCTTCGTCTGCTTCGTCTGCTCCGCCGTCAGTAGTTTCTGAGCCAAGAGGCGTACCCGAAGACAGTGAGAAGCTGGTACTACGACCATGAGGGGTTCTTGGTGAGCCTGATAGCAAGTAGTTCACCGATAGTCGACTGCTCCCCGGGGACACGGGTGATGGCAGACTCAGTATAGGTGATCTCGTGCCATCTTCAGACCTAAGAACCAGCGATACCGGCGTTAATGGAGAACCAACAGATGTGGAGCCTGTGCGGGAGCGGAGACGAGATACCGGGGGACTCGACCCCGTCAAGGATGCCGGCGAAGAAATATAGCTGTGCTGGCGCGGTACCCCAGAGTCACTTGATTCAGCCAGCGACCTGGTTCTTTTGTGTGCTATCAGAGGTTTCCCGGTGTCTTCCGGAACGGTCTGATGGGAACTCGGCATTGAGGTGAAGCTGTCAACGGTATGCTGAGCAGACATGGGAGACGGCGCGAGTGTCTGCGTCTGTCTCCGAGGTATCGCATGGAAAGAACCGGGGTCTGCCTTGTTAGGGTAATCTTCCAAGGCCCCAAGAGGTTCTAGCTTTCTTTTTCCGGGCTCGACACCCTGTGGAGCGGTTTGAGAGCGTCTTATAGTGGGCTTGGGACGGATTTGCGGAACAGAGTTACTTATGGGAAACGTATGACTGAAAGACGATGGTTGAAACTGTACGGGAGCTTTCGGCGACTGGGCAGTTTCTGTTGCTATTCCGAAAGAGAGTGATCTTTTTGTCCGACGACCCTCCCAGTTCAGACGCACACTATAGTCGCATGCCTCCCCCGTCTTTTGACAACTGATGAGTGTTAGTCTTGATTTGTGCAGTACCCAACAGAGTGATCCGCCGAGAAAGCGTTCGGACTGGAGGGACACGGAGTGGGTATGAGTATAAAGGATACCATGCAGGATAATATTAATTACAGACTGTTATCGCCTGGGTGATGGACCATATGATGTATGTAACGAGACTATCAGGTAGCAAGGAACAGGTATGAGAAACATCGCCAAACCACCCATTCAAGTTTTGAACTCGCAGTTCCGGAGAGCAGACAAAACTTTGACTTACTTTATACAAGTCGGATGCTCCTCGCCACACTTCACCTTTCGTGCTTTACATGGCCTGCTGGCTGGTCAGTCACTGCTCCTCGAAAAACCAAGGCACTCTGCACGCAGGCGGCTGGCACTCACCAGCATCCATTTCGACTTCGGCGTTTTGGCTCTGGTGCTCCTGGCTTCTTTGGGCGTGGCATCCTGAGACCAAAGACGTCAGTCCCCACGATGAGAAGAGGGACGAGCCGAACCGAGGCGCGCGGGGTCGAAGGTGAATGGATGATTGGCTAGTTCATGTTACGCGAACTTGTAGCGGATGTACAAAAGGAGGGCGTCTGCTTCTACGTAATCTCCGTTCGGAGAGGAGAGTTGAGAGGCTGTCTTCACTATTTACGTTACCCGTGACGTGAATGAGATACAGACAGCGACCGGAAAGAGAAACAACGTCGTGCCAGTTTTGTAAACCGCGTCAAGACCGAGTTGAGTCCCGACCGACCACTCAAGTACGACGGCCATTGGCCGGTAGAATCAGGCCCGAATTGGGTTGCGGTGATGCAGGCCGATTACGGACGGTCAGCAGCCTAAAGGCGGTCTCTTGCATCCACGTGAGCAAAGGACAGCCTCACTCGGCAGTTGGATGGACTCAAGTGGCTCTGCGGCCGCATCGTGAAAGCCATTTGTTCATGTGCCATCTCGTCAGGCTTGCGGGGATGGTACACGGCCGCATATCTTTTTCTCACTGCGACCCTAGAGTAAGGGCGTACCGAAACCATTTGATCTCATTTCATTTCATTTCGCTAGCCGCCCTGCTGGCAAGCCCGCTGCTTTGCCGATTAAACTATGTCGATGTTGAGGATTTTGATATCCTCCTCTGGCTTCTCCTTGTATGTCCGTGCGTTCTCGATTTTGTGGATAACATCCAGTCCCTGAGTAGCACGCCCGAAAATAGTGTGCTTTCCGTCCAGCCACGGCTGCATTAACAACTGTCAGCTGCGTTCTGATTCGAGGGGAGGTAGTAACTGAGACACAAATCCCCAACCTAGCCTCTCCGGTCCGTTTACGTGCTTGTAGCTGGTAGAAGGAAAGGCATTGGGGGTAAGGCGAGGAAAGGACTAGATGGAACAATAGGGAGTGGGGGTTGGGGGGTTGCCGAGACACAGAACGATCCTCTTCCGTTCTGGTTGCCTAGACTTTTTCGTTACTCGTATAGGGGACGTTCGCACTCACCGTCTTTTCCGTGGTGATAAAGAACTGACTGCCATTGGTGTTTGGACCTGCATTGGCCATGCTGACTGTGTACGGCTTGTCGTGCTTCAAACTACTAAATTCATCCGCGAATTCCTTGCCCCATATACTTTCGCCTCCGGTGCCATCTCCAATGGGATCTCCGCCCTGGATCATGAACTTGCGAATCACGCGGTGGAAGATTGTGTTGTTGTAGTAGCCTCTCTTCGAATGAGTGACGAAATTCTCCACGGCCTTGGGAGCAGCATCGGGGAACAGGCGGATGTGAATGTCGCCATAGGTCGTGTGGATGACTGCTCCGGTGCCTGTCTCGGCCTTCTTGGCCTCTGCAGCCTTCTTGTGACCCAGAATGGTGGGCTTCTCGTTTTGGACGTCCCTCACCGATTTAGAGATATCCTCGTCGTTAGTGAACATATAAAACCGCTGCTTGTTCACTCCTGTCGCAATGAGAATGGGGTCCCTGGACTCGGACTCCTGGAGTAGAGGGTTGGCAGAAGCACCCATCTCGACCGTGGTGATGCCTTTCTTCTGTGGCTGACCTTGATAAATCGCCAGGTTCACCGCTCTAAAGTTCTCATCTTTGCCGTATACCTTGACAATCTGGTTGGTGTAGGTGTTGAGCACTTTGACGCCGACTATTGAGCCGTATATGATAAAGTTGCCAGACTCGTCAAAGATTACGTTTGCCTTGTTCTTGTATAATGCAGAGTCGATCTCCCGCTCGACGGCAAACCGGCGACCAAACTCAACGGTCTCCAATTTTTGGAGGGCCGATCCCACCTGTTGCATATCCTCGATGACCTGGAGCGACTCATCATACGTCCGGTACAGTTTGCCTGATGCAAAGTCGAAGATTCGGATCTTCCTGTCTGGCTGGGAGAAGGTTGCAAATTGCTTCCCAGTGGGCGAGATGGTAATTGATGTTGGAACCGACTTGGCCTTTTTGAACTCAAACAAGCTTGTGGAGGCCTTGAACTCGAAGACATTGTCCGGCTTCTCGTAGTCACCACCCGGCCGCCAGTACTCCAACATACCCTTGTCGTCCGCGGACAGCACACAATCATACACGCCGTTGAAGACCATGATAGACACTGGGCTTCTGTGCAACGACTTGATGGTGTGAATAGGATCTTGTCTCTCGCCTCGCCCGTCAAAAACGTGAATGCTAGAACCGGAATCCTCGGAAACCGCAAGCAAAGGAAGGGACGCCCCTCTATTGTGAACCCAGCAAACACACCGAGGCACGAAATCAAGCTTGAGCATGGACAGGAGATCAAAGGTGATGACGTCGAAGATCTTGACAGTCTTGTCTGCACCAGCGGTTGCGAAGCTCCTTCCGTCCAGACTGACAGAGACGGATTTGATTTCGTCGATGTGCGCTTTGAATTCCTTTACAAATTCGATTCCCTGAGCCACCTTTTTCCAGAACTTTACGACGCCATCGATGGAGGACGTGATGATGAAATCCGTGAGTGGCGTGACGGTCACGAAGGCCAGCTGCTCCTTGTGCATCAACGACTTTGAGTATCGGGTCGCTTTGGGGAGGGCAGAAACGTATAATTTCTCGTAGGGAAGCACTCGACGCTTCTTCTTCGGGGCTTCTGAGGGGAGCTGGGGCCCCATGTCGTCGTCAGAAGAGCTGTCTATTGGGGTCGTTAGCATTTTCAATCCTTACTTCTCTCCTCGTCTTTGTCGCTTTCGCCACAAACGCAGTGTGTTTCTTCCTGATGCCTTCTCATTGCCGCTCCGGGTGATTCAACGCAACAAATGGCAGGGGACGAAGCGAAGCAAAGAGCAGGCGGCTCTTCGAGCCGTCTTCCAGTTCAAGCAGCACGCACCATCATCTTGGGTAGCGAAGTCCTCGTGGGACCTCTTGTTCCCCTTGGCGTCCTCTTCCGCCATAGTTTCGGTGCAATAAAGCGCGGCAAGGGCAGAACGTCACAAGGAAATTGGTTTAAACCGGTAAACTTTGGCGGCTTCGCGACTGTAAGGCTGGAATTTCCCGAGCTGGGAGCTCGGAAAGACGCTTTCATTAAAGCCAATCAAAACAGGCATTGAATGACCACTAGACAGCCTCGTCGCGAGACCCACTCGGCGGGCCTATCGTCTTATCTTGTCGTCTTATCTTAGCGTCCGCCAGCATATGCATGTCGCTGATGGGTCTTCTTCCAGGCTTGGCTTGCCGGGGCTGTCGGCGTGGAGCTTTGTGAGATCACAGCCGGGGACGTGAACCACGCTGGCGGGGACTCCATGAATGAAGTGACCTCATGACGATGACGAAGCCTTTTGATGCCGACGGACAGTAGCAAGTTGCCGCATTCCCGTCAATCTAACAATTCATCAAACCTACTATACCTTGATTGGCTGCCGAGAGCTTATTCGGAAAGGGCAGTCTTACTCAGACATTGTCTCCCTGGGACATCCCTCAACAATTCATTTCCTTTCGAGCCACCGTCTCATCGCGAAAACTGACATCCCATCCCTCCTCCTCCTCCTCCTCACAACAACTTACATTCGAACCACCACAACTTCGGATCACCAAAGCTCATCGCCAATTGGGAGCGTATCAAGATGGCCAAACATGGATTACAGCGGCTGGAGTCGCCGTCTCGATCGACTTCCTTGGTCTTGCACGGGGCCGGCATTCTCTCGTTCCTTGCGTCGTTCACCTTCCTCAATGGCCTCACTCATGATATTGCTATGGGCTTCGGGGGGAACTACCAGCACCTCACCAACATTGGGTTGGCTTTGTCATTTGTGACCTTCGTCACGGCACTGTTAGCCGACATCACGCTGAGTCCCTCGTTGTTTTCTGTGAAGAACGCTCTGTCAACTACGGCGGCACCACTGGAAGTCCTCATCAGCATCCTGTACTGGGGAATTCGGTCCATCGACAAGAGGCTATTGATACCGGAGGGTTACGAGCTCCATTGGCTGCCAGACGTCGGTTTTCATCTGGTCCCAGCTGTCGTCCTAACTCTCGACCTCGTCCTGTTCAGCCCGCCATGGACGATCCGTGCGTACTCGGCCATGTCGATCAGCATGGCTTTTGCCTTCCTGTACTGGGGCTGGGTCGAGTTCTGCTACAGCAAAAACGGATGGTGAGTAGTGTCACATTTGACAAGATGCGTTTTCAGTCCGCTGACAGAGAGGCCGCAGGTACCCTTACCCTATCTTTGATCTCCTAAACACCGTGCAGCGAGTTGGGTTATTTACCTTCTCTGCGGCATTGATGACGGCCAGCACGAGTCTTCTGAAATGGGTATATGGACGGTTCAACGGCTACGAGCAGATGAAGGAGGAAGCTTACAAGCCCCTGAAGAAGATGCTGTAGTGTAGGTTTGCGGTGTCATACGGATACGAGGCGGCTATTCATGATTGGTGGCGAGGTCGAAGCGATATCGGTGGTGTTGAGATGCAGAACTAATACAGTAGATTGGATGTGGCTAGACTTTCTCAACCCCCCATTAGACTCGGAAAGGCGCCTCAAAAAGGAACGTAGTTACCATGTACTTTGATTCACCATCCCCGATAGGTTGGATGTGAGAGGTGTGAACTACCTACTGGTCAGGTAGTCATCCTAGGTTGATCGATCCAGCATTAACTGCAGCTTGCGCCGGCCGCCAACAGCGCCTGCAAGCGCTCGGTCTTCGGGGCTTTAGAGGGGGGTCTTCCACAGGCGGTGAGACCCAGTTTGTGGTGCCACTCCGGGCGGCTGAACAGGTCCACAGGGGACGTCACAGCTACACTCAATGACAACGGTGCAGCAAGGATGCCCCTCGCGCTGGTGGCGGGTTGCACTGGATCAATTTTTTTTGGGGCCGTCTTCGGCGGGGTACCTGCAGGGTGGCACTGGAAATGAGTCTTCGCTCATTCGACTGCTCTCTAGTCATGCTTTCGGCCCTCGAAGCTGCCCTCTCCAACGCAGAAATCTAAAGAACAGAGAAAGGGTAGGTTAAAAAAAAGTGTAATACTGACGAGAAAGGTTACTTGTCAATTGCCGAAGCCTTTCTTTCCTAGCCCAAGTCTCATTTTAAATCCTCACTCAAATTGCGTTCTTCGTCATAGCCACCATGTCTGTAAGTTATCGCTCGCCTTCCGGCCTGGTGCTCGCACAAATCTGACTCACTCGTCACCGCAGAGCTTCTTTATCGAGAACAAGAACGTCGGCAACAAGGCCGAAAGCGAAGACTGGAGAAGTAAGGAATGGGATTAGACATTTTTGCACATCGTTCGTGGGCTAATTGGTTCCCTAGTTCGCGGCTACAACCCTCTGACTTCTCCCGACCTCCTCCAACATGAAATCGCCCAAACTACCAAATCGAAGCAGACCGTCCTCCAGGGGCGTGAGGAGGCTGTTGCCATTGTCAACGGCACCGACGAGAAGGAGAGACTCTTGGTCATTATTGGCCCTTGCTCGATCCATGATCCTAAGGCCGCCCTCGAGTACTGCGATTTGCTGCTCCAAGCCAAGGAGAAGCACAAGGATGAGCTACTCATTGTTATGCGCTCCTACCTGGAGAAGCCGCGTACAACAGTGGGATGGAAGGGCCTGATCAACGATCCGGATATCGACAACAGCTTCAAGATCAACAAGGGACTGCGCATGTCGAGACAGCTCTTCGTCGACCTGACAGACAAGGGTATGCCCATTGCCAGCGAGATGCTCGATACCATCTCGCCCCAGTTCCTCGCCGACTTGCTGTCCGTTGGCGCAGTCGGCGCAAGAACCACCGAGAGCCAGCTGCACCGAGAGCTGGCCAGCGGTCTCAGTTTCCCTGTTGGTTTCAAGAACGGTACTGATGGCTCTCTCGGAGTCTCTATTGACGCTATCGGCGCTGTCAGACACCCTCACCACTTCCTTTCCGTGACCAAGCCGGGCGTCGTCGCCATTGTCGGCACCGTGGGCAACGAGGACTGCTTCACCATTCTGAGAGGCGGCACCCGGGGCACCAACTACGATGCCAAGAGCATTGCGGAGGCCAAGGCCGCCTTGGAGAAGGCCGGTCTCCCCCAGAGACTCATGGTTGACTGCAGCCACGGCAACTCTCTGAAAAACCACAAGAACCAGCCCAAGGTTGCTGCTGATCTCGCTGGGCAGATTGCCGGTGGCGAGACTGGTATCATGGGTGTGATGATTGAAAGCAATATCAACGAGGGTGAGTACTGCCCGGACCGCTTCGTTCAGTGGCATAAACTGACCATCAGCAGGCAACCAAAAGGTACCCAAGGAAGGCAAGGAGGGCCTGAAGTACGGTGTCAGCATCACGGATGCATGCATCCACTGGGACGACACTGTCACTGTTCTCGACCAGTTGGCCGATGCCGTCAAGCAGCGTCGCGAGGTCCTTCGCAGGAACGGCCATGCTTAAGAAGTTTCTCACCATTTGTTTTCGCGGGCTGGGTTTCGAAATGTGGATGCAATGTAACCAACCGCCTGAGGGATAGGTGAGAATTCTTGTATGCATATACCAGGGCCTGTGGTTGCAGGCGGTTATACAAGGCCTCAGTGAGCCTTGTTGATGGCGAAAAGTTTTGTAGTTTGTCAGAATAAAATCCGATTGATACCCAAGCTCCGGATCACTTGGTTTCTCTTTGATGATGCAATGAGTTATGAGGATGGGAGAAGCGGTTTCGACAGTGTTTTCCCCTCTAGTGGTGGCCTAGTCTTGGGATTGATTGCTTGCGGGCTTGAGCTAATTGAGTTAACATCATGAAGAGAACAAAACGTGCGTTCAATGTCGTGTCGCGATATGCATGTAGTAGATCGCTGTAGTTGCATCCAAGCCAGGCCAATCAAGTGGAGCATATTTCTCAGTCTGAACGTGACGAAAGCCACAGCTGTTGGTTTGGACAATCGGTCGGAACTACTGCTGCTGAACTGGCGGCGACCGGGCAACTACGGGTAAGAGGATGGAAGCGAAAAGCGGCCGGAACGGAAGATGTCATTGACCGTTCCCATCAGCCAATGAGAGGCAAGCCATACCTAAGGCACTCGAAAACTGCCTCAAGCGATTTTCTCCTGCCTCGACCACTGTACCTTAGAAACGACCTCCGCCACGAGAGGACCAACCACCAATTGCCCCATCATTTTGTTCGCGGCTGTCTCTGTAGCTGCGGATACGGTTCGCCCATCATGTTGGCAAGGTCCTGCTTGCGCTCGGCGCGCACATTCACAAATGGCGCCGTCACGATTTCCAAGGTACGCAGATGAGCTGATCACGATTCCAATCTCCCCGAGGCAATCCGACCTACAGCCATCAGACACGCCGGACTTGCCTCAATGGCCATTGGCGGACATGAATGAGACCGGAGCAGAAGACTAACGATGATTGACGCAGCGTGCGGCCTCTACTTCCAGCGGTGCTGGTGCCGAAGCTTCCCCGTCCCGACTGAACCTCGCTGCCATCACGTCGACGTCGCTCGCCCTGGGCTCCATGGCCTGGTACTACCACCTCTACGGACCCTCCGCGAACGCCGGGTCGCCTGCTGAGGAGGGGTGAGTCATAATTATCCGAACACGGTTGCTGCGGGATGGTTATTCGAATGCCGGAATCCCTTGGATTGAGGCATAATCGCGAACGACGCCGAGCAGCCAACAACAAAAGAACATTCAGCTAAACTATCATTTCCAGTCTGCACCCCACCAACTACCCCTGGGTTCACGAGCAGTGGTTCAAGACCTTCGACCACCAGGCGTAAGGAAACACCTTTTTCTTTCTTTTGGCTATTGGCCGGCATGATGCTTACATCCATTTTGCAGTCTCCGCCGTGGTTTCCAGGTCTACCGCGAGGTCTGCGCGTCTTGCCACTCCCTCAGCCGTGTCCCCTACCGAACTCTCGTCGGTACCATCTTGACCGTCGATGAGGCCAAGGCCTTGGCCGAGGAGAACGAGTACCCTGGCGAGCCCAACGAGCAGGGCGATATCGAGATGCGTCCCGGCAAGCTTTCCGACTACATGCCCGACCCCTACAAGAACGAGGAGGCTGCCCGCTTCGCCAACAATGGTGCCCTCCCTCCCGATTTGAGCTTGATCGTCAAGGCCCGCCACGGCGGATGCAACTACATCTTCAGCTTGTTGACCGGTTACCCTGAGGAGCCTCCCGCTGGCGCCGTCGTCGCCCCTGGCATGAACTTCAACCCCTACTTCCCCGGTACCGGCATCGCCATGGCCCGTGTCCTCTACGATGATCTCGTCGAGTATGAAGACGGTACCCCCGCCTCTACCTCTCAGATGGCCAAGGATGTTGTCGAGTTCCTCAACTGGGCCGCCGAGCCTGAGATGGACGACCGCAAGCGTATGGGTATGAAGGTGCTCGTCGTCTCGGCCTCCCTCTGGGCTCTCAGCGTCTGGGTCAAGAAGTACAAGTGGGCCTGGGTCAAGACGAGAAAGGTCGCCTACGACCCTCCCAAGGATACCAAGGTTCGCCACTAAATGATCATGGCAACAATTCTGTTGTCTCTGTGTATGTTATACTAGGCTCTCTAAAACAGCTCCTTTGTTGGTGGAGGCGGCAGAGACGAGATTCATCGTTGGGAGCAAACTGGGGAGCGATAGAGTGTAAATCAGATGGTCCTTTTTCAATACCTGACTCCTTGATAATGACAAGTCTTCTAAGTTAATCCACATGTTTATTGGTCTTATAAAAAGAAAAGTGATGTTGCTTTCCTAGCAAGCTAATCCAAGAGAACTGACAGACCCTCTAGGCTTTGACAAGGTGAGGCATGGCCGATTCAGGAATGGCCACCTACCTATGCATTACTTGGCCCGAGGTCAGGCACAAAGAACATGACCTTGATGCAGCCAAACGGGACGGCAAGCAAGAGCGTCTACTGCAACAAGGTCTCCAAGCGGATCCATGACCAAAATGATATCTAATTGAGATTAAAATGCGACATAGGCGGCTCTCGTTTTGAGTACACTTATTTCATCGGGTCCTCCGTATTCAGCCGGGCTCGTCTTTCATATCTCGCCATGATAAGAGTGGTGTCGATATGTATGCAATATTAACCGACTTGACTTGTCATTTGCCGTGAACCAACCTGTAAGTCCCTGGGCCATTGTACAGTGAAGGGAGGTGGTTCTGCATCAGGGGGGTTAATTGGTGAGAGAGTCATATTGTGTGGGTCGCCGCAAAGGTAGCTCAGCAACTCGGAAGGAAAGAAAGCTGCGGGGTTTTCCAGCGGCCGGTGTGCTTCCGGATTCAGCGCTGAGTCCGCTGAAGCGGGCGTGCTGACAGAAAGAGGAAGAGCCTACCGGTCGAGCCCACTCGGCGGGCAAATCACCTTCTGGCACAAAAGCTCCGCGCTGTGCCTGGCCACATCATAAGCACGCTGCGAGGCCTACCCACCTGTGAATGGGACTGGCTTATGTCTGCCTGTAGCTAGCAAGCAACACCACCACCACCACTCCAAGCAGAGCTGCGGAGTCAAGAAGAGTGAGCGAAAGAGAGACCTTCCACTCATTGTCATACCCTACTTGCCGTTTGACAGGTTCCTACTCTTTCCTCTTAGGGAAAATCCTAAACGGCTACTCTTGTCAATCCCAAGTTCTCTTATCGACCAGAGACCGTGAGGATTCTTATCAACGAAACCCAACCGATCACGAACCCAAATCATTACCTTTGCTTTTCACCTCCCTCCTGCTACAAATCTTCCCTCACTTTCCTGCCAACGACTCCAGCGACTCCGTCCCTGACATCCACTCGCTCTTGCCAGCCAGCACCCAACCGATCCAGATGCCATCCGTTGCCGAGGAGCATCCCCGGCTGATGGCGCCCGGCAGGAAACGCAGACGGGATGTCAACGACTCCAGCAACGACCTGCAGCTACAAGGTTCTCTGTACGAGAAACTCGCCCAATACCACTCGGCCGCGGCCGCCGCGACGAACAACTGGAACGCTGACGGCGTGTTTGGAAGCAGGCCCGTTCAGCAACAGATCCAGCAGCAGCAGCAGCAGCAGCAACAGCAACAACAAAACTTCTTCCCTCTCTTCCCCGGCAGTAGCAATGACCGAATGATATTCCAATACGGCTTGCCGACCAACACAAACACCGCCACAGAAGACTCCCGCCAGAACCTGGACCCAGTGCCCCGGAAGATAGCTCCCCTCCCTATGCCTAAGCGACAGCGCATGTTCGACGAGGAGGGTGCGGATCTGGATAGCACGGATGGGGACCTTTCGACACAGCCCAGCAGTCCGAGACAACGACGGAATAGCAAATCACCGCCGGCGTCCCAAAACGACTCCCGAACAAACCAAGAACGGACGGATGCAGCGGGCAATAGGTCAAAGACCCCCTCATCCCTAAGTCCCTGCCACATCTGCCACCGCCGGCCCACCAAGAAGTCAGACCTCGACTCATTCGCCGACTGCCAGGGTTGCGGTCTGCGTTCGTGCTTCGTGTGCATCAGAGAGTGCCAGGGCTGGCGGAAGGACGGGCGCCCCAGTAGCAGTGGCGACACCGACCTGAATCAAGCGGAGCAAGAGCCGAAGCAAGGGGGCACTGACCTCTCACGCTCATGCCAGATGGACGACGTCGATGACGACCGGCAACGACAGTCGAGGGAGGGCGAAGAGTCGAAGCAGAATGTACAGTCAGCGAGAGAGGACGGCTGGACAGGCGGCGGACACAGACAGATGGTTTGCAGCCGCTGCTGCATCGAGAAGGGTGCCGAGGGCGACGTCGTCTGTCTGGGTTGCCTGTCACGCATGGAATCCGTCTAAAGGGACGTGGCATGGAGGAGAAAAAGGGGGTTCATTTGATTTATAGCACAGCGTTCGAGGAGCGTTTTTTCTCTCCTTCCCCTCTTCTGTTCATGTCTTCTCTTCATTTCAAATAGTAGATCCGATCTCATGAAGGGTGACGAAGCGCACGACGCTGCTGATGAAGGCATGCATATCATCTGGTAATGGGAAATGTCGGGCAATGCCGAGGCAGCACAAGGGATTCAGCCGCACATCGGAGGAGGGGGGATACCATCAGGCAGTATGGGACCAAAGGATGGTCGGAAACACGGCCCCTCGCACTAGTTAAACTGGGCAGACTTCGAAGGTCTGGTCCAGATAAATGTAATTCTATGGTCAATATCAAATCAGTCAAACCAAACCAAAACCGCATAGACCCAATATTCAAATAGAGTCGATTCGACTCATTGCTATAGCATTGATTCGCTCAGGCTTGTGTGATTCTTGTTGGCACATGGAAGCATGATCTATTTCTCTCCTTCTCGGGAACGAGGTATCATCATGCCCTTCTAGCCCTTCCCCGTTCCGAAGCCTTGCCTATTGTTACAGCCTAAAACAGACATGTCGAACTCCGTTGCCCTGCCCTTGCCGTCACTCTTTGGGTTTCCTCCCTTAGTTGTATTGCATGTAGCTGGCCGTCGAGTTGAACTTGAGGTTGGCCTTGATAACCTTGTCGACAGCGCTGAGGAAGTCCTTCTCCGTCGCCACCTTTCTTCGGGCGCGGATAGCGAACATGCCAGCCTCCGTGCAAACACTGCGAAGCTCGGCACCCGTGGCGTTGGGGCATAGACGCGAGATGAGCTCCCACCGGATGTCGCGCTCTACCGACATGCTCTTGGCGTGGATACGCAGAATATTGGCACGACCCTCGAGGTCGGGCAGGGAAAACTCGATCTTACGATCGATACGACCCGGTCTCATCAAGGCAGGGTCGAGGGTAGAGGGTCTGTTGGTGGCAAACATGACCTTGATATTGCCGCGGGCATCGAAACCATCAAGCTGGGTGATGAGCTCAAGCATGGTTCTCTGGACTTCGTTATCTCCGCCGGCACCGTCGTCGAAACGGGCACCACCAATGGCGTCAATTTCGTCGAAGAAGATGATGCATGCTTTCTTCGTCCGCGCCATCTCGAAAAGCTCACGCACCATTCTCGCACCCTCACCGACGTACTTCTGAACCAGCTCACTGCCGATGACTCTGATGAAGGTGGCATCCGTTCTGTTGGCGACAGCTCGGGCGCAGAGCGTCTTTCCGGTACCCGGGGGTCCGTAGAGAAGGGCACCCTTTGGAGGGTCGATACCGAGGTTGACGAACCGCTCCGGCGAGAGGAGGGGCATCTCGACGACCTCTCGCAGCTTCTCGACCTGCTCCTTTGATCCACCAACATCCCCGTATGTAACATCAGGCTTCTCCTCGACTGTCATCATCGTAACGCTAGCATCGATCTTGGGCGGGAGCGGCAGGAGGATTTGGTACTTGTTTCGGTCGACACCAACTCGCATGCCCTCCTCGATATCTGTAGGGCTCACTCTCTCGCCAAGTTGGACGACGAACTTGGCGATCTGCTTGACGTTGATGACATATTTGCTCTTGGAGTCGTCCTTCTCGTCCGGAATGATCTTCGTACACCGCGCAACCTGGAGGGGTTGTTCTTCTGACATGCGTTGCCGGTCTGCTGCTACGTCCCAAAGGTGAGGAGGGGCAAGTCCCGTGTCGGATTCCTATTTAAGTCAGATCGAGTTCCATCCACCCGGCACGGCACAGCTACCTTGACACCGATCTTCTCATCTACACTTGTTTGCTTCTCCTTGATCTGTTGCTCGAGCTTCTTGATGGCAGCACCGTACGGCGCGGCGCCGTAGGTCTTCAGCACCTGGATATCTCTGAGCGAGTAATGTCAGTCAACAGTCCCGCGCAATCCGAGGCCGATGGGATAACAAACTCGTCGGTCAATGGTGTGATCTTCTTCTCTTCGACCTCATCATCGGCGTAGGTCTTTTGGTATTTCTCCCAGTTCTGGCCGGTAGCGGAAGGCTAATGCTGGAGTTAGCACCCGCCGTCGGTGGCCACGCTTGCAGGGTCCATACCATGATGTAGGATGAGGACTCAACGTCCTACTGCCGAATCTCTGTTTTGAGTAGGTCCTTTATTGGAGGGGTTCGGGTTGAAGGCGGTGTCGACGTAGAATCGTGGGGTCTCGAGAAAGTGGTCGCGTTGATTGTTAACAAGTACAGAAGGTATGCCGCCGTAGGTGGGTTCGAGGTGGTGATGGAAGATGGTTCCGTAATCCAGGTTGCCTTGAGCTCCAAAGCACGGGCCACAGATGCGAGGCTGCTGTGGAGCTAGGCTGGTTGGGGGAAGATACAAACAGAGTACCGGGGCAGGAACAACCTAGCGCCCGCTAAAAAATATCCCACCGCTTGGGGGGGTTGCTACCTGAGAGAAAGTGGGCGATCGCAAAAGAAGGCGACAGCGGGACAGGACGACGAAGATACTGATACCTTTGCATTCACTGTTCAGCTTGCTCTTCCGCCCTCGAATACCTCAAAACAAGCACAAAACTAGTCAGAACCGTCAATATGGCCACAGCTGCACCACCCCCGGCCTCGGGAGGCTCTGGAAATGCTACCTTCAAGGTACGACCTGCACTTGAACTGCACTACCCATGACGAAGCTTCAGGAGCTGTTGCTAACAGCCGCATAGGATAAGGAGAAGCCCGTCGCCGTTCGCTCTTCCAACATTGTTGCTGCCAGAGGTGAGCAACATGGCCCACTGTCACGCTTCACGGACCGGAAGCTAACCTCTCTACAGCCGTCGCCGATGCCATCCGAACCTCCTTGGGCCCCCGCGGCATGGACAAGATGATTCGTAGCGGAAAGGGCGAGACTATCATTACCAACGACGGCAACACAATGCTCAAGAGCATGTCCGTTATGCATCCGACAGCGAAGATGTTGGTCAATCTTTCGGCGGCACAGGATGTGGAGGCAGGAGATGGCACAACATCCGTGGTTGTCATCTGCGGTAGCTTGTTGGGTGCTGCCGATAGACTCTTGTCAAAAGGAATCCACCCCTCTGTTATCTCAGAGTCTTTCCAGAGGGCTGCTGCCGCAGCCGTCGAGGTTCTCCACGGCATGTCACAGCCCATTTCTCTCACCGACACAGCATCCCTGCTTCAGGCGGCCAACACATCCCTCTCTTCGAAGATCGTGTCGCAATACTCTAACATCCTCGGCCCTATGGCTGTCAACTCCGTTGTCAAGACCATCGACCTGAAGACGGCAGACAATGTTGACCTGAAGAACATCAGAATCGTCAAGAAGGTTGGCGGAACCATTGAGGACAGTGAGCTGTCAGATGGTTTGATCCTGACACAGCCCGTACTCAAGGGCGCGGGTGGCCCTGCGAGAATCGAGAAGGCGAGAATCGGCTTGATCCAGTTCCAGCTCAGCCCTCCCAAACCCGATGTACGTTTTCCCTTTTAATGCCCCTATTCGCAGCTGCTGACCAATCAAGATGGAAAACACCATTCAGGTCAACGACTACAGGCAGATGGACAAGATCGTGAAGGAGGAGCGTCTTTACCTCCTTAACATGGTCAAGAAGATCAAGAAGGCCAAGTGCAATGTTCTTTTCATTCAGAAGTCCATCCTTCGCGATGCTGTCAACGACTTGTCTTTGCACTTCCTTGCCAAGCTTGGCATCCTCGCTGTCAAGGATATCGAGCGTGACGAGATCGAATTCATCTGCAAGTCGACTGGCTGCAAGCCGATTGCAGACATCGATTCCTTCACGGAGGACAAGCTCGGCTCGGCCGACCTCGTTGAGGAGGTCCAGTCCAACGGAGCTCGCATGGTGAAGGTTACGGGCGCTAAGGCGACCGGCAAGACCGTGTCTGTCGTCGTTCGTGGTGCCAACTCCCTCATTCTCGATGAGGCTGAGCGCAGTCTTCACGACGCCCACTGCGTCGTACGCTGCTTGGTGAAGAAGAAGGCCCTGATTGCCGGTGGCGGTGCTGCCGAGATTGAGATTGCGTCCCAGCTTTCCAAGCAAGCTCGAGAACTGACGGGCACCGAGGCCATCTGCTGGAAGGCTTTCGCGGATGCCATGGAAGTCATTCCCACCACCCTGGCTGAGAACGCCGGTCTCAACAGCATCAAGGTTGTGACCGAGCTTCGTCATAGACACGAGCTTGGTGAGAAGAACGCGGGTGTCAGTATCAAGTCCGGCGGCGTCAACACAAACATCTCCAAAGAGAACGTTCTTCAGCCTCTGCTGGTGAGCACTAGCGCTATCGAGTTGGCCGCTGAGACGGTGAAGATGATCCTCAGAATAGACGACATCGCCCTCACGAGATAAAGGGGATGACATGAGTCACGAAATGAAAAACAAAAGTAAAAGGGGAAATCCAGGCTTGATGATCATGTACATTACGGCTACCTTGGCTTAATTGCGGTGTAGACGTGGGCCTGGAATTGAGGCGTCAAAACTATTAGAAGCTGAGAGAGCAATTGATCATAACAAGATACCTTGATGAAACCTCAATACTGGTTACAAACCGTCCTTTGTGTTCTGTGGCGTTTGTTCCTTGCTATATGCGCCTGAGAGGCAATGGTGCTGTTTATGGCATTGGATGGTCTGTATCAGTAATACATACCCTCACTTACTGGCTTCAACATTGTCAATTGTGTCAAATCCGTCACATCAAAGCAACCGCAATCATATCAGATCTTTTCTTGCCGTGGAACGACGAGGTCGACGAAGGAAACAGAAGAAAAAGGTTGATCCTCCACCAAGACGTCAACGTACCTTTTCGTGGCAACATGTACCGTCTCCATCCTTGATTTCTTCATGTGCATTGCCAGGACTTCCCGAAGAGTTTGCATTGGTGTTTTCTTTATGCCGGACGCATGTAATGATTCCTTATGTGAATCCAAGTGATGTATACGGCGGCAAACCAGTTTGGGGATCTGCAAATGTCGAACCACGTGAAGCTTTCCAGAGACGTCTGCCCGGGAAAATGTCAAGGGCGCTACTGCTGTCACCTCCGATTCCTATCTTAGCAAAACGCTAGGAGATGACACTGACTTCAAAGATTAACCACCTGGCCCAATGCTGCATGTATTTGGAAAGGTCCCGCGGTCGGTCTGTATGATAGGCGTAGGCTGAACGACGCCTGTAGTATAAACATATGGAAGTGCATTGCAGCAACTCAGCACACACAGCGCTGATTGATTATACAACGATTTCGATATCATGAGGATCGGCAAACGCTACCATATGATTCAAGCACCTATACCATATATGTCAGACCACAAACAGATTCCAAAGCATACGCTCCATCGCACATCAAACCACACTACCAGGCCACGCAACAAAACTATCACAACTACGAAACCCTGATGGGATCATTAAAAGGGATATAGGGTATGGAGAAATAAGGGGCTGAGCTATTAAACGCCGACTACACACCCCACTTATCCAAGACTAGATAAAGGGAATCAGAAGAGAAAAAAAAATGATTTGTCAATCGTGGACGGAATTGAGCCCGACGTGGCTGGTTACTGTTAGTCGAGGCGTCCGTGATGCGTCACGGGCCGGGGATGCGCTTACGGGTCGAACCCACAACCTTGAGATTAAGAGTCTCACGCTCTACCGATTGAGCTAGCCGGGCAGGCTATTGAGGTTGGTTGAGGAGTTTCACGATGGGCCAGAATATGGCGGAGGGTGACGGGGTGGTGGGTTGTTGTGCGGACAGAATCCGAGGGCACGGAAACCCGCAAAACGGGGTGGGCCGGGCCTATCGCTCCTTGTTCCGGGTTTGATCGCGGACTTGGACAACTCATGGCACGGCTGAGCCGGTCCGATCCGGGGCCTGTTAGGCGGTCGATGGAGACGCTCGGTAAAAAAAACGAGGAATCAGGTTCCAAATTATACATGGGTTGGTAAATTACTGCTATGAACCACCAACATGTCCAAGCCACATCCAACTAACTTGCATAAAATATTGAGGCCGAAGTCTTTCCTGTCTTGAGTTCCTTTCCCAACGCCAGAATGGTATATATATCGATGTCATCGATTCGATCAAGAGATCAAAGAAAGGGTGTAAAAAAGCCAGCTCAGCTGAATACAAAGAAAAAGAAAAAGGGGGGGTAAAAATCCGGGGTGGGGTTTCTTTTCGAGAACACACATAGCATACGTTTCAACATTTCAGCCACTCGCCACTTTCGTAATCATCGTCGCAGTCGTCTCCCGCTTTTTATCTCGCCTGGCCAAAGGAGTACTGGTGCGGTGGCGGGCTCTTCACTGGCGCATCGGCGTAGGCCCCGGGGATCGGCACGGCGTCGTAGACAGGCTCGTCGGCAGCCATCGGCGCATGCTGCTGGGTCTGCACTTGCGGCGATTCTTCCTGCTGCGATGTCTGGGTTTTTTGCTGGAAAGGGAATGACGGAGCAGGGCCTTCTGGAGAAGTGGGTGTGAAGGAGCCCTGTCCGGGCTTGGTCGCCGAGCGAGCCTTGGACGGAGGGGCTTGGAGCTGGAATGCGGGCTTGGACTTGCTGAAGCTGGACTCGGGCTCGACGAAGCGGGTTCCCGGGGTGAATGGGGAGGCCTCCTCGATGCGGGACAGGTTCTCAAAGGTCTTGTCGGGGTGGCGGGGAGACAGGGCGTACTGAGAGTACAGGCCGGGAGACTTAAGGCCGGGCGTGTTCGGGGCGGACTGGGTCCGGAGCTGGGCGAGGTAGAGATCAGAACGGGCGCGGTCGCGCATGTCCATAGACTTGTGGAGGCGGCGCTTGGTGTAGTATCGGTAGAAAACGATGCTATAGAGCAGGACGCAGATGACATCGATGACGATTTCGATAACCATGCAGATGAGGGCCCAGTTCTGGAGTCGGCAGATGAGGGCATAATCGACCTTCTCGCTGAAGACCTCGGCGCGCTTGTTCTCCTTGCACGACCAACCCCACATGTCCTTGCCGCCGCCATTGCTTCGACTCGACTGGAAGATACCGGCGGAGATAGCCCACATGATCATGGAAAGGATGAACCAGCCGATAGAGAAGAGAGTGTAGTAGGTGGCGACTTTCTCGGCACGGGCATGACCGCCGCGGCAGTAAGAGAGCAAGACACCGATACAGACTAAAAGAGAGATGGAAGACACTATGTGCTGTTAGAGCGTGGGCAGGTCATCGAAGTCATGGATATACTCACTGGTAATAACCAGAACCTGGGGCCAGATAGCAGTGCCTTCAGCCCATGCTGGGAGACCGCTTTGAGCAGGGAGGCGCCTGGTCGCGTTGAAAATCTGGAAGGAAGCCGCAAGCATACTGATGATGATCAGACTGCAGCTGAAGCTGACGCCACGAAGAGCGAATTTGGCCATGCGGACGCGGGTCTTGATTTTCTGTAGACATGTTAGCGACGGACTGCTTTGTGAGGTCGATGCCACATACTAGGTCGCGTGCTTGTTCCTTGTCAGTCGCCTCCTCGCGCTTCTCCAAGATGTCCTCCTCTCGGAAGGTTGGGCTGAGCGGGTTCTCGATCTTCCTCGCTGGGGTCCCGGGCACCCTCATGGCGCTCTTGAGTGGCGATCTCGGAGTCATCGGGACGGCGACGGATTCGCGGTTGCTACCGCCGCTATTGCTGATGTAGCCGAATCCGATGTCCCCAGGCTGAGACTGAGGTACTTCGGATCTGATGGGGTCGGCAAAGGGCGACCGAGAACCATCAACAGGAGAGTGAACTGATGTTGCTTCTGCGAAGCGAGGAGTGCGGGGGGGCTTCAGTGATGACTCGGACGATGACGAATCTGTGGATGCTGATCGAGCGGGAGCGAGGTTGAGGGCGGCAGGCCGCCTCTTGTCTTCTACCGATGGTGTTAGTCCATTGTGCTAGTAGATCCCGACCTTGGACGAAGACATACCTTGCGGGGACATGGTTGTGATGTATGGTTGTGTGCCCGAATAGGGAGTACGGAAGAGAACGATGAGAGATATATGCCTAGTATATAGGAAAGGCGCCCTCGGATTTGGCGTCGCTGACGGAAAGGCCGGCTTAGAACATGCAACAGAGTTTGGCGATCAAAGCAGGAATGAAGCACGACAGGAATCAGATTGGGAGAGACCAGCTGTCGGAAGGGAGAAAGAGGTCCAACAAATTGGTCACTCGGGGGAGCTGGTAGTTTTGAGTTGGCGCCGCTACTGTGTAGGACACAAGGCAAAGGCTCTTTCCGCTACATGGGGCAGATCAGCAAGGCGTAAGTGGGACGAAGAGGAACTGGGATTCCTACATCTATGTAGCGTGGGAGGGTAGGATGGCGCGAAGTGAGCAGGGCTATGATAGGTTCCAGGCCGGCGATTCGGTTGCGATGAAAATAGACGCTCACGAGAGTGGACGGGGTGGCGCCGGACTTTGGTTGGCTCGATGCTTCAAGATACGCCTTTCAATGTCGCCTCCTGCTGGCTGGCGGGTAGTGACCTGAGCGGAGTCCTTTTCACACTGCTTTCTTGATTGCACGGCGGCTACTGGAATCACCAGGAGGTCGATCGTCCGTTGCTGAGACAGGAAGCAACTTCACGTTCTGGAGATCAGAGTCGGAAGCCGAAAGAGGAGGCAAAGACACCACGCTGCCAGCAACAAACCGGTAGGGCCAAGAGTTGCGCGCATTTCTGGACAAGCGACGAATATAGAAATTTGAAAGCAACCCCAAATGGGTAGGCATCCTCGAGAGGGGGGAGAGGAAGAGGCAGGGTAGCAAGCAGCATGCACACTTGCACATCTTGCAAGCTAGCATAGTATTGACCGGTCAGACGCCTAGCTGAGAAACGGAATACTCTTTGGACCGGAGTCTCTGGGCCGACCTCTCCTCACCCCGACAAAGCTTACTGGAGCTTGGCGGCACTTGTCGTTGCATCCGCATGGCTCGACGATGCACGTAAGGCCGATGATTGGACATGGTTCATCAAATTGAGAGGAGGCAGGTCGAGTAGCAACGGGAGGGCAATGATGGTGGTTGGATGGAAGATGGAAAGAGGAGAGGTTTGCGGTACCCACCCTTGCTCCTGGTTAAACCACCGGCCGGCGCCAACGACATGTCGAACCCTTGTTGCCGCCCGCTTCCCCTGTCGTGCATCTGCAGACGTGATAGGCTCCGGTGGTGCAGGCGCATCTAATGCCACTTTGGCGCATAGGGCTGGGACCAATCAGAGATCAAAAGAGCGTGATGGACTGCTAGCCACATGCAGACCGGGCGGTAAGCAGAAGCTGGATGAATGGGGGAATTGGGCAACGCAATGGTGTACCGGCTGGTATGTGTGTGTGCGCGCGCATGCGTGTGGGTGTGTGTGTGTGTGTGTGTGTGTGTGTGTGTGTGTGTGTGTGTGTGTGTGTGTGTGTGTGTGTGTGTGTGTGTGTTTGTCGTCTCTTGACTCCTATATTGAGTCACCTTCCTCGAGTCGACCGGGTCTTTCTACACTATTCTTGTTTCCCCCAAGCCTGGCCTGATCTAATCTGTACGGATGGATACCTTCAGTTGTAGGTAGTAGACGTATCATTTCATTATGGGTCTCTGAGCATTCATATTTATTGCTCCCTCCCCGGACCCCATGATATACGTACCATGGACGGTATGTCATCTGTAAAGTGGTGAGGTGCGCAGATGTGGCGACGACACTCGCCTCCGCACTGTTACCGGCCCCAAAATCTGACGTTAGCCATGGTTGAGTTCTGGCCGGGGACTGCATTTTGCAATACTTTATCCGTCAGCCTGACTGAGGTGATGACAGGGACACGAAGAGCGCGAAGGATACCCCAAGCCCTGTTGTGCACAACTTGAAATATGTCTGTTCAAATACCACCGCGGGCTTGTATTTCGAAAGATGACAAGCAGATCAACCTTGGGACTCATGGATGAATTGCGTGAGCTTGAACTTGGAGGTCAAGGTCCGGCCCGTGTCCCACTTTTATGTTCTAGCCAACCTCAAGACACAAAAATGCCGTCGGTTCTTTCTATTTAGCCCTCCTTCCCTACTGCTATAGGTACCTAGGCAAGCGATTTTAGTTTAGCGCACTTGTCAGCCTCTTTTCTAATCGTACAACGGCGAGCTAATTATAGAACTGACCTTTTTCCCAACTGAAGCAAATATTGTTTTCCGCTACAGGCCGACCATTTATGTTATCCGGGCCCGGATACCCGTCGGTCGGAGCCATCCCTCCTCTGGCCAATAACAGAGCTGCCGCCAGTAACCGACTTTCCCTTTTCCCACTTCATTATCGCCAACTTCAACCACGCCGACAGAGCTGCCGTTGAGTGAGGCTCTCAAGAAGTACCAGAAAAGTCACCGCCACCACAAACTCAATCAGCTCATCCAGCACGCCACACCACTGCTACGCTGCCTATGTGTGTCCGCAGACGCCTTTGACCTCCTTTGGAATCCCAATATATTAGTCCCCGTACAACTCTCTCCTCCAAGGTCCTTAAAGAGGCCGGGGACGCCCATAGAGAAACCCGCCAGCCAAGCAACTAACGCGGCCGCTAGCTAGTATAGGACCTCTAGTCCTGTTACTGTTACCCTCCGCCGTCACCCAGCGAAGCTGCCTAGCACTCTTGTGAATAACCTTTAGATGAAGCGCCTAAAAGACAGGATGAAGAAGAAAAAGAATAGGTTAACAATACTATCTCTTATTCTACGGAGGTTAGTCCCTAGGATGATAACGATGGCAGATCAATAATCAGTGACTATCACTACGAGGGTAGAAATAATAACGGCCCACTTGATGAATCGCATGTCCAGCCATATACCCAGCCAGTGACCTAGTTCGACTATCATCAACAACAAACACCTAGCCAGCCGCTATAGAAGCCGCGCGGTTAGCCAAGTACTTATACATATGTCATAAACAGTTTACTTTTTGGAAAAGACGCTGGGGATTTCGAGGGCGCTGTCTCCCGGTCAAGCTGCTTGCCTACGATTTTTGGCTGGAGATTTGGATGACATGGAGACTCTCATCAACGTTCCTTTCCCAAAGAACTTGAGGAAGAACCCATCCACATCATCGCATACGGCATCGGAGGTTTCAGCTACCGCCCGTCAAACCGCAGCCAAGTCATCAACCGCCGCAAGTCCACAACGCATACAGCCATTCCTTCGGACCACCCGGTTATAACCCATACTCATACCCAGCCCAATGCCTTCTTTCAGCCAGACTAGCACCCGCCATCGCACCCTTCAGCCAGCCAATTTGCCCGCCAGCCAACCAGCCAGACTACCCAGTCTGGTCGCCGCATAACCAGCACGGCTATCACGATTATGAACCCGAAGGAAATGGATACGAGCACGAAGAAGAGGACTATGGCCCTGAGGAAAAAGAAGGCCCAGAGGAGGACTACAGGTATCACGAAGGATACGACGAAGGGGACTTTGACGACGGATATGGTGAACACGACGAAGGTGGTTATTATGATGAGGGATATGATGACGATGGGTACGATGGGACGACGACGGCGGTGGTGACAGCCTGTGATGGCGAACAGCTGGATAGCTTGGTTGCAAAGTGTCTTGGCGGGGTGCTCAAGGACACCTGCTATAGTCATGTGTGAGGGGGTTGGGGGGGTCTTTCAATACCCAAAGTGCAATAATACATCCTTGTCTTCAATTCCGACCGGTCAACAGTCACGTGCCCATTGACTGTTGAAATCGTGTAACCGAGTGTTGTTTGCTGGTGACTTGGCCAGCCGGCTGCCGAAGTGAAAGTCGTCGTTGGCAGAAGCTCTAAAAACACGATACGAAGCCAAAGGCCCCCGATATCTGGTATATCTGCTTTCAATCGTCGTGTAGAACTAGGGCCTCTCGCTGGTGATTTTTTTCTATTGTTTTATTTTTATTCTCAAAAGGACCAACAGATCGTGGGTTGGTCACTTGTATGCGAACGGAGGCGAGCTTTAAAAGATGCCAAATATCTCGAGATGTTATCGTTTTCAATGTTATCCAAAGCGTTTTCGGTTGATGACTCCCTGTGTGCGGTTGGGCATATCATGCGGGGTAGCTCAAGACAGTTTGAGGAAGTTTTGAGAGCCTGCCGCAGCGATGATAACTCTTGGGCATTCACTTAGGTTTATCTGACGAAGGTCCAGCGGGGCACTTGCCTTATCAGTCCAGAAAAGGCTAGCGTCATAATCACCGTCGACTCAGAGTAGAAATCTATCCACCCGCGGGGCAAAATGGATTTCAACTTCCAACCACCACCACCACTACCACCACCACCACTAAATATTACCAATTTTATTGCTTGCCCCAGACTTTTCGCGTCTCAGTAAACAAATTACCTACCTCATCGACCTGTCGAGACAATGTCTGCTGACAGCGTTTCCAATCACGAAGACATGGACCCCGTGTCTAACTCTGGCGAGTTTGCGGAGGAAGAGGTCACCAGCGAACCCCTGGCTTCGAACACCAAGGAGGTGCACTTCAGCGACACTGCGAAGGACGCTGCCAAGGAAACGGTTGAGCGTCCTTTCCTTCCCGAGCAAACTGACCCCGAACATATCGACTTCGAGAAACACGACGCCCTGAACCCCGAGGTTATCGCTCGCCAAGCAACAATCAATATTGGTACTATCGGCCACGTCGCTCACGGAAAGTCTACCGTCGTCAAGGCCATCTCCGGTGTCCAGACCGTTCGCTTCAAGAACGAGCTGATCCGTAATATCACCATCAAGCTTGGTTACGCCAACGCCAAGATCTACAAGTGCGACAGCCCCGAGTGCCCTCGGCCGGGATGCTACAAGAGTTACAAGAGTGAGAAGGAGGTTGACCCCCCCTGCGAGCGCGACGGCTGCAGCGGTACCTACAGATTAATTCGTCACGTCTCGTGAGTAGCTTCGAGAGCGTACCCTAGAACCATGGATGCAGGGTGGCTAATATCCATAAACAGCTTCGTCGACTGCCCCGGTCACGACATTCTCATGAGCACCATGTTGTCTGGTGCTGCTGTCATGGACGCGGCCCTTCTTCTTATTGCTGGCAACGAATCTTGCCCCCAGCCTCAAACTTCTGAGCATTTGGCAGCAATTGAGATCATGAAGCTCGACAATCTTATCATTTTGCAGAACAAGGTCGATCTCATGCGCCAAGACGCTGCAGGGAAACACAAGGACACCATCACCAAGTTCGTCAGAGGCACCGTTGCAGCAAACTCTCCCATTATCCCTGTCTCTGCTCAGCTGAAGATCAACATCGATGCTGTCCTTGACAGCATCGTCAACACCATTCCTGTCCCTACTCGTAACCTCACCAAGGACCCCCTTATGATCGTCATTCGGTCTTTCGACGTTAACAAGCCGGGTGCCGAGATCGAAGACATCAAGGGCGGTGTTGCTGGTGGTTCCATTCTGCACGGTGTTCTGAAGCTCGGCGACGAGATCGAGATCCGTCCCGGTATCGTCGAGAGAGACGACAAAGGTAACCTCAAGTGCACGCCCATCTTCAGCAAAATCGTCTCCCTCAACTCCGAGGGAAACGAGCTCAAGTACGCCGTTCCTGGTGGACTCATCGGTGTCGGTACCAAAATCGACCCTACTCTCTGCAGAGCCGACCGTCTTGTCGGTCACGTCCTGGGTCTCAAGGGCCGCCTGCCCGATATCTACAAGGAGATCGAGGTCAACTTCTTCCTTCTGCATCGTCTCCTGGGTGTCAAAACCGCCGACGGCAAGCAGGCCAAAGTCGCCAAGCTCACCAAGAACGAAGTTCTCATGGTCAACATCGGTTCTACGTCCAGTGGTGCCAGTGTCTTTGCCATCAAGAACGATGCTGCCAAACTCAGACTCAATACTCCCGCTTGCACGAACATTGGCGAGAAAATTGCTCTGTCCCGGCGTATCGAGAAGCATTGGCGTCTGATCGGTTGGGCCACCATCGTTGCGTAAGTTTTCCTTGACCGTATAACAGATCTCGATAGCTGACTTGTTGTAGTGGTGTCACCATCGAGCCCAGTGTTCGCATCGAGCCAAGCTCTTCCAAAACCATTTAATCAAGCAAAAGCAAGTCTCGAAAAGTACATTCTTCAACATCACAGGAGTTTAAAAGAGTCGGTCTGGCACAGCCAAATGGGGAGTAGGGGGAAGTTGGCAGTTTTCTAAAACCAGACGGGTAATGAATGCAAATGACACGAGGTCACATGGGTCACCAGGGATGAAAATACAAGTATCGCTAGACAGGGGTGCATGCTGGTAGATAGGCCCTGGACGATGAATGAGCTCTATTTCTATTACATTATTTCCTGACCTTACGCGCGTGTTTGACCAGATTTTCTATGACGCCTTCGAATGCTTCCCTGTCGCCTATCTTTTCGTCCGTCTTCTTGGTCCAATACTCTAGCACCTCCCTGGCCGTGCCCTCCATTGCCTTGAGCTTCTCGACATGAGCCTTGAGCTCTTCGTCCGTCATGCCATTCAGTGCCTCGTCTGTGGTGGCACATAACTGCTTGGCCGATACGAGATCTAGGTCCGGTACTGGCGGCGGGCCCTTTTTCTTGGATGTTGACGGCTTCCCCTTCGAATCGACTGACGTCGACGAGGCGTTGGCGTCGGACTGTCGAATCCGTGCCACGGAGCGGATATCCGAAGATGTCCGCGGTGATCCGGCCGTCGTGACTTGGAGTGATGGCAGCACAAGCTTCTTCTGCTTGGAGGCCGGGAGGATCTCATCTAGATCCACCGGCACGCCCAGGGAGACCAGGAACAAGCGACGGATACGGGAGCGGATCCAATCTGGCGGTGCCAGCGGCGGGGGCGCTACAAGTTGTGACCACAGAGACGCGCTACGCGGTGTGAGGAAGATGGGATTTTCTTTGGTTATTGGTGGGGGAGGGGACACATCCAAGTCTTCTGGCGGGAAGAGGGTGTTGAGGTATGGGTCGACAGCTTGCAAGACGTCCTCGCTGTCTAGGCCGTCGAAATCAGGTATATGCTGGATGACGAATCTGTCAATTTCTCTGCATATTGCGTTGCAAAACGAGATACTCACGAATGGTAATGAAGGTACTTGTGACAAGCTCGGCGGCGGGGCTGGTGCAGGTGCCTCGAATTCTGGTTCTTGGAAGCCGTCGTCAAAGTCGTCAAAGTCACCATCGGCCTCGGCACCCTCCTCAAAATCGTCAAAATCGTCCCCAAAATCATCGCCGCCGCCCTCATCATCGTCTTCCGCATCGGGTGGTGGTGCGAGGCTTGCACTGGATGGGGCCGAAGACAAAGCAGTCCTGGAGGATTTCCGCTTCAGGTGAGGCGATCCCGGAGTTGAGAGCGCAGGTGATACAGGAGACGGATCTACGAATGACACCAGGTCAACGACGAATGCTCTTTGAATTTCAGGGATCTCTACATCGTACCGGAACTGCCGCCTTCCTCGGTCTCGCCTTCCGGCTTCACAACCAAGTCGGCTGGGGCGTCTGCCTTGCGCTTCTCCAGGAACTCCTCTGAGTGTGGCCCTGTCGAGCCGGGAGCCTCCTCGACAACAGTCTTAGGGATGACGGGCGACTTTGGTGCACTGCCCTCAGACGACGACGCATCGCTCTTCTTCTCCTGGATAGCAATCTCATCCGGCTCAGCGTCCCCCTCCCTCAGGCGGTAAGCCTCCGTTCCAGGGACCTCGCCGTATGATGGTTCGTCGTCAACTTTCTCTACACGAGTCTTGGGGATCGGCGACGTTCCGGGGCTGAGAGGAGCAGATTGGGCATCGGAAAAATGATCGTCAGAGTCGGAAGCGTTAGCTGCAAATTGTTAGACAAGTGGCTAAATGCATCATCTAGGGAGAACGACGGGGGTCGTCTACCTAGATCGTGAGCGCCAGGGTCGCTAGTTCCAGACCGTCTGGGCGGCGTAAGAGCCTCATTGTCAGACATGATGTTGATACAAGTATAATTGGGACAACGTTTCTTGGTGTTACGGGCAGGTGAAGCAGCACCTAGTTTATCGATGGTGGAGGGAATAGGAGTGGGTGGTGGAGGGGAATCCTGTCGATTAGCGGATACGTAATGGTGTGGGCCTAATAGCAGAAACGATATCCCAGACTCGAATACTTGGGCCAATGCAACTCATTCATTAAGTCAGCTAGAGGCACAGCTGACGGCACACAAGAAAACCAGAAAAAACGCACTTCGGGCTCTTGGGCAGAGAGGGCATAATCAGCAGGCTCGTAGACATGATCAGGAACCTATGCAGTTCTAGACTCGCCTGCCAAGCATCACGTGGGGCAGGCCCCGGCTAATTCCGCGCTAACACTCGATAGGCAACCAGTCCCTGTCCTGGGCAGGTACAGCGCGCCAGTCGCGTGGAGGTAAGCCTGAAAGGCTGGACATCAAAAAAAATAAAAAAGCTGCCAGCCATCAACAACAGCTTCAGTCTCCGCCGATAACCAGCAAAGAACGCTTCCGACTCAATAAGCTCGCGCATTATCGGCAGCGAAAACTAGACTTGTATTGACAACAAGCAACGTTTTAGAGGTCGATTCGCACCTCAATGCGACGAAGCTGAACTACACGGTCCACGACTTCTCGGATCAAGCTTCCTGTTGCTGTAGGTAGCTTCCAGGACACCTTCAAGCACCGGCTCGACACATCCCTAACAATCCACGGAACTTCGAAACAATGTCCTTCAGCTTCGGAAACACAAGCTCTACGCCGACGTCGAACAGCGGCTCGACCCCTGCGACTTCTGCCCCGGCGTCTGGAGGTCTCTTCGGCGGTGGCGCTGCCTCCAGCGGCACTCCCAGCTTCTCCTTCGGCAACCTGGGAGGCAACAACACACCCGCTGCTGGATCGAGCAGTGGAGCGTCGGCTTCAGGCGGGGGATTGTTCGGACAGAGCGCTGCTCAGAAACCAGCAGGCGGACTCTTTGGAGCCGCTTCTACGGGCACGCCTCCTTCGACCGCAGGTGGCCTCTTCGGGGCCAAGCCTGCCACCGGCACATCATCGACTCCAGCTGCTTCTGGTGGCCTCTTTGGCCAAAACACAGGCTCTTCTACGCCTAGCACATCTGCCCCCGCATCAGGAGGTCTCTTTGGCGGCGGAGCCGCCTCAAGCAGCACTCCTGCTGCATCTTCCGGAGGATTGTTTGGAGGAGGAAACGCAGCGGCGAAGCCGGCAGCCAATCTTTTCGGTGGCGGAAACGCTGGCAGCTCTACCCCCTCGGGAGGTCTTTTCGGTCAGAACACTGCGTCGGGCTCTTCAACAGCCCCTGCTCCCGCTTCTGGTGGGGGTTTGTTCGGTGGCATGAACAAGCCTGCATCAAGCACGCCTACTGCGGCAACTCAGGCAACGCCCGCAAAGCCCTTGTTTTCGCTTGGAGGATCGACAACGCCTGCTGGAGCTCCCCCCGCTGACGCGAGCAAGCCTGCTGCAGGCGGTCTTTTCGGCGGTGCCACAGCATCCGGTTCTGCAGCCCCGTCACCTTTTGGTGCTGCGGCAGCCAAGCCGGCGGAGAGTAGCAGCGCGGGCGGTCTCTTCGGTGGTGCCGGGCAGTCCAAGCCTGCTTCTACGGCTCAGCCGGCGAGTGGAGGTTCGCTCTTCGGCGGTCAGACGCAACAGCCTGCGGCGAGCGGTGGTCTCTTCGGAGGCCAGAAGCCGGCTACAACCGCGGCCCCTAGCGCTGGTGGCCTCTTTGGTGGCCAGGCTGCTACTGGTACTGCTTCAACCCAGCCCGCTTCAGGGACTGCCGCAGCTTCCACAGCTGGCGCCTCTGCACCCTTCGGTGGTGCCAAGCCTGCGACGCCTACTACTTCGACACCCCCTACATCGTCTGCCGGTGGCCTCTTCGGCGGCAACACATCCTCCACGCCGGCGACAGCAACGACGCAAGCTGGCTCTAGTGCAGGTGGACTCTTTGGCAAGCCTGCCGCTACTGCATCTGCAACCCCTGCTGCTACAACGGCTTCTTCTTCACTGTTCGGCGGCCAGTCATCTGCAACTCCTGCCAGCAAACCTGCCAGCGGTGGACTCTTTGGAGGCGCCCCAGCAGCGAGCACCTCTCAGGCGGCATCTACTCCTGCAGCGACTGCGCCGGCGACTACTTCTGCTGCAACTACATCAACACCAGCTGCCGGTACTGCCGCAACTGCTGGTGGTCTGTTTGGCGCCAAACTGTCAACACCCGCTGCTGGAACATCAACCCAGAACGGATCTGCCCCGGCCGCCACATCCGCCACGACTGGCAACTCAAATACTCTAGCTGCATCCACGACCGGCCCTACTTCTCAGCTCCCTCGTCTGAAGAACAAGTCGATGGACGACATCATCACGCGGTGGGCTTCAGACTTGTCCAAGTATCAGAAGGACTTTAAGCACTACGCTAACCAAGTTGCCGACTGGGATTTGGGTTTGGTGGACAACGGTGAGAAGATCCAAAAGCTCTACCTCAACACCTTTGAGGCCGAGAAGGCCAGCCACGAGATTGAGCGTCAACTCCAAGCTGTTGAGAGTCAGCAGGACGAGCTTGAAGATTGGCTCAACCGCTACGAGTCCGACGTGAAGGAGATGTTCTCCCGCCAGATGGGACAGGGCGAGACTCTGACTGGACCTGACCAGGAGCGCGAGCGCACGTACAAGCTCGCCGAGAAGTTGACGCAGAATCTCGACGAGAAGAGCAGAGACCTGTCCAAGATGGTCAAGGAAATCAACGACATCTCCGGCACTCTTAGCAAGGGCAGCAAGCCCGAGGACCCTGTAAGTCATTGCCATCTTCCCAATCTATGTTGGGTTGTATTTCTAACGCACTTCCAGCTGAGCCAGATCGTCCGTGTTCTCAACGGCCACCTGTCGCAACTCCAATGGATTGACACCAATGCCGCGTCCCTGCAGGCCAAAGTGTCTGCTGCACAGAAGGCGAACAACAACCTTGGCAGCCAGTACGGAGCACCAGAGACTGATGCGGCAGAGAGCTTTTACCGATCTTACATGGGTCGGCGATGAACGGGGTTTGGACAGCGGCATTGGGTATATGGATTTTTCTTTCTTTTTCGGCAGCACGCACACACGAGAGAAGAATTAAGACCGGGAGAATTGACATGGAAAGACTCGAAAACCAGAGTCAATAGTCACTCGAGCAAGGCTCCAAAAAGGTCGCTTCGCATTGAGTGGGATGGTTAAAGCGCCGTAAGAGTGCGTTTCATCATGCATACGTACATGTACATTAGCCTAGACTGTGTGGGTGAATACCAGGTGTTGATTCACATGACAACTCTGAACTTTCCTTGAAATTGTGATCGCGTTATACGCGACCCTGCTGTATGCGCCGGCGACTGCTTTCCCCTTCCCGTTTCAGCGTACACGGTCTCCTGGCTCGCCATTGATATTACTGCGAATGCATTTTGTTTTTGGGTTTAGTTGTGCTCGCCGCCCTGGTTCTTGGTGATTTCGTCGCTGTCGGTTCGATTAGCAAGTCAAGCTTGAAATTGAGGGCGACGTCATGTCTAAAGGGGAGGGGGGCGGGTGACGAACATGTGGTCGGACAGCTGCTGGAGGTGGGCCTGCTGCTCGGAGAGCTTCTTCTTGAGCTCGAGAAGCTTCTCCTTCTCACGCTGGCGGATGGCGTAATCCTCGTTCGCCTTCTCGCGCTTCTGGAAAGCGTCTCTGAGATTCCAATCGTTAGTTCTGCAACGTCCGAGGTGATACTAAAGCAGGAGAGGTCGCCGGGCATGCATGCACAGGGTAGAGAGGTAAGGGGAGAAGTCAAACTTACCCGCCTCCGTACTTGGAGGGAGCTCCAGTGTCGCCCTCGGCCATGGCGCGAGTGGTAGTGCTGAAGGCAGCTCTGGAGGCGAGAGACAGAGGGCGAGCGGCAGCCTTGGTGGCAGCGATACGCATCATTTTGAAGAAGTTTTTGCAAGGTGTTAAGATGAATTGAGTCGAGAGGTGTTGTGTTGTTGTAGAAAGAGGTTAAGCTGACCGATGACGATGGGGGGGTGCTAGTCGACGGGTTTTGTGATAGGCTGGATTGTGGAGAAAGAGCCTGGAGTAGCTCGGGAAAGGGAACGCTGATTAAATGCTATTGGACGGAGGGGGGATGATCTGATTCTTCGGAACGAGCTGATGAGAGCTTTTGCTCTGCTTCGGCCGTCTTTTCTCATAGGCGAGTACGGAGGTACGGGGATGTGATACGTCATAAGCAGTAGAAGCAAGGTATTCTGTTAACATGCGCTACCGGCATTTCTCAGCTTAGTGGAGGTGACTATGGGCCAAGCAACTCTGTCCTTCCTCAGACCACCTGCATTGAAAGGCCACCCGCTATGACCAAAATAGCGACGTGCTCACTGCTATATTTCCGAGGCTGGCCGTGCTGGGAGATGCCGACGTGGGGCATCCGCAAGATCCCGTGAGGACTTACAGCGCCCCTATGGACACCGGAGATTGTTGCGCCATGTTGGGATTTGGGGCCATTGGCCCCCGTCTATCGAAGAGTCGTCATTCACACGATGCTCTACAAGCTCCTCGTACAAGAGCATCGTGCTCGGTAGAAGTCGATACCCGCGATCCCAATGATTCTTGTGGAGGTTATCACTCGAGTAGGTACTGTATACTGGATAATTACGACCCGGATCGACTTGTCGTTTCCGACAAGGCTGAATCTGGGCACGACTGGGATGTTCCCCGGGCCACCGGGTTGGGAGATCTGTCACTTCGAGATAGTCGACCGAGGGGGGGGTGCCCGGTGATTGTGGTGTGACGGTCTTACGCTTTGTCTCGCCAGGAATTGTCAAGTGGAGCGCTGAAGCCGTACAGGACAGCATAGTCCAGTACCGCGGGCACGCGTGTAAGTGCTGCCTTGGCTCGCCTAGCCGCGAGAATAGCGCCTGGCCTCTACTGAAAGGGGAAAGAAGAAGGACAAGATCAGGTATTCGGTGCATGAATATGGTTCACCCTGGAAAGGTAGCAGGAATTGTGTATCTACATAGCCATGGTTTCAAGAAGCAGAACAGCGTGAGACCGAACGACCTGACAAGTAATACTTGTAAGTCGTCCGTCAACATTGCCTGAACTCAAAGGATACCCGAAGCACGGATGGCTGCGCTGCACGATTGCATGAAAAGAAGGGACGAAGTGGGATGAGGGGAGGGGACAGGAAGGGAAGGGGTGGCTGTCACCAGGCTTTTGCGTCGGGAGTTTGTTCACAACATGCCAAGAGCCTGTGTAGGTAAGGTACAGCACAAGCAAGTGTTCTGCAAAGCAGCCGAGACATAAGCCTGACAGCTGACTTTGGGCCGGAGAAAGTGAAGCACACATACAACACATACAGTGACGTGATGGCGGCGCAGTGGCAGCAACAAGGTCAAGGCTGGATAAGGTGAGGTCAGAAGAGTCAAGTGTGCCCTCTCCGTCGGGTGCCTTGGATTGGGGCCAGGTGGTGGAATACATGCAGTAAGGTGTACCTGGATTCAAGGTCGACCTGCAACTGCTGTTGATGATGGCCCGGGGAAGGAACGCACTGGCGACACAGAAATGACAAAAGGTACCGCCGTGTACCGCCTCACTGCCTGTCGCAGAGTCAGGGCTGGCAGTGAGTGCGCAGTCGCTGGCAGTAAGAAGGGCACATCTGGAGAGGCTTTAGGGGGTCTCTTGAGGGGTATCTCCCGACGTCTGTCAGCCGCACAGCACAGCCGCGATACCTGACGCTACCCCGGGATCGATTCACGTGAGCCGTCCATTCCAGGGCTAACATCGAGTTGGGAACAAAACAGAAGGGCTCATCTGCTACAGTGTGGATGCGGCAGTGGGATTGGTTGAGACGCCTCTTGCTGGGTGACTGGTCAGGCAGTGGCTCATCACTGTCCCTGCCCGTCGTCCAACCAGTCAAGTCGGGTGCCGTCCAGTCCAGTTGGTGCGGTGCCACCCTCCACCCCCCCGGTCGCCTTGCCTTGTCTTTGGCCCGGGCCACCTCATGTATTGTGCAGTCCAGAGCCCCTTCCTCAATTTCCATCCATCACCTTTTCGTCTCATAACTTCTCAACTTCCAAACCCTCGCACTACCTTTTGCAAATCGTCCAACAACCGCCTCGGTTTACCATTCTTCACACTCTCTTCCCCTGCTCTGAACCAACTCGATTCTTGACACGGGATCCAATCCATTGTCACTCATCCATCGTTCCACCAGAACATCCCCGCCGACCTCAAAACATCGCACCAAAAGGTACGTGGTCCCCTCCCCCCATCAACCCCCCGTGCCCCCTCTGTCGTCATCGCATCCCTCGCCGCAGTCTCCTTCCACCGATCCTCAACAGCCGACTGCGGCCCATCTACGCCGGCCGCCTGACGACGATGCCCTTTGTGCATCGTCCTGTACTCGATTGATTGCCTCACCGACTCTGCGCGCCCTATCTTGGCTGGTGAGGCGCAAAACCCCACTAGGAGCGGGGAGCCTCAAGCAAGTGATGAAGTCAGCGAGGCGCATACGCCGCGACTAGTCCTCTCACCTCCGAATTCACCAGCCTGCTCTCGCGATATCAATATACGTCTTTTCTCTTCGTTTTCTCAAAATACACATTCACCAGTCACCCGGAGCGCAATTATGGCCTCCCCTTTTTGCTACACTTGCTAATCAACCATCGCCTTCCAGATAACCAACCGTCACAATGGGTCACGAAGATGCTGTGTACTTGGCCAAGCTTGCTGAGCAGGCCGAGCGCTACGAGGGTACGTGGTAATCGCCGCTCGAGACCGATGGATACAAACTGATGATTGGACTTGCAGAGATGGTTGAGAACATGAAGATCGTCGCTTCTGAGGACCGTGACTTGACCGTTGAGGAGCGCAACCTCCTCTCTGTTGCCTACAAGAACGTCATCGGTGCCCGCCGTGCTTCGTGGAGAATCGTCACCTCCATCGAGCAGAAGGAGGAATCCAAGGGCAACTCTTCCCAGGTTGGCCTCATCAAGGAGTATCGCCAGAAGATCGAGGCCGAGCTCGCCAAGATCTGCGACGACATCCTTGATGTCCTTGACGCCCACCTCATCCCCTCCGCCAAGTCTGGCGAGTCCAAGGTCTTCTACCACAAGATGTAAGTATCACTGTGGCCGTTGGAAAGCCATATCATGACTGACCCCCTGAACAGGAAGGGTGACTACCACCGCTACCTCGCCGAGTTCGCCGTTGGCGACCGCCGCAAGGACTCCGCCGACAAGTCCCTCGAGGCGTACAAGGCTGCCACCGAGGTTGCCCAGACCGAGCTCCCCCCTACCCACCCCATCCGCCTCGGTCTTGCCCTCAACTTCTCCGTCTTCTACTACGAGATTCTCAACGCCCCCGACCAGGCTTGCCACCTTGCCAAGCAGGCTTTCGATGATGCTATTGCCGGTTCGTACCCTTATCACTGCTTAAGGCCTGTACACTCGACTGACAATTGGCCTACACAGAGCTTGACACCCTTAGCGAGGAGTCTTACAAGGATTCTACCCTCATCATGCAGCTTCTCCGTGACAACCTGGTAAGACTTGATTTCGGCCAATATCAAGGTTATATCGCTAACCATATATCCAGACCCTCTGGACCTCTTCCGAGGCCGAGCCCGCGGCGTCAGGCACTGCTGAAGCACCTGCCAAGGAGGAGGGTACCACCGCCGAGGCGCCGGCCGCCAGCACCTCTGAGGAGCCCAAGGCTGAGTAAGGGGTTTGATGGTCTCGTAGCATTCTGCTGTTCCTTGCCGGATTTGGGTGGTCTGGTGTCTACGGAGTGTGGACTGGAGATTTCGTTTTTGCGAATCGGCATCGTTTAGGCAATACACACAAGAGTTGTGAAGGGGTTGATCTTTCCTAGCACGGGACTGGCTGAGGGCTAAAGAAAGAGCATTTTGGAGGTCGATTGCACCCACGTTTGCTTTTTTAGACTCTAATGCAAGACCGTCTGGACAACAACAAAAAAAGACTAAAATTGCTTTCAAAGAAGCACATCCGGTAAACAATATTGAGCGGTTTCCGTGTGACGTTGATGCGTGGCAGTAGAGTTATACTTTCCTTGGAAGAGCATAAAAATCGGTCAGGGACGGCAGTCATTGCAAGACCGGTTTCCCTCATGTGTAGTGTTGAGACAAAACCACGGCCATCACTGAGATAGATCGAGAAAGCAATATGCCGTGGACATAAGAAAAGGCCAAAAGTCAGATATAAGGGAATGCAATACAGAAGGAGGAGGTGGAAAACGAAGACAGAAACGGCAGATACAGGATCGATATGAAATATGGGAATTATGCCGATAACTTGGTCAAGCCCGGTTATGCCGCAAGTGGCGGCCCATCGCCCAATACTGTAATTACGAATCGATAGGACACCCTGATACAATCTTTGGTTCTTGTACCTCCTTTACAATTGGGAAAAACCTTCACTGGAGCCGAAAAGATCAAAAATAGATGAATTGGTGAAGTATTCCTCTTTTCGTTTTCATAACCTTCATGAATCGTCCAAGACTATGGCGAAGTGGACCTTCATCCAGAGACTGCAGTCCTGACAGCCCACAAGAAGCTCGCCGTTCTCGCCAGCCTCCTCCAGGTCCGCCTCCGTGAACAGGAATCCCCGTGGGTTTCCACAGCGGCAGCTGCGGTACCAGCAATCGGCGTCCGGACCGCCGCTCTCGTCAAATTCAAGGTCGTCGAGGTCGACGTTCTCTACGCCGGTCTGGAAGGTCTGCTCGCCGCGCTTGGGACCTTGGTTGTTGGGCGCGAGGTCGAGGGACCTATCGTAATCTGCTCTTGACCTTGGGTCCGAGAGGACCTTGTAGGCCGTAGAAATTTGGTCGATTGTAAAGGCGGTGTTGCCAGCGTGGGATGTTACCGATGTGGTGTTCAGTGTCTGGACTTTCTTATATTTGTCAGGGTGGTTTTGGAGGAGGGCGCGGTGATAGGCCCGTTTGATGATCTGCTGAGGCTCCGCCGCCTGTTCCTGTAGGAGTTTGCGAGTGATGCCCAGAATCATGTAGTATGTGTGACGTTCACCGGGGTCCATCGATGAAGGGCTCATGGTGAGCGAGGAGAGTGGCGCAGCGGACAGGACGCCCTCCCAAGTTGAGTTGAGCACTGTCGTGGGTTTGTAAGTGAAAATTTGTGGCGAATTGGAGGCCGAGAAGCTTGGTTCTGAGAGATCACGTGAGTGGTTCGAGAATATCAAAAAGGTTGACTTTTGTTGCAGGGAAATTGAGGCAGCGGCCCGTGGAACTACTTTCACAGATAGATCGGTACTGAAGACACTCGTCCAGAGTTATCCATGAATTGTAGCGGCCTTGGATGGGTAGCATGCCACTCGGCCTCTGAAGGGAAGAGGGGCGGTCTGGACATTAAAGAAGGATCGCATGGTGTTGCAAGTTGTTGAATTCGTTTCTTGTACATGATAATACATGGTATATGTACACCGTCTATGGTATTCGACGCATCGTAAGTGAAGAAAGAGCCAAGTATGTCGCTTATTTGGGGAACCTTGTCCAGTTTCGCTTTCCAACCTGATGCGTGATGTCAGTAAGAGGTCGTCAAAGGGTCGTTCAAGACTCATCGAAAGTAACTTACCTTCTTCCACTCCTTGATCAACTTCGGCATCGCCAGCATAGCCTCTCTCCTCTTCTCCATTCTGTACCGCACAGTCAGTATCCATTCCTCGACACGAGACTCGAGCCCCAGCGAATCGTCGGCCAGACACGAGACACACATACCTTGGCTGCACCATTCTCTCGTGAATCTTTCCCTTGACCTTTTGTCCTACACCAGTACCCTTGACTCGGAGACCGTGTTCGACGCGGCGGGCGATCCTGTACTCGGTGCCCTTAACGGTCGGAGGAAGCAACTCCTCGACGCCGTGCTGGCGGGCAAGCTTGACAATCTCTGCCTGGCGGCGCAGCGAGTAGACGGGATCATGCCACTTGCCCGTGGCAGGATGCTTCTGCGGCGAGAAGGGGTTCGGCGTAATCTCCTGAAAGCCCGTCTTTGGGACCGTCACGCCGGCGGGCAGGATCGAGGCGGGTGGCCAGCGGGCGAAGAAGCGCTGGAGCTGCTGAGGCAAGGCCTTGGCCAGCTGGATGTATTGTTCTGCGGCGGCCATTGTCGAGGGGTGCGCGTGGTAGAGCAGCGTTTTACTATGTCCTCTGGTGTGAGCGCTGGGGCATTGCCGTTTCGTCGAGGAAATGAAGGGATTCGGAGGGTCGGTCGACTGAAATGCAAGCTCTCTTCTTCGCCGTTCGGGATGCTCGATCAATTGCTGCAGCACAAATTTGGGAGCCCAGCCTTGACCCACCCCTGCACGTCCCTGACATGGGGTTTAGCTTAAGGCTAGAGGCAAGATTTGCCGAATGTCATCGCATCTGATTGGATCGCATTCATGTGGCGGCCTCAAATGTGGCGCAAATCGCAGCCTTCTCGGCCTCTCCACGACGCATTACAAAATCAGTCTAGACCTTTCGATGTTCTAAAATCTACGAATCAAACATCCGAAGCTCAATACCTTGGGAGAACATATCCATTATTCTTTTCATCAAGGCTCTGAAAGAGAGGGTTGCGCGCAGCTTCAAGGTTCAACATCCATCTGGTGCTGGTACATACCCATCGCCGTACCTAACGCTGGTCATCTCCCGCCCAAGATCTTCCTCGACCAAACCCACCGGTTTTTGTTGGTGTCGCATCACGGGTCAGCCAATATGAGTACCAACCAGACAAGAAAGACACCTCTCGACCTCGAAGAGATACTCAAGAAGAAGAAGGCTGCCGACGCCGCTGCATCGAAGCTACGATTTATACCAAAGAAGGAGAGGGAACGTCAGGCAGCAGAGAAGGCGAAACAGGAGGAGGAAGAGCGCAAGCGCAAAGCGGAAGAGGACGCGAGGAAGAAGGCCGAAATCGAGAGGAAATGGGTCTCTGAGGCGAACGGCAGCGCCGTCAACGGAGCACAGAATGGAGCCGGCGGCAGGATACCAACGGGCCCGAAGGCCATGCACAGCACGGAGGGCGGCCGAGGCCCTGGCGGCCGAGGGCGTGATAAGCAAGAACAGCGGAAGGCGTCGACAAAGGACGGCAAGGAGAAGAAGTCTGCCGAGGCGATCGAGGCCGAACTGTTGCGCAACCGATACCTGGGCCCCGAGGTCAACAAGCAATCGAACTTCTCGGTGAAGAAGAAGCGAAAGAGGGCGACAGAGTTCAAGTTCGAGTGGGACGCCGAAGAGGACACCACGCTTGATGATCCTATCTACGAATCAAACAGCACGACCCTGAAATCATACACATTCGGCAGCTTGTCCGGCGAGTACAACGAGGAGGCGGAAGAGATTGCTCGTCGACGGGCACGGATGATTGAAGAAAGAGACCGCGAGTTCGGGAAACAGCGCGCAAAGGAGTTCATGGAAGATTTCTACAGGGCACGAGAGAGGGCGAAGGAGCGCGCTGACAGGTCGGGCCTCGGCAAGCACTGGACAAAGAAGGCTCTCTCAGAGATGCGGGAACGCGACTGGAGAATCTTCAAGGAGGACTTTGGCATCGCTACCAAGGGCGGCCAAATTCCCAACCCAATGCGCAGCTGGGAAGAGTCAGGCTTGCCGCGACAGCTGTTGAACATTGTGGACAGGGTTGGCTACAAAGACCCTTCGCCTATTCAAAGAGCAGCTATCCCGATTGCGCTGCAGGCCAGAGACCTCATCGGTGTGGCCGTCACAGGTTCCGGTAAGACGGCAGCGTTTCTGCTGCCGTTGCTGACCTATATCCAAGACCTGCCGCCCCTGACGGAGATCAACAAGAACGACGGAGCGTACGCCCTCATTTTAGCACCGACGCGTGAATTGGTACAGCAAATCGAAACGGAAGCCCACAAGTTCGCCGACCCCCTGGGCTTCAATGTCGTCAGTATTGTGGGCGGTCACTCTTTGGAGGAGCAGGTGCATGCGTTGTCTCGTGGTGCCGAGATCATCGTCGCCACCCCGGGTCGTCTGGTGGACTGCATTGAGAGACGGCTTCTCGTCCTGTCACAGTGCTGCTACGTCATCATGGACGAAGCCGATCGAATGATCGATCTCGGTTTCGAGGAGTCAGTGAATAAGATTCTCGACGCGCTGCCCGTATCGAACGAGAAGCCAGACACAGATGATGCGGAAAACGCTCAACTGATGCAGAAATACCTCGGCGCCACGGACAGATACAGGCAGACAATGATGTACACGGCCACGATGCCTCCGACAGTCGAAAAGATTGCTAGGAAATACCTCCGGCGTCCCGCCATCGTCACGATTGGCAACGCCGGCGAGGCGGTCGAGACGGTTGAGCAAAGGGTCGAATTCGTTTCGGGCGAGGACAAGAAGAAGAAACGGCTGCAGGAGATCCTTGGCGCGGGAGACTTTGCCCCGCCCATCATCGTGTTCGTCAACATCAAGCGCAATTGCGATGCCGTCGCACGCGACGTCCAGAGAATGGGTTACTCGGCGGTCACGCTCCACGGAAGCAAGACGCAAGAGCAGAGAGAGGCGGCATTGGCCTCAGTGCGCAACGGGCAGACGCAGGTTCTTGTGGCGACGGACCTGGCAGGAAGAGGTATCGACGTGCCGGATGTCAGTCTCGTCATCAACTTCAACATGGCGACCAATATCGAAAGCTACACGCATCGCATCGGTCGTACTGGTCGCGCGGGCAAGAGCGGTGTGGCAATCACGTTCCTGGAACAGAGCGACTCGGACCTGTTCTACGACCTCAAGCAGATGCTTTCCAAGAGCGCCATCTCTCGGGTGCCCGAGGAGCTTCGTCGGCACGAGGCCGCGCAACAGAAGCCGCAGCGAGGAGGAGGCGGCGGTGGCGGCGGCGGCAAGAGGGCAGGGGGTGCAGAAGAGGCGACAGGCAAGGGGGCACAGTGGGGTGCCTAATGTAGTGTAGCGCTATGGATGACGGTAGCATGGCGGGTGGATGAAGGATGGAAGGGCTCGCTAGTAACCATCAGATAGAGACGGAAAACTGGGATATTCTGCGGGCTCTGCCAATTCGAAAGATTATCTTGATAATCTGATCAGATAAAAAATTATATCTGAGCGACTATCGTCGGCACATCCGGTCTTGGCGTCTCCATGCACTCTTGCCTTGTCCCTTTCTTCTTCAACACCCACCCCTTTTTTTTTAAACACTTATTCATGGAAGCTCAGGGTATGCGTTTTGAAATACCGGCCGTTTCCTGGCAGCTTGGCAATCCAATTATCTCTTATAAAACAAAAGCTTGTATTTCATTGTTAAGTCGGTTTCCGCTGACACACCTACATTACTGATGGCTGGGCGTCTGTGTCGGAGATGGCGGGGAACCACCGCCCTGAGTGTTCGGGTGGCCTCCGACCCTCGTCTCAGAAGCCAATGCCTAGCTCCCCGCGAATCAAGCCTAGGTAACCCCACCCTCCAGCAGAATGGCGACGGCCGCCAACTCCCATCTTGGTCTGATGTCAAGGACCCGGGATGTTCTGGGCTTGCCAAGCGGCCTTTGGTACCTGACGCAGGACGGAATGAGTACCTAAGAAAATGGAGGGAGGGAAGAGAAAAATCCCATGTTTACGCAGGGTTTTCGCAACCCAATGCTGGCCTTGCTACGCCCAATCCCCACCGGCCTTTTGGTAGGTACTAAGTGCTACAGAGCACAGAGTACGGATCCAGAGGTAATTACCGCATTGGTGTTCCGTCCTGCGCCCGCACCTTCACCGATTCTTTCACATGGGCAGGACGTCGAAATATAAACCCCCAACCCAACCGCCAGTTATAAGTCTTTGGGCTGGCGGAATAGGACTGCTCGACAGCACCCATCCCTCGTCCCTCTCTCTCTCTATCTTTTTACACCTCGATTTTACTGCATCCTCCTCGAGGACACCTCTCTCCCTCCAGTGCGCTGGGGTTTGTTTTCTTCTTGACTCTGCGGGGGAAAAAACCGCTTGCTTTGAGGATCAACAGAATTGATAACAAGAGTTGCTAGCCCGTTGTAGTGCCTTCGAACCGAACTCTCTAAACCCTTCCTGGTATCGGTGGATCTTTTTTCGTGGAACCGAAAAAAGAGAAGAAAAAAAAAGTCTGGGCTACCAGCTGCGCTTGCTGGGTGACACGCCGTGACGCTTCGCTGCCTTTTTCGCTTTTGCCCCGCGGTGCAACTGTTCCCCCCCGTCTTGTCACCGCATGGTCATCCCACCTCCCTGATTCAACGCAACAACAAGGGGGAGCAGTGAAGGACAGTGCTGAATAGACTTCCTGTTCAACCGACGTCCTACACTTGCTCCTTTCTGGCAATTCGTCTTGCTCGTCGTCCTTGATCTGGTTCGAGTCTGCCCGAGCACGCTTCCAAAGCTGCGCGATATCCTCCCGTGATACGGACGGTACTCCACGAGCGAGAGACGACAAGCGAGCGAACCACGTTCCTCCCTCCCCCTCTCCTCTTCTTCACCGACCTTTGAGGCATAAGCTGGGGGAGTGGCCTCGTGCCCCTACAAACGACGACCTCGAATCGCTCAGGCATCTACGTCTCGCCTATCTCACGGCCTGACTCGTCATCACGATGGACTCGGCAGCGGCAGCAATGGAGATCCCCCACCACGACGCACCCGTCTCTTTGAAGAAGAGCCGTACTGCGGCTCTGGAGGCAATGGAGGACATTGTCTACGGATCTGTATGTTGCGCGCAATTTCTCAAAGGAAGCTAGAGCCCCTCGCTAACGATGCATTCCTTCGCCCACCAGGTCGCCGGCGTCGTCGGAAAATACATCGAGTACCCCTTCGACACAGTCAAGGTCCGCCTGCAGTCCCAACCCGACAACCAGCCCCTCCGCTACAAGGGGCCGCTTGACTGCTTCCGCCAGTCCCTCAAGACCGAGGGCGTCCGCGGGCTCTACCGCGGCATTAGCGCGCCGCTCGTGGGTGCCGCCCTCGAGAACAGCAGTCTGTTCTTCTTCGAACGCATCGGCCGCGCCGCTGTATACTCCTCCGGCTGGACGCCCCAGGGCCAGCAACTATCCCTCTCTGCGCTCTGGTTCACCGGTGCCTTCTCTGGCTTCTTTACGTCTTACGTCCTCACCCCCGTCGAGCTCGTCAAGTGCAAGATCCAAGCCCCCCCGCAGGTCGGCAGCGTGGCGGCACCGCAGTTGCGCCCACTGCCCGTCATCCGTGACATCTACCGTCACTACGGCATCCTGGGCTTCTGGCATGGGCAGATGGGTACCCTCATCCGCGAGTCGGGCGGCTGCGCGGCGTGGTTCGGCAGCAAGGAGACGGTGACAAAGATGTTCCACATCATTAATGGGCGGGCGGTGAAGACGCAGGCCGAGAGGGACGTGTTGGCCTCGAATCCGTTGCCGCTGTGGCAGCAGGCGCTGGCCGGCGCCTCAGGCGGCGTGTCGTACAACTTCCTCTTCTTCCCCGCCGACACGATCAAGTCGCGCATGCAGACGGCGGCCGTCGGCGACGCGGCGCGCGGGAGGACGTTCTGGCAGGAGGGCGCGGTGCTGTGGCGGCAGCATGGGCTCAAGGGGCTGTATCGGGGGTGCGGCATCACCTGTCTGCGCTCGGCGCCCAGCTCGGCCTTCATTTTCATTGTTTTTGACGGTCTCAAGCGACACTTTCCCTTGCAGTAGAATTCCTTTCTTCTTCCTCTTATATCCTAGACTCGGGATGGTCGGTGATCGCGGTAGTTGCAGTGGTAAAAAGGTTGGATGGGCTTTTCGATTTTGGGATGGCACAGCATTTAGAGGCGCAACAGGACAGCTTTGGCTCGTTTGTACTTGCATCTACATACTTGGGTAACGTGGCCTGGATAGACGGGTGGTGATCATGAAGAGTTGGGAGGATATGCAAGCGTGGATTTTCTTGGTATTCTTGACATGGCCTTGGGCCACTTTAGTCCACAGGTTCATACGACTTTGGTGGCGTTCCCTGAGAGCTTTCGTAGCCCGAGCTACGAGATATAAATCGAAGGCGGTCTCGTTACGGCTTGCCGTCCTGGTATCCGCATTACCGACGACCCAGCTTGTTGATTTACAAGGAACGGTGATTAGAGAAAGTGTCCAACTACCGGTTCATCGAGGATGCTTGACTCAGGGATGTTTTCTACGCCTCTCAGGCAGGGCAGGCACATAACGGAACACTCAAAAGGTCTAGCATCTCCGACGAAAGTTGGCTTACCTTGGCTGGCGTAGTACATTGAAGCGGACATCGTACTGGTGGTAAACTCTCGAAACGACCTGGGCCATAGTGCAAGCGCCTGCTGCGCGCGAGGATCCTCGACCCAGGACTGGCGTCTCCTACAGATGGTGAATGCCAAGAGACAAGAGTCTTCTCTTGGAACACCCAGATGTAAGCGGGCTGACTCGTCGCGTGGGACGGGACCACGAGGGTTCCCCGTCGCTGGCCCATGACAGGATTCCGCGTGTCTGCGCTACAGATGATTTTGGCCCAGGAAAACAAGCGAGGTCTCTTATGAAGAGAAATTTAAATCCTACCGCAATATAGGCATGACGAAGTCGCAGACAGGAACTCCTTGTTAGCAGTCACCCATTGTACTTGATAAGTCGGGATGTCTACTTCTTCAACTCCACAATCTCGCGGCGAACATATTCAGGTTCGTGTTTAACGAGGGTGTTTCTGAAGGGCCGGGTAACTTGGCTACCCATCTCTCATGGTGTATTCGCTAAGACCGAGATCAAGACAATCACGGCGATGAATGATGAAGACGTTCGGAGGGGAGGGACGATGGAAGAGACGACAGGGGTAGACAATGGAATTGACACGTGTCGTTTATGCTGGGCGCAAGGGATGTTGGCTGGAAACTTTTTGAACGTCTCTCGATCTCGAGTAGCAGAGAAGCTATCCGGCAAACTCTTCAACTAACTTGTTGACGGATATCAACTCACTACAATCTTCACCGAGCGTAAACTAAATCCGTCCAGCTCCTGCGAGCGGGTACGATCATCGTCGCCCAAGAATCAAAATAGAGGATAAATGACATTTCGGAATGCTAAACCAAGAAACATGCTCCCACCAGCCGTAAACGCCGTTCCCAAGCTTACAACGCAACTACCTCCTATTTCTTTGTCTCTTTCGGGCCCATAACGTCAAGGCAGCTGCGACACTACTGTTTCTTGTCCGCGGCGGCGGCAGCGCGCTCCTCAGCACCCTTGATGTCCCAGTCGTTCAGGTACCCCGCCCCCGCGCACAGGTAGGTCGCGAAGGAGAGCCAGCCGAGGTAGGGAACGAGGCAGGCGCCGGCGACGGCATCGACGGAGCCCCAGAGGTAGGTCAGGTAGGTGTTGACACAGAGGAGAGCAGCGATGTCAACGGTGGCCTCGATAGGGCGCTTGAGACCGAAGAAAAGGGGCATCCAAATAAGATTGAGACCCAGCTGGATGGTGTAGAGGGTCGCGCCCTGCTTGGTCATCTTGATGTGCTCGATGGAGGAGAACGGGGATAGGCCGGTGTGGGTGGCACGGTGGGCAGCGTAGCCCATCAGACTGTAGTGTAACATGTTAGTTTGTGGCGTGCTCGTCGAAGGGAAGAGCGACAGGTGTGCGGGGTGGCTTTACCCATAGAGGAGGGTCCAAGCCGGACCAAAAACCCATGGGGGAGGGCGGTAGGGCGGGTTCTTGATCGCGCCATAGGTCTTTTGCGTGGCTTTGGCTGTTGGTTGTGTCAGTGACTGCGGCTATACCCAAGAGGGTTTCCGAGGTTTCTTGAAGCACGTACGTCGCGTAGAATAGCCGACGGCGGTTCCCAAAGCTATGGGGAGCAGGATCGAGGCGGCGGCGTTCTCGAAGACCTGGTGGGGCAAGGTCAAGGCAGGAATGAAGGTTGTCATGTTGCCGAAGTTGGTCAGTGTCGGTCTTAGGTGTAATGCTGTATACTGACTGTGAATTGGATGTCAGAGCGAGGTTCGCCAATTTCTTAAATGCGGTTGGTTCTAAGGTAAAATGTCAGTCCATCTGGATCACGCGATGAGATGAGCCTCGGGGCGGGTCCCAGTCCGAAGTGCGAGGGATCTATCCTTTTACAGGACTATGACGCAATGCATTGGGTTGCCCTCGCGAACAACCAATTTTCATTGCGACGGTGTTTTTAAAAGCAAAATTGGAACGTGACATAGAAGCCGTGACTTAACTTACTATCCTTATTTTCTTTCCAGTGGCCCCGGAATCGATTAGGTCCAAGGAGTGAAATTTACAGAAAGGTCACGTTGTCGGTATTTCAAGTTATGGGGTCAGCGTTGCCTCAATTGGATGTGTTCCTGCCGTTGCAGGGGTGAAGCTTCGGGGATCGCTGGGGATCGATCGGCCGCCGTTTGCTGCAGCTCCAGCATTTGATTCAGCTCAGTTGATCCGCCGGCTGCAGCCAACTGTGCATTCGATTGAGACAGGGTTTGCTGGAATTGCTAGGGAAGGAAGGTACAGCAGACGGTCTTCGTCATCTTCTGCAGCTACGCTAAATAGGCCTTACGACTATTGTGCCTTCTTTCGTTACTGCACCGCGATACAGCTTACGAGAAAGAACAAGAAAAAGCCCTTCAAAGGCCAATTGATCCAAAACAACTCTAATCAGGAGCCAACCACCACAGCAACAAAGCTTCCAAACTCCTATTGCTTTATGCGAAGCATATATGCACCTAAGAGTGCCGACACTGCCGCCGAAGATCATCCGGAACGATACTAAGCCCGTTTCGGTCTTCAGTGGACCCTCTCCAGCCGCTTCTTTGTTCCACGTCCTGGCGTCTCTGTCTCGTCGCCCTTCGAGTACCTAAGTCTACCGTCGGTCATCTTTGCTTCGTGCATCCCAAAGTCCTCCTCAGCTTTGGATCACGACAACCTACCGCGTCTCATCGTCGAGGCATTCGCTCTCGCAACCGAAATAGTTCGTTTCCCCCTTTCTTCCTGCATCATCTTTACTTGCCACAGCCCTATTGCTCCCTACCTCACCTCGATTCAATTCAGAAAATCCCCCATTATTGCCTGTCTACCCTCCCCCCGACAAGCCATTCTTACTCTCCCGCCTGACTCCCTGTTCAACTCCTCCCCCCGTTTGTCAATCATTTTCGGCAGGACCTTATTTGGCGCCATATTATTTCTTCTCTCGTTTGCGCCGTCATCATTGCGGTGACGAGCCGGTTTTCAATCATCTTTGCTCTCTGGCAATTGCACCGCTTTTACTACTGCCACCCTCTCAAATTCTCAATTCTTTCTCTCTTCTCTCGTTTCCCTCAGAAGCCGTCCAGCATTCCACCTGCAGAATTATTTCTAACCGCAATCATGTTGCCAAATAACAGGCTTCCTCCTTTTCTCCTTCCGATCGAGCAAGCAGACAAAGTCACATGAGCAGCAGGCACGCAGCTACCCGACGCGCACGCGATATTTAATCAGGTCGTACGGTCATTTAAACTGAGAAAAGAGGACAGACGCATACCAGAATCGCTTTGTCGCGACGGACGCATCATGGATTCGTACTCTTCGCACCGAGACTCCTCCGCGCGCTCGCCGGACGACAGGACGTGGAGCAGTCGCGACGACCCACGAATCAAAGAAGAGCGGGCTGATACCTTCTATCGTGGTAGATCTCCTGGTGCGTACAATCTTTCACCCACTCGCTTACTTCAATTGGCTTTCTGGGCGACATCCTCGACGCTGAGGCTAGTTGCTGCATACAGTCGATAGCTGCTTACTTACGAACTCTTACAGCCCACGAGCGCCAACACCGTGACAGACGTCGCTCTCGATCCCCGGCCGCTATCGACCGTTATGAACCGAGAGGGCGCGGTCGCGATGACTACGCCGGTGGTCGGGATCGCGATGATCGCCGAGAGCGGAGAATTACGTCGCCGCCGGCTAACATCGATCGCTACATCCCCGGGCAAGACAGCAGCGCCCCTGCGCCGTTAACCGTCAATCCGCTTGCGGATCCGGTTAAGCTCCCTTACCAGGTCGGATTCTCATACTTTGGAGAATGGTGGAGAATGAATGAGAAGATCAAGGAGGAGAAGGAGCGTCAACGCACCGGTCGCCGTCGCGAGCCCGAGCGCGTTCGCGGCCCTCGCGAGGTTCAGGAAGAGCGCGAGAAGGAGAAGGCCAAGATTCAGCTCGCGTATGACGCCTACAAGGAAGAACTCCAAGGAAAGATGGCTCGCACTTTTGTCAGCGAGCACAAGAAGGAGCAGTGGTTTCGCGAACGTTATGTGCCTGAGATCCGCGATGCTTTCAGAGCCCAACTTAATGAGTTCCGCAGAGGCGCTTATAGCCAATGGGAGCAAGATCTCGAGTCCGGAACGTTTGACGACTTCTCCCTTGAAGGTATCCCCAAGAGCGAGACGAACGGCCTCGGCGGTCTCATAGAGAAGGAGGAGGGTGAAGCAACCGCCGCCAATGAGATCCTCGGCGTTGGCGACCTTGTGCCGGCGAACGGCGCTGACATCAGAGACGAGAACCTGTACCAGCCAACCCTCCTCATCAAGACCATTGCCCCTCACGTTAGCAGGCAAAACTTGGAGACATTCTGCAAAGAACATCTCGGCGAAGAAGAGGGTGGCTTCAAGTGGCTTTCCCTTTCGGATCCCAACCCCAGCAAACGGTATCACCGTATTGGTTGGGTCATGCTTCATCCTTCATCAGAGGTTGCCCCTGCTGTCGTCGACCGTGTGGATCCCAAGGATGAAGACGGCGATCTGCCCTTGAAGTCGCCAGCCGTTGTTTCAACTGCCGAGAAGGCACTCGATGCTGTCAATGGCAAGACTGTGAAGGATGAAGTCAGAGGTGACTTTGTCTGTCACGTCGGTGTGCACAACCCTCCCAGCCACCCTCGAAAGAAGGCTTTGTGGGATCTCTTCTCCGCGCCTGAGCGTGTTGAGAAGGACCTGAACCTCGTTCAGCGCCTTGTCAACAAGTTTGAGGAAGACTTTGGCTCCGACTTCAATGCCGTACTGAAAATTGAGGAGAGAGTCGATGATCTTAAGAATGCTGGTCGTCTCCAACCTGTCGCCGGCGCAACCAATAAGAAGCCCAAGAAGGAGCGTGATCTCGACGTCGATGACGGCATGGACGACGGAGAAGACGGCGCCATCGACGAGGACGAGGACGAGGGTGCTTTGGAGGAGGAGGATACCGACGACGAAGAGCTGCTCGTGAAGAAGAAGCAGCTGGATCTGATGATTGAGTATCTCAGGCGCGTTTACAATTTCTGCTTCTTCTGCGTCTTCGAGAGCGACTCAGTCCACGAGCTTACTCGCAAGTGCCCTGGTGGTCATTTGCGTCGCCCGAGAAGCACTCTCAGCACCGCTGCCAAGGCCGTTGCGCGCGCTAGCGCCAACGGGGAGCCATTCCCCGGAAAGAAGCGCAGCGAGATCGAGGAAGAGGGTGAAGCAACCGAGAACGACAAGAAATTCCGTGGTACCAATGGCAAAGCAGAACAGCAGCTTCTGCGTGCCTACAACTGGGTCAAAACCTTTGAGGATAAGATCATGCAGATCCTTGAGCCTGAGACGGCGGATCTGCGTAAACTCGGAGGCCGGCCGGTCGAGGACGCTGTTAGTGAGGAGCTTCTCAAGTTTGTCAAGCAGGAAGACGAGCACAAGTGGAGGTGCAAGGTGCCCGAGTGTACCAAGTTGTTCAAGGAGGAGCACTTCTGGCGCAAGCATGTTGAGAAGCGCCATAACGATTGGCTCGAGGGCATTGAGCAAGAGGTCAGTCACATTTTTAATACTTGTGCAGGATATGGCTAACCCATCCCGCAGTTCCACCTCATCAATGCCTATGTCATGGATCCATCCCACATCGCACCGTCGCGAACGGATGCCAACTCCAACGGCCACTTCCCTCCAGCGAATGGCCAGTCTGCGACTGGAACTCCCCGTGGCTTCAATTTGCAGAACTTCACCATGAACGGGATGATGCCTATCCCGGGCTTCCCCATGCCGCCAGGCGGTTTCCCGCCGTTCGTTGGCAGCGGTCACCCTGGCGTTCAGCCTGGATGGAACGCCGGCGGCGATGACCGTGGTGGTCCTGGCCCAATCCGCCGTGGAGGCATGGGTGGTGGCCGTGGTGCCTATCGTACTGGGCCCTATGACCGACGTCCAAACCCCCGTTGGGACGGTGGTATGGGCGGAAGAGGTCGCGGCGGCGCTGGGAAATGGGGAGACGGCGCTGCTGCAGGTGGAGCCGCCGTCGGTCCCCGCGAGGCTACTCAGGGACGCAGTCTCAAGAGTTACGAGGATCTCGACCATGTTGCTGGTGGCGGCGGTGGTGAGCTGAATTACTAGGGCAATTACTCACATCGTTTGGAACGCCTAAAATTGGAGGCCAGGAAGACATTGGGAAAATAGTTCTATGGGTTACCTAGTAGCATTAGACGACGAGCGGCTGGAGCAGGGGCACAGATTGTTGCGCCCTGATCTTCTTGCCTTTTATTCTTGCAACAGGCGTTGCACTCTCATTGGGCATATTGGGTTGTACTTTGTAACATAACAGAAAATCCGGGGCTAGCTTGGGACTGCGAAATCGGATGGTCTTATCTTATTTATATTTATATAAGGTTGTTTGTTAGCTTGTGTTGGTTGCTGTTGATTCTCCTGAGGCTGACCCCACCGGGCATTAGTCTCGTGATGGGTTTCCGGACAAGACCACTATGCTCACCTCTGCCGTAAATGACTTATCTGTTTCCCCGGCTTGTAGCACAAGGCATTGATTGCAGTTTATGGCTGTTGAACTTGATCCTCGAGGATGGAGTGGATGGATTGCAAATGGCCACCAAAAATGGGACAACACAAAGACATGCAACACCGGACATTCGCCGGTCGTTACTGACCCGACTCCTACTCTGGGCCTCACTGGCATTATCTGGATGGAGCGAAGAGAACCTCTTTCATGATGATTGATTGATTGTACCCTAAGTACTTGGACACGGCGCGAAATAAAGCGACCAAGTAGAGCATTATTTATATAATCAGTTAAACGAGGATTATCGCGACTGTATATGTACTTCAACATCTGGAGGGCTGTGTCAAGTACTAATTCGAAAGTCTTTTTTACAGCCAAAAACAACCCAATCAGAAGGTAAAATTATCAGCCAGGAAGATCACCGGTCAAAAATCAGAAATTCGTATATATATATCTTTTTTGTTATAACAAAACTTTTAACCTAGTATTGTAGTCAGTAGGTAATTAACCAGTCCGCATTTTATCGATAATATGATTCCGACATATGACACTCTTCGGTGCAGGAACAAGAAACATGATTATAGTAAACTGCAACTGGACTTACGATGCCTCGTACCGATGTGTTACAAACATTGTCTGATCCCCGGCTTTCATGAAGGAATCAGAAGGGCACACAATGCATCCCGTCCAACTTGTACATGATCGATCGTGGTAGACTCCTTGTTCGTCACCAATACTTGCAAGTCTGCCGTTTAAGCCTTCAAAAGAAGCACTTGCTAATATGAAAACCGACCGACACTGCGAACAAAATCCCATACAAAGTCAATGGACGAAAGCTTATCTTGGCTGATATCCCACGTGATAATACGACGCGACCGACCGCAAGTCTGGAATCTTGAAAATGTGGACATACGTCAGGGGGCCCTCAGGGTGCCGTGGTACCAATGCCAATGTCAATCCCTCCCAAACCCACGCTCCACTTTCAGGAGTTAGCTCGTCCACCCGAAATTGTCCTCGCGGCCAGGCCTACCCTTCCTTAGCTTCCCAAGCTACGCCGAACAAGCAGCACGAGTCTCGAACCACCACTCACATACCAGAACCGACCCGTCACTCTTTTTTACCTCTTCCCTCCCCAGTCCTTGGTGTAGCAGTACCGTCGTCACTTTGCATTGACGCCTGTCCAGCCACTTGCCCGCACTATCTACCGCCGCCATGCATTCCGTCGCACCCCGTCTGCTCTCCAGAGCTTCTGCTTCTTCTTCTTCTATTCGTTCTAATGTCTTGATCTCCTCGCGACCTTCTTTCCGTCTTCAGCAGCGATTCCCGGCGCGTCGCTTTTACTCCTCCGAGCCTCCTAAGAAGTCTTCCGGCATCAAGTTCTGGCCATTCCTCGTCGTCATTGGTGGTGGTAGTTTAGCCTACAAGTTTCTTGTCGACCAGAGAGCAGGTGAGCTATAATCCCAGTGCCTTCGTCTTTTCTCCCTGAACTGCAAACAAACATGCCACTCATTTGGAAGCTACCTATCCTGTCTAAAGCTGAAAGGAGCTTTAATGCCTTTGTGAGCCTCGACTAACACGTATCGCCACAGAAATGGCCGCTCTTCCCGCTCCCTCATCCAATGCCGCCCTCCCCTCCCCTCAAAAGTCCACGCCGACTTTCTCCCCCGACGACGTCACCGTCCTCTTCGTCCTTGGCGGCCCCGGCGCCGGCAAGGGCACCCAATGCGCCAAGCTGGTTTCCGACTACGGCTTCACTCACCTCTCCGCCGGTGACCTCCTCCGCGCTGAGCAGGACCGCCCCGGCTCGCAGTTCGGGCAGCTTATCAAGGATTATATCAAGGACGGTCTCATCGTGCCCATGGAAGTGACTGTTCAGCTCCTCGAGAACGCCATGACCGAGACCATCCAGAAGCAGGGCAACAAGCGCTTCCTCATTGACGGCTTCCCGCGTAAGATGGACCAGGCCATCAAGTTCGAGGAGACCGTCTGCCCTGCCAAATTCGTCCTCTTCTACGACTGCCCCGAGAGTGTCATGGAGAGCCGCCTGCTCGAACGTGGCAAGACGAGCGGCCGCACCGACGACAACGCCGAAAGCATCCGCAAGCGCTTCCGCACGTTTGTCGAGACCAGCATGCCCGTGGTGGACTACTTCGAGAAGCAAGGCCGCGTTGTCAAGCTCGATGCTACCCCCCCACCGCAGGATGTCTACGCCAAGACCCGCGCGGAACTTAACAAGCGTCTGGGTCTGTAGGTGAAAGTTCAAACATTTGCTTGGTGATTGCCGAGTAGAGCCTAGAGAAGAAATGGCGCCCACAGTTACCGGCTGATGTATATGCAAATCATCCCTCCCGTTTCACCCGCTCCTCAGAGAACATTTGGAAAGCCATGGTTCTGGCGTCTTGGAAACAACTTGGCATCTTCCGGGGGTATAGCATCCAGGAAAAGTATGAACGACATCTGGATCGGGTTAGAAGAAAACAACACAGCCCGGGTGCAAAACGGTGGACGATATTAGGGGTGTGTGACTCTGTGGTTTGCTACGTCGACTCTCGACAGAGAACCCCCTTGCGTGCGTGTGAAATTGGACATTTTGAGACTCCTTCTATTCTCCTTTGTCGTTGGCTATTGTATATCTAGAGAGAGAGAACGGTGTACGACTCGAGTTCTTGGGAAATGAAATCATAGAAATCAACACAACAAAACACCAAAGCATACTCTGGCTGACCACCACGCGTCCTCACCTGCCTGCTCTCCTTCTCTCTCCCCGTCTCATCATCCGGGGAACACAACCTCGTTTGTCACTTCAAGCAGGCCGGGCAAAGCTTGTAGCTCATCACCCTTGACTCTTCACCCTTCACAAACATACACGCGCGCACGCATTCGGAGGGGAGGCGCCCGTATCGTAATCTCTCGTTGCGCCGGATTTCATTTCAGGAGGGGGCTCCTCCCCCTGCCCTATCAAAGACCGCCGTGCCAACACGGCGGACCGTGGCCGGCCTTCTCTAACAGAGAACTGTCGTCTCTCCTTCCGTTTCGTTCGACCACATGTCATAACACATGTCCTGGCAGCATTTTCTTTGCGAGGGCTCAGTTCTAATCCGTAATCAACTTGGCCATAAAAAAAACGTTTTTCCCTTCTTTCTCCTCGCCGTAATTACATAACACGGATACGGATGGGAATTTCCCCTATTCCTTTGCCCTGACAACATCGCCGGACGGTTCCCCATCTTCGTGTCCCCCTTTTTGATAGAGCCCCCCCCCCCGTGTCGTAGGTATTTTTCACACCGGAGAGGTATCGAGAGGGGTACGGGGAACCCGAGCCAGGCAAGGGTGGCCCTCATAAACTGCTCAACGATAGACCCTCTCGACCTTCATCACCCCCTCAACTTTCGTTTAGTCGTCATTTTCCGTCCGCTCCTTGGGCTCCCGCGGCTCTCTAGGTTCTCTGGGCTCGCGCTGCTGGTTGTCGCGACGTCCCTGGTTTCTCTGCTGGCGACCGCCGCTGCCACCGCCCTCGTTCCCGGGGTTCTGGGCCTTGCGCTCGGCCTCATGCGCATCGCGCTCCTTCTGAGCCTTGGCGTTGGCCTGCTCCTTGCGGATGACATCGTACAGGTTGGAGAAGGTGCCCTTCCACGAGTCGAGACGGGTGGCGAGCTCCTGCCATTGCCGCGTGCCGAAGACGCGGTAGGTGACCTTGTGGACAAGGAAGACCTGGTCTTGTTGGGAGAGCTTACCCTCGACGAGACCGGCGCGGATGACGTCGATGGCCCACATCTCGACCTCCTCAGAGGGCACCTGGAGGGCCTTTGCGATGGCGGAATACTCGATGCGGCGCGAGGTCGTCTGGGCGGCGAGGGAGGCGAAGGTCAGGAGGCGCATCTTGCGGTGGAGCTTCTCGTGATCGAGCCTCTCCTTCTCGACGAAACCCTCGTGCTCGTCATTGAAGTCGTTGTAGTCCTCGAGGTCCTGCTCGGCGAAGATGTCGAGAAGCTGCGAGTAGACGGGGTGGGTTTCGGACAGGTTCTGCACCGAGGGTATGCTGCGGATGTCGGTGAAGAGGTAGTGTGTGTTGGACAGCAGGGCGTCGCGCACGGCGCGAAGGGATAGTCTCTGAGCGTCCTCGGAGCCGATCTCCTCCTTATCGTCGGCATCAAAGGTGCGCAGGGCCTTGAGAATGTACTCGTAGCTCTCCCTGGTGAGGGGTGATAACCCCACAATGTCAGCATTACTGTATCTGATGGCGCTGATCTGTGCGCAACACAACGTCCGGATCTTTCAAAGGACTCACTCTTCCTTGCCGGCCTCCTTAGCAACCTCAGCAATCTCCTCGTACATCTGCCTCTGGTACTCCTCGCTGGTGGCCCACTCTTCAAACCAATTGGGAAGGTGCTTCAGGTAGGGCTGGATGGCCTCGAACATGGCGTGAGACTTGAGGAAGCGCAGGATAGCCATGAAGACGTTGAATCTGATCGGGTTCTCGGGGGTGATGAGGTTGAAGATGGTGCTGAGGGCGTTCAGGCTCAGGCCGACGCCGTTGACGGGGCTCGAGGCGATGGGCTTGCTGAAGGCCTGGCACAGGGTCGGCAGGTGCTTCTTGGGGTCCTCGGACTGAAGAACGAGGTGAATCATGAGGTTCGAGGCGGCCGTGAACTCCTTCTCGGGCACCGAAGACAGCGCCGCCGACGAGCGCACCAGCTTGCTCAGCACCTCCTCCTTCTTGGCCTCGTTCTCGATCAGAGGCTTGACTTCCTCGGCGATGTGGAGGTAGTCGGCCATCTCACGGGCCAGCTCCTGAAAGGATCCATCCACGAACAGCAGCTGCGGCTGCGCCTGTTGCTTCGCTCCCGCCGCCATGATTCCGGTCTGTTGGATTTGGGGGGTGGGTGTGGGTTTCGGGGGGATGGAAACAAGTCGTGGGGGTTGTATGCGGTTGTCGGGGGAAAGAAAACCAAAAAGAGGAGGTCAAACCCGAAAAAAAACAGACGGCCGAAAACGTGAAGAGACTGGACCTGAGAGAGAGTGAGAGAGGGAGAGGGGGCGTGTGGTTTGAGAAAACGGAGACAGGGGTCGGTCTGTCGTGTCGATTTGCCAAAGGCCGTTCCGGTCAGATCGTTGGATGGAGGGGTGTTTGGTGGTGACCGCAGGGCAATTTTTTCTGCCACCAGATTTCTGTGCGAGAAGACGCCGCTAGTACGTTTGCAGGGCTCTAGGCGAAGGCGGTGAAAGAGCCAGGCTCTTCCCTGGCCTGTTTCCAGGCGGGGTATCCGTACTGGGGACCTGAATCAAGTGCCTGCTGTATTTACCAGGCCTAGTTAATCGCTTTTTTCCAAAAAGAATTATTAAAAAATTGAAGAAACACCACCAGGTCTTGTTCAATCCGAAAGCGCTTTGGGTACGCAGAACTGTTCCATGTGGTTGAAAAGTACGTAACAAAGCCGTAGCAGGCATTTGAAGACGTGTTGTAGTCCCGGCCCCGCCCCGTGAAGCTCTGCCGGTTGAGTCAACCCCATAGTGCATCTCGCATGCCGCCCCGTCTCTCTCTCGGAGCCGGCATAGCGGCGGTTCCGGCCATCAACGGGCCGGGCCGTGCAGCCCTGAGATTGAATGCAGTTGCGAACCAGAAGACTGCTCATCTTACATCGGATCTTCCTTAGCGTACCAGAACCACTAGTGTGGTTACTTGGATCTGAGGTGATAAACTTATTATTACGGTACTTGAACTCTCTTTCGACCAAGGACAATATAAGTAAAACTCCTAACTTTTGCCAAGCCATGCCCGCATTTCTCTAGAGCGGGATACCAAAAGTTCCATCTTCCCAAGCCTGCAACATTACCATCGGTGCCAAGGGCGTGGTATATATGCCTCCCTCAGGTACCCAATCCGGGCATCAGGAGGCTAATTAATGCAAACCATTACCGAGTTCTGTTCCGCATGCTCCTTGTTGGTGTGGTCGTCCGTTTCGTATATTTCCAAGACAGTTCACATGTGAACACGACGAAGCCTCACACATGAACCTACAAACCGCAGCCTTCTACTTCCCTCCACCCTTGGTCTTGCCGCCGCTGATGTCGTCCTTAGAGTATATGCTTTCGCCATCTGCGCCGAAGAGTGGCTGGTCACCCTTGCCGCCCATCTCAACAAATTCGCTGACGTTCCGTTGTCCATGAGGATCGACCTCTTTCGGGACCATTTTCTTCGTATTCTTGGCGTATATGTGGATGGGCTTCTTGCTGTCCCCCACAGGCGGTCGTGTGGCGACTTGTACCGAGTTCATGGAGCTCAGCAACGTCCGTTCTCTGGTGACGCCTCGCCGATGGACATCCAAGCCTTGGATACCACCGACCAAGCCATCGGTGCTATCATTGACACCCGGCTGGTTCTGAGTCATCCAGGGATGGTTGAGACATTGGTCGACAGTGTACCGGCGTTCGGGGTCGACGACCAGCATGGAGTCGATCAAATCAACTGGTCCGGCTTGTCAGCGTCCAAACCAGCAATTCATCCGGCTGAACAATACTTACGAGCAGGGTCCCCAACAGAATCCCAGTACGGCGAGGGGTAGTCGAAACGTCCACTTTTGATTTGTTGCGACAATGTGAAAGGGAAGTCCGTCGAGTAGAGTTCATCCGAGAATGGCGGGAAGCCACACAAGCAGATATACAACACCACGCCGAGAGACCAGATGTCCACGGCTTTGGTGTACTTCCGATGTCTACCCTCGGCAAGAATTTCCGGCGCCACATAACTGGGTGTACCGCACAACGTGGTGGTAAAAGACTCCTCGCCGATGATCTTCGCTAAGCCGAAATCAGCCAGCTTGACGTGGAGATCCCTGTCCACCATCAGGATGTTTTCGGGCTTGATGTCGCGGTGCACAATATTGCGGTCGTGCTGGTTAGTGTTCGTTAGCTTAGGGTTGGAATGAGGTGCTTGGCCAACATACCAGATACTTGATGCCTTGGAAAAGTTGCTTGAACAGCTTGCGCGTTTCGTCTTCACTCAGCTTCTGCTTCATGACAATGAAGTTGAACAGCTCGCCTTCTGGCGCCAACTCGAGGACCAAGTACACAGCATTTCGCTCATTGAATGTGTCCTTCAGGCAGAGGACGTTGGGGTGACTAACGCCCATGAGGACAGCAATCTCCTGCTGCAGACCCTCCTGTTTCGACCTCTCATCCATGCCGGCAGTCTTGGTGAAGATCTTGACAGCATACCTTTGGCCGGTAGATTTCTCAACACACAAGAAGACCTCGGCGAAATGACCCTTACCGAGCTTCTCCAGTAGTGTATACTGATTCAGGAAGGCGCTGGATTGCCGGGTCTTCGGGTACCTAAAGATGAAACGGGCTTTGTCGATGACGGCAATTTCGTCCTGTTCCTGAAGCTCTCTCCGCTTGTTCCGACCCACATTGGCCTCATTGACAAAGGTTCCATTACTCGAAAGGTCCTCCACGATAGCCACATTGTCGCCGCCTTTGTTCTCGGAAAAGATCAGGCAGTGCCGATTCGAAACGATGGGGTCTTCCACAACGATGTCTGCATACCGTCAGCATCAACGACTACGTCCAGGTGCAGAATCAGCTTACCGCACTCTGGATGACGTCCGATCAAATAACCGCCCGAAGCAATTCCTTTAATCTTTGTGCGCTCGTATGCCTCCTCCTCCTTTTGCAAAGTCGACTTCCCCTTCTGGTCCTTACCCGCCGACTCTTTCGCAGCGTTGACAGTATCTGGCAACGGGCAAGCAGCCCTCTTCTTCATAACGACAACCTTGCCATACTTCGTATCGAGCGGGAACAGATATCCCCATACACCCTCCTTCACCTCATCTTCGACCTCGTCCGAAAGGGCATCTTTCGTCTCCTGAGGATATTGCGAGAAGGCCTGGGTGTCCTGCGGCGGCGACGAGATGTTGTTCAATGCGTGGGACGTGTCGTCCTTTTCGCGGTGGTTAACCTGGCTGGGCCGTCCCTCTGGTGGCGTGGCGGTCGGCTCCTTGTAGACCTCGTCCGAGTCACTATCCCTCGTGACCGGGGACGGAAGCTGGTGCTTGTTGGAAACCGGGGTCTTGTCGTTGGGTTCTGGCGATGTCCTCTCGGAACGGCGGGGCTTCTTCGCATCCAGGTCCGATTCTGGTAGAGAACCCTTTGGTAGGGAAAGACGGTTTAGGATTGCATACCAGAAGACCGAGCAGATTAACAAGCGACTCACTCTAGTTCTTTTCAGTTGGCTCTTTTCGGATTGAGGAGCCATGGCCTCGGATGAAAAGATTACTGTCTTGGCTTGATTCACACAATTGGGAAGGCTGCAGCTGCAGCAACAGTAGGCGAGTAACGCAGTCGGCAGCGATGACGAATGGATCCCAACAGATGGGGCAACCTCCGTATGGCAAGCGAATGCAGTAAGTCGGTTTTGTGCACACAGCTATGATAGGAACAGGGTAGGCGCGTACGGATACGTTTGTGAATGTTGTAACGGATTGGTGGTGATGGAGCGTTTGGGAAGTGTTGCCTAAGGTAAGGGAGTGAAAGCGATGAACGGCGAGACTCCAAATTAATAAAGCAGCTTGTTCAGAAGAGGCAAGTCCCGGAGGAGTGAGCGTGGGTGCAGCCTAGAAATGGGGAAGCTACTACGAATGTCGATTCCCCAAGTGGAGAGGGGGAGCAGAGGTCAGGCCAGGAAGTGGAAGAACCAAACTGCTCTAGGCTGCTCTCGGCCTGTGTGTGCCTGCCTGCACACACCTAGCTGCGCGCCTGTGTAATACAAGCTTGAGCTTTTGCTGGGGGGGCTTGCTGGGGACCTGCTAGCCCAAACAGCCGGAGGATGACAGGGTCTTCCTCTTCTCGGGATCAGGGGGACCGTGTAAGGGAAGTGGGCTACCGAGCCTGGATGGGGATGACCGCCGTTGGTTGGCAGGTTTTGAGAAGCGTTCTCTCATTGATTGTTTCCTTTCCAAACTCAATATACCTAGTTCCGCCCTTGGGTTCAGTGGATGCAAGAGGGGATGAAGCTTCTGATGAAGCCAGGCCGAACTCACTCACTCCCTGCAAGAGTAGTGACCCAAGGCCCAAGGTATGTAGTTCAGGCCAGTGTCCAGTACCAGTGTCCGCTTTCTCAAAGGGTTCGGATTGAAAGTTCCGTGAGGCAATAGGGAGGGCGTTCGATGACCTGGTTGACAATGGCGTTGGTGGAAAAGAGAAAAAGAGCCATATGAAGGGTGGGGGATGGTTGGTTGATCAGTTTAACTTGACAAGGGGACTCAGAATGACTCCCGTCTCTTCCGCCACACGAATGCGCGTCCCGATCATGATGGCTGAGCAGACGGACACAAGAGGCGCGTGAGGCGGTTCCTCTTCAACTGGTGGATAACCGGGTCCCGTGTGCCATCTTTCCACAACACGCTCCGCACCATCTCCCAAAGTCACTCATCATACGGCGCTTCGCCCATATAACCCCCCCCCATACATTCATCATCGAGATCCCGTCATTTTGGTCAGCCATCTCCTAGAGCCCGTCAGGATCAGGCCGCGAGCCGCCGCCCTTCCCTTCCGCCCTCGTCTTGACAGGTCCCGCTCAGTGAATCAGCTTATGCGAACGTCCTCGTTGTCGCAGCGGCTCACAAACCGAGACATCACGTCATGCGTCGCTCTCGATTAGTAGTGTAGCATATGCTGCAACATGAATTTCGGTAGAGAGCAAGGAGGCGAACGACCCCTGTCGCATGTGACCTCGTACCCATGTTCTTGCCAGTTCCACTCGCCATTCACACGCTGAGTTGCTGCATCGCTTGCTGTGTGACCATGACGCCAAAAGTAGAAACGTGATTCATCCCCACCAAACCCACGTGGGCGGCTCACCTGCCGCCAAACCACAAGCGATTTCCTTGCATAGCTGCGGCTGAGTACGAACAATAATACTCTCACCGAGTCACCGAGACGACTTTGTTTATCCTTTTCCTCCACGTTTTTTATTTCTACCAGCTCCGCAGATAAGATATCACGGAAATGATATAGAGCAATTTGCTGATATCCGCACAAAGTGTTCACCATTGATTGTTCTGTCTTCATTTCTTCATTAATATTACTATCCATACACACAGACAAACACGCGTACGTAATGGCCATCTCCGCCTTTCATACCCTCGCATATTCCAATCGAGGACTATTCCAATGTGCCTGTTCACGCCAGACTTCTGTCATCAAAAACTACACATGTTACATGTGAGGGCATGACCTCGTGATCCCCCTCGTGCCGTGCAATGGAACCGGGCTTTGCCTAGCAAAATACCAGGCCCTCGAAACGCAACAGACCCTTTGGTAACGACAGTCAAGTGCGTCAAGCCTTTCTCTCTGTCTTCCTGCCAGTGCGCCAAGACGGTTTTCATCCACCGTCACACTCAAAATCGTAGCCATCCGTCGATAAGTGGACTTCGAGAGAAGACCTGCGTCTCGTGTGCATTGCAAAAGCAAGGCACATGTTCAACTGCCCCAGCCGCTCGAAACAGGCAGGTCGCTACCTTTCCGGAATCGGGCTCTTAGCCAGACGTCCTCCTGCACTTACTCTCTTCTGTAGCCGAGCGTCCCTCTCCCGCTGGAGCTTTTCGTTCGAGCTAGGGTTGCTGGGCAGTGATCCCACTGCATCACTCGAAAACCCCCCCGTATTCCGTCCTCGCTTCTCTTCAATGTACATCTGTGCGCTGCGGCTTAATGGGAAAGCCGGCATCGACGTCGGTATTTCTGCTCCGTTTTGAAGGAGCATCTCTGCCACCGGGAACGTTACCGTTCTGTCCGTCTCCGGAGGTTGCCCCGGAGTGGGAGAGGGCGAGGCGGGATCGGCAGCCGCAAGGGCCAAGAATACGGCGTGCGTTCCGCGAGATCTGTCTGTGACGTTGGGGTTGGCTCGTAAAGCCAGTGCATAGATTACCTGCTGAATTTCGTTCTTCTTGATACCCGCTAGTAAGGTATCTTCGGGGTTTGCATAGCGCGAGAGAGTAGCTGAGATCGGCTCCACGTAGGCCTTGTCGACGTATTTAGCAGTAATGAACCTCAGCCGCTGCTCCCTCGTTGCCTGGGGCGTCGGCTTCAATCCAGGTTCAAGCCTCGCTTCCCATATCATGTTCGACACCCTGTTGCCAACAAGAAGCAGGAGCTCGACAATATCAGAGGTAAAGGAGTTGATATCCAGAGTTAGAGATCGCACTTTGCTGATATGTGTGCCGAGGGAGCGATGAATGCCACTGCATTCGATGCAAAGAATGATGGCTAGGTTGATTGAAACCCATTCGACCTTTGTGCCCGACCCGCAGTCGGCGCACCAGCAGTTGCCTTGATCGTTGTCGCGAAGCAGTTGCAGTAGCTTGTCTGGATTCTCGTCGTATGTTGAACTAGTGGACCTGTGCGTGCTGGGCCGAGCGCCAACCGTGATCCGGCGGACGGGTGGTGCACTGTTCGAGTTTGTGTGACTACTGTTGTGCCCAACGGAAGGGCTCTTTCCTGTGAGGATGGAGCCAATGTCTCTCTTAATATGACCTGAATCACTGGGAGCAGACTTATCCCTCATAATGCGGCCCTCAACCGCACTTTGCAATGCGTTATTAATGGCCGTGATCCAACTGTTCATGTCCTCTTCAGATGTGGCTTGGTATACGCGTTTGAACTGGGGCGTAATGACTTCAAAGCAGAACCGGCGCTCTGCATTGCGCGCCTCTCTGACGGATGCCATCCTCAAGTCAATGGGGTCATTGTGCAGATCCAGCCTCTGCTTCCAGTTACTATACTCCGAGAGCTTGCCTTGGTCTAGGACAATCCAGAACCTTTTGCGGATCAGAATGATTACCACTTCTTAAACGGGTTGGGTGGACTTACTTGTGCCAACCCTGCTTGTTCAGGTTACGCGGGTCTACATGGTTGCTGCCAGCCTTGCTCAGAGACCATAACAGACCCTCTTTGCGCTGGGCGCTGCTGCTGGCGCTAGACAGCTGGCCGTAGTCTTTCTCTTCCAAGTCACGGATGCCCTTGAATTTCGAAGCTTGAGCAGGACTTCCAACCGAGGAATTGCCAAGGCTGCCGGGTGACCTGGTCAGCTCAGGGGATGACATGGCCACCGAAGGGTTCGACCCCGAGGACAACCCAAGCTTCAGCTGCGATCCTGTGCTGTCGGCGCGGCCAAGATCGCTGTCAGAGACCTGTGCATTGCCGTTTGAGGCCGTGGTTTGGCCAGCACTGGTGCCAGGCGCCGGTCCAAGGTCTGGCTCGTTATACGGCTGGTTGCTCTTCTCGAGGAGTCTTCTCTTCTCTTCCCGTTCCCGCCTCTGGTATTGATATTCCTTGTCGGCCTCTTGCACTTCGCTCGAGAGCGCCTCCAGTTGTGGCAGTAAAGTGTCGATCTTTTTGGCTGCCTCCAGAAAACCTTTGGTCTGAGCGTCGGCATACCTTGTAAGGTGTGAAAGCACTTCCTGCTCCTTCCTGCCACCATGGAGATCCTGCATGAAGCTTGAGTAGTCAAATCGCTTGAGCTCAAAGTTGCGGCGCTTCGTCTGGTACTTGGAGTCGCTTTCTGCCAGTTTCTTAGCCTTGACTGAGTCATGGCGCTGTCCAAGATATCTCGAGACGTAAGCATAGTAGTCCTTGCTTTCTTCCTCGAAATCACGTTTCTTCGACTCGGCTTGTTTAATATCTACCGTGTAAAATTTGTCCAGCGGATCGATCACGATACGCTTAAGATTAACCGTATTTGTTCGCTCGTACGAAAGGATTTCGCGGGCAATTTTGTCAAAGTAGTGTTCAATAGCCGGCTGTACGGCATTGGCGTTTGTGGATGAAGCTTCGCGAAGGGTGTCGATGAATTCGGAGAAGTTCTTGTTGGCTTCTACCTGCGCCTCATGCGCCTGTTTAGCCATCTTGAGCACGCGCTTCATCTGCGTCCGCATATTGCCCGTCTTTTGTTCCAATGCCTTTATTGTTGCTCTGAAGACCGGGCCATCGTCTGGAACGAGGACATCATCGGTTGGTTTGGGGCACGCGACATCCACCTTGATCGGTTCCTGTGCAGATTGTGGCCCGGAGAGTATAGTGGTAGAAGAGAAATTGCCTGGCAGCGGCGACGAGGGTTCTTCTAGTTCGCTGTGGCTGATTCGAGAATCGACAGACTGAGATGAGGCAACTCGGATCTTGGGAGGTGCGGTCAAGAGGAAAGGAGGAGACGGCGAGTTAGGGTGGCTGAGTGGCAAAGCTGGATCTGCAAAATTGTGAGTGGCAGTGAGCGAATGAGTCGCAAAGGTGAAGACTTACTAGAAACCCAGTAGGAGAAGCTAGCCAAAGTGTGCAGGCAGTGGTTGCGGGGATCGTATTCGACGAACTGCGAAGGGGGTTAGCACATGTGACAGGTAAGAGCTCGGTGGCCAACAACATACACTGCAAGTATTCCTCCATCCGCCGCCCCTATCTTCCACATTCTTTGGTGGCTTCCACTTCCAGGTCCATTCGAAGGATACTGATGGGTTGCCGCCGGTGCTAAAGTCGCCCACCAATTCGACGTTGGAGTTCTTGTGTAGATTTGGGTCCGCATGGAACTCTCTTGTTACCAAGTTTTCCACCTCGCGCGGCGTCGAGGCGTAGACATATGTCAGTCCGCTGATTTGGGTATCGACCGTAGCGACGGTGTCGGCGCTGCCGTTCGTGACGAACTGCTGTCCCTGGCGGATGACGAAAGTAAAGTTGAAAACAAGCTCGTCGTCGTAGGTGAGCTTTAGTATGAAATTCGGGAGGCCACCAGGGCTCGTAACGACTTCAGTGTCCTGCAAAGACAAAAATGAGCACACGCTGCTCGAGGCAAGGGGCGGGAGGAGGTGTGTCGCTGTTTGCGCTGACGAACCTGGACAAATTCTATGGGACTGCCGTCGCCTAGTGGGCGCGAAGCCGATACTTTGGTGGCAGGGAAAGCATTGGGAACGATGTTTATGGACGAACGCCTTCGCGGGTTCGAAATGACTAAAGAGGCTATGGATACTGAATGTCAAAGGATTAGCTGGAGGGAAATGCGCAAGGCTGCATGCATGAACAGGCAAACAAGACGAGGGGGGTGGGTGGGAGATCGCACGTCGATTCTGGTCTCTAAGAAAGAGGGCGGCCCCGTCCTCAGGCTTGCTGCTAACGATGCCCATGATGAGATATTGATCGGGGAGTTAACGGCTCATGGAGGTGGAATGAGTTGCGAGTGAGGCAGAGGGAACGCCTCTGAGATGGTAGTTGGGCTTCGCAGCGCGGGGTCGCAAGTTGGCCAGGATCGTGGACATTTGGCGACGCAAGACAAGGCCAAGCCACACCCACGGGGTCGGCGGTACAAGACTGTAGACTGCGCGCAGCCAGCTTTGGGGCGCTGCTGAAGGCGCCGGCGGCCTGAGCGAAGAGGGTAGTGGTGGGGTTGAGGAGGGAGAGAGGACGGCGACGAATGCCCACGGGGTGGGAAAGAAATGGAAATGAGATCTAAAATGTCAGCAAAATTGTGGTGGTTGTAGAATGGTGGAAGGAGAATGAGTAAAAGAGTCAGAGGTTGAATGTTGCGATATCGACGGAGGTGGAAGACCTGCTAGGTTGCGGCACGTCTGCCTCAGAGGCCTGTTGCTTTTGCTGCCGTTGCTACTTCCCCTCCTGTCGTCGTCGTCGTCGTCGTCGTACTAGGTAGGTAAGTCATCTGGTTCCGCGATTAAGTCAAGGTCACTTGATTCGCCGCGGCTAATCACTCCGAGCAGAAGGTCACATATACCAAGAGTACAAGAGTGTGTGGATTACAGGTAGGTACCTAGGTAGGTACGTAGGTAGCCGTCCAGGCTTCTTTGGGCTCGGCTTGTTGTTTCCTGCGCTGGAGTATCCGTACTGTAGGTGAGAAGTAAGGTCAGGTACAATGCGACCTCGTCTGAATCAGTAAGGCACCATGCTATGTACACTACATAGTGAACTAGGTACATACCGGTGTTGCTACCATGTAGGCACCTGAGTAGGGACCTGCCTACCCACCTCCCACTTCTGAGGTAGGTAGGCAGGTCCCCTCCCCTGTTGTGACGTCGAATCAAGCCCGAGATTGGCGCCGATTCATATTTATCCCGACCCATGCCCATCGGCCTCAATCAACTCAATATTTCTCACATAACCATTCTGGTGCAATGGTTCTGTACGATGTATCCGTATAATTCCATGGAAAAATGGCATGCGGTCGCCATCATCCCGGCCATGGCATGTAAGTACGCGGATCGAGTTTTGCTGAGCCCTGGTGAAGCAACTTGCCGGTTCGCTTCATCCCACACCAGCATCAAGCACCCTCCCTCCATTTTCTCACTTCGAGTTTCATGTGCCTACCTACCTAGTGTACTATGTACGGTTTGGGGAATTGAACAGCATCCACGACCCCTTAGCACGATGGCCTCTCTGATTCCCCATCATTGGCGGTCTTTTGGTGGGGTCAGGCAGCACACAACCAGACGTTCCTTGATAGTAAGCCAAAGCGCATGGGATCACCACACCACACCACCGACTGCTTAGCTCATTTTGCGCAAGGCGCCTACCTCATCTCCTCATCTTCCACGACGACAGGCGCGCAAGCTACATGATGTATTTGGCCACTTCTGCCTCCGCACCCCTCCACCCTTTGGCCGTGTTTACCCCTCTCAACTTGGGGAAGCGAAGCCAGCACGGCAGGCTCCTGTTCCGACACGGTGAGGGTGTGTCCGTCCGGACCTTGCGCCGTGGAAACACGGCCTTGCTTGTTTCTCGAACCTGGGATTTCGCGTATCATCGATCTCTTGCTTCTGAGCCTAGTCTGATCTGGTCTGGAGTTCCAGAAACCAGAGAATCGGGAATCAACCTATCAACTTGTACCGGCACATGCTGCAGCCTTCCAATAATACATACATATCTCTGCGCTGCATCAAGAAAAGGGGTAGGTAGCGGTCGAGGGTGGCGGGTCTTGGAGAGAAGCTTCATACACTAGTCAAGCCAGACCGTTTGAAAGTCAATCGCTGATCCTCTTCCAGGATCTCGAGCATCGTCGAAAAGGTATGCAAAGAAGCAGAAGAGACTTTGCGTCTATGGACCCGGTTCAATCATTTTGGCTTTGGGTTTAGCCTTTGTGTGATTCATTGTCCTAAGGCTTTCTTCTTCTTTTTTCGTCTGCTCTTCCAAAGAGCAAACAGGCTCCCCCCTTGAGGTCTGTCAAACTCTAACCAATACTTCGGCTCTCGACCGGGGGAGGATAAAAAAGAGCAAACCGTTTCAAAACACCCCCATCCAGCAGAGCAACGCAAATGTCAACGGTCACCGTCTGTCATCAAACGTCATCTGCACGACCGTCCAGTCAATGCGAAGCCAAGATCATTCCTACGGCGCCTTAGCAAGTGATGCGCTCCTTCAAACCCCAACAAATCAGTCATTCCTCGACTTCCCAGCAATTTTGTTATTCTTGTTCTTCGCTTTCCACAGGAAACGCTCTCAAGGGCCTGTCATTGCAACTAGGTGCCTATGAGTAGTGGGGTATGCGGCCGTGAACTCATGGCTTACCAGCAGACATCAATTACTCCCTCCAACATGAACCCGCTGTTGCTTTAAGCAATCTTGCCTTTCTGACTTGTTACGGCTCACGCATTCAGACTCGGCAGTATAAGATAATAAAAAAATTAGAAAAGAAAAAAAAGGACCATGCAATCCCCAGTTCCCCAGCGGCAGACAAGGGGCACCCCCCACCCCCCCCTGGATGAAAACTAGGACAGACGTTAGGGCACAGCAAACGCTGGCGCTTGCAGTCTATGTAGGTAGTGTACGGACGGACATGCGCGTTCAGGCCGCCCCAGACGAACCATTAATTCCGCCGGCGTGGATGACCACGGAAATGCTCTTGGGCCTTTGAAAGAGAAGTACTGGGGAATGTAGGGATTGAAAGAAGAGACCGACAAGTCGAAACATATGGCCGATAAACATTGCGTGGAAACACATGGCCGGCGATGCCGTCTCCTCGTCCACCTTATTGTCGCTTGACTGTATTTCGGGCAAGTGGCTACCAGAACAGTTAAGAACGTCGAGTTCGAGGCAAGACTATACAAGAGCTAGAAGTAGTATATCGTCCGAAGGAACAGGGCAAGTGAAAAAGGGTCAAGCAGCCACCCCCATCTTGGCTAGTATTTAGTTGACGGACCGACCATGTTGATGCTCTGCTCTGGCTGGTATGCTCTGTTGTACCCTGCTTCTTTAGCTCCGTCGCACCGTGAGCCCACGGCTTCTGTCACAAGCAGCAAGCCACTGATACACTGCAGTTTTTGACATCTGCTCGCTCGACAAAGTACCCAAGTGGCAGACTGAGCTGTCATTTTGTCAGGCTAGAAGTGCAGTGACCAGTGGTCCGGCCCCGTCAGGCATCATCGATACCCGATGTACGTATTATCCTGTTCCCATAGCCCCTGTGAGCACCCCTCGACTCCCTAGAGAGATACCTATCTCTGACTGGGGCCGCTTAGCGCCGCGCAAGGCCGCAGGTACCACCGTGCCACCTTTTCCTGAACAGTACAAGGGTCACGGCAGTCACCGTGTCTCCTTTTCTGCCAATGACGTGTGTCACCTGCTGGACCAAACATCAACCCCCCAAACCTTCTGAGGGTCCCCAAGCGGCTGCTTGACCTCCACCACCTTCCACACCCGCGGCCACATTCACGATAACCTTCACCCCCTCTAACCACCGGCCGACTAGCTAGCCGTTCTCCCTTCCGTGCCGAGAAACCTCTTTCACGAGACGACTGACCGGTCACTTTCCAAAAGGTGACAGTTGACACACCGCGAACTACATAGCTGGCCATTCTGCGCTGGTACGAGAATGACAGCTCTCCGATAAATCCAAGCCCCGTTGTCGTCCACGTTCGATCGTCGACCCCACGCATATCCGGACCCGTTACGATCAGCGAGAATGTCGTCCGCGTCTAGAAGCTCGTGGATGCCGGGCCGTCGCCCGAACAGCAATCGAATCAGCATGAGACCGCGAGGAGCATCTAGGGGCAACATCACCGTTAGCCACGACGACGCCTACACCTTTGCATTACGTGTCGCCTACCTCAACTACCTCCTCCAACCAAGACAGAAACGAAAGCAATATGTCGCCGCACCGAAACCCGCGCAGAGATCGCACACCAGTGTTACTGAACTAGTCGGCCAATTTGTCTCGTCGGGCTCCAACAGCATCAAGTTGCCTCACGGCTTCCAAAAACCCCTGGAAAAGAGGCTTAAGAACGTTCTAACAGGCAAGGAACCTATGCAAGGTTTCAACGACTCGGCTCTCAAGCGAAGCTTCGCTGAGGCATATACTGCATTCACCGATAAGAATTTTCAAAAGTCGGTTGAGAAGGATCGCAAGCTTGAGCCTTACGTCCTCATGTTTTACTCGTCTGCCACCAAGGCCAACCAGAAGTACGCCCAGTTGACATCGGCAACGGATGATTCATGGAAAGAAACAGCCGATAGGCACATGGCCATGTTCATCAGGCTAGTGGCTCAGACTCTTCGAGATCAGGGGCACGACAGAGACAGGCCCGAGCTGATGAGCAGGTTGCACACGCTGGAGAATAAACTACTTACTAGAGACCAGAACCTGTCTCTCGATTCTGCCGGGGATGGAGGTAGTTACATTGAGGTCCCCGCCCCCTTGAGCTACGATGTCAAGGATATGCCGCTGGTTCTTACTGTGGCGCGCATATTTGGTCGATCCAATTCCGAAGTGCAGGCTGATCTCGAGGCCAACCGCCAAGTTTGGACCGAAGAAAATGCCATCAAGGACATGAAGAACTACCAGCAAAGGCTGGCCTCGGATGCGCCCGGCGCTCTAAGAAGCCAGGACTTCGATCTCGAAGACGCCTTTCAAGAATGGAAGAGAGCCGAAGCACCGCATCTTTCCCAAATCATTTTAGAGATATTGACGATCAAACCCGAGCTGGCCAAGACGTCGACAGCAGGAGCGGACAAGTCACTCCCTGGACGGCCTCAGTCCACCTTCTTTGGGGAAGATCAGTCGTACTCTGAAATCAGCAAATCAATCTCTAGCCCTGATGGATCAATTATGAACTTTGATAGTTCCATTGATTCTTTGTCTCTCGATGACTCGAATCAGGCCTTCGACGAGGTTGTTTACACT